AAATATAGTACCTAGTATAATTCCCAAAATGTTGAATCCAATTGGTGGTCCTAATTTCCAGTCTTTGGTGAAGTAGTATAAATAAAAAATCTCTGCAACGTATCCAACAACTAACATTTCAACAAACTTACAAAAAGTCATATGTTCATTGGCAAAATCTTGGAACCCATACACATAATTAAGGGGGAATGATGCCTGTTTGGTTTCCTGTTCTCGTTGTAATTGAATTTGTTTGGCTAATTGGACTTTTTCTTCCTTTGTCATGGGTTTCAATTCTTCTTCTTTGGCATTTTCGATTATTTCCGGATCAGCAAACACCAGGGCAGTCGACCTGGGTTGAGCCTGCTCTTTCCTATGGGTTTTTCTGGCCATATTCGTTGAAGATACTTGTTAAAATTTTTCATTTTCGTTCAACTGCGCATTTAAGTACTGGATGCGAAATATAATCTACTCCATCTGCTTAAACTACTCAATATGCTCAATCTACTTATACACAATCTACTCTATATGCTCAGTGGAAAGCTAGAATACCAAGAGTGCTGTCTTAGCTTCCGATGCTATGAAAGTAGTATTCAAAGTAGTATTCAAAGTAGTATTCAAAGTAGTATTCAAAGTAGCATTCAAAGTAGTATTCAAAGTAGCATTCAAAGTAGTATTCAAAGTAGCATTCAAAGTAGTATTGAAAGTAGCATTCAAAGTAGCATTCAAAGTAGCATACGACTGTAATAGTCAAAAACGACCACGTCCGTCTGAGATGAGCTTAAACTTGTATCTGAGTAGTACAAGTACATCAGTTGCTAAAAGTTGCAACTTAGCAAATCATAATCCAGTGGTCAGGTGATTGTCATTGCTCATACCGTAAGAAAAAGCACAATCCAGTACTTTGCTTGCTTTGCAATCTGCCATTGCCATTACTGGTAAATGACAGTAATACAGTAATGGCAACTACAGTGAGAAGTATGACGGTTCGCAATAGCAGCTTGTAATCATGGTAAAATTCAAATGTTGGCAAGGATTCGGAGTTTTGTCGCAAATTCCATCTCCAACGGTTATATAAGGACCCGCATCTGTCAACTGAAATAGCTACTTTTCTTTATTTCCCCAAACGCTAAACATGTCCAAAGCTGCCATTGCCATTACCTCTTACAACGATAAATTCTATGAAGACGGAGCCAAAACCGGGTTGTTCTTAACCGAAGCATTACATCCATTTGAATACTTCAGACTGCAAGGAATTGAAGTTGATTTTGTCTCGGAAACTGGGAAATTCGGTTACGATGAACATTCATTGGGTGAAGCCTTTTTAAACGGAGACGATTTAGCCATTTACCAAAATCCCCATTCTGAATTCAACGTCACCATCAAAAACCTCAAGGCTGCTTCTGAAGTCAATGCCTCTGATTACGCCATCTTCTTCGCTGCCGGGGGTCATGGTACCGTTTTTGATTTCCCCAAAGCCGATGGCTTGCACAAATTGGCCCAACAAATCTGGTCCAATAAGGGTGTTGTTGCCGCTGTTTGCCATGGTCCAGTCATCTTCGATAACTTGTACGATACTGCCACCGGCAGACCTTTGATTGAAGGTAAAAAAGTGACTGGGTTCACCGACGAAGGTGAAGTTGCCATGAACGTCGACGGGATCTTGAAACGTGACCATTTGGAAACCGTTCGTGATATCTGCGTTAAAAACGGCGGCCAATACGATCAACCTCCTGATATGTGGGGGGACTATACCACCAACGACGGCAGATTAGTCACTGGGGTCAATCCAGCCTCTGCCTCGTCCACTGCCAAAAAGGCCCTCGCAGTCAGTAGCTTGAAAGGTGTATAATTCTACATAATGTAATGAAGACGTATCTTAGCCATTCCGTAGTCCTACCATATACTCCTTTGTAGGGATATCCATTGTATCGGTCGTGCTGGGCTTATTGTTTGTCTTAGATGGTTTTTTGGGGTTTTGGGTTTTTTCGAAATTTTTTTTTTTGGCTTTTTCTTTTTCATCAGATACTTCTTAAACGCTATTAGACTAAGATGGGCTTCTTGAACGATTTGAAATTCTACTTTAAGTCGGTGATATTTGGGTGTTTGGTGTTTACGTCGTCGTTGACTGCTCTTATTTCGTTGATTTTCTTAAAACTTACCGGAAATAGTAAATATGCCCAATATATCTTAGCTAGAGTTTTCTATTTCCAGTTTTCTAAATTGTTGGGGGTTAAAGTCACTATTAAAAATGAACATTACTTATATCAAAAACCAGCAATTGTTATTTCAAATCATCAAACCGCTGCTGATATCTTGGTTTTAGGTAAAGTTTTCAAGCCTGGTTATACGGTAACTGCTAAAAAGGCGTTGAAATACGTTCCAATTTTGGGTCTTTTCATGTTGGGTTCAGGAACTTTCTTCTTGGATAGATCTAAAGGTGAAAAGGCAAGAGAAACTTTGAATAAAGCCTTGATTTCTTTGAAAAAAAATGATCGTGCTTTATTCATCTTCCCAGAAGGTACTAGATCAGGTACTACTAAATTAGATCTTTTACCGTTTAAAAAGGGGGCCTTTCATTTAGCTAAACAAGCGAAGATTCCAATCATCCCAGTGGCAGTCAGTAACTACTCCAATATATTTAACGCTAAGAGTAAAACTTTCAACTCGGGTGAAATCATAGTGGAAGTTTTGCCTCCTCAATCAACTGCTAATTTAGAAACAAATGAAGACGTGACTAAATTCTCAATTGATATTAGAGATAAAATTAAAGAGAAAATTGAATCATTGGGTTATGCCAAAGTTAGCGGACAGCCTTCAAATAAACCACACCTCGTTCCCGAAGTATCTGATTCCGTTCAAGAAGATGATTCGGAAGTTGAAATCGTCTCTGAAGGTACTCCTTTGGTTTCAAAAGATTAATCTGTGATTGTTTACAATGTTTCTTTCATATATTTATATAGAGAATAAACGTATATACTTTTTGTTTTCTAATCCAAGATTTTGGCCGCCTTTTTCTTTATCTTCTTCTTTGGCTTGACATTGATCACCTTGTCAGGGCTTCCCTCAGTTGGGACCTTGTCAGAGCTTCCTTCAGTTGGGACCTCTTCGGTCTTCTTTTTCGGTGATTTTTTCTTTGGCTTCTCGTCTCCTTCCTTCTTTTTGCTCTTTTTACTAGTCTTCTTAGCCTTTTCCTGTACTAATTGTTGTCTTATTGCATCCAAATCAACATCATATTCATATTCTTTGCCAGAAGGTTCAACACTGACCGATTCAGACTTAATATCAAAGTTGTCAAGATTAGAAGAATCAATCTTAAGCGTATTCTTCTTCTTCTTCTTGGATTCCTCTTTAGGCTCTTCTATAAGCTCAGGTCCACCAACAGTCTCCTCGGACAATATAACAACCTTTTCCTTTTTCATTTTTCTGGCTTTGGTCTTACCACTGGATTTTGTTTTCTTCCCATTAGAAGATTTAACCGAGTTCCGTTCACTTTGAATCTCAGATCCAGCGTCTCTTGGACTACGGCTGGACTCATTATCAGTATCAACAATACTCAATAACTTCTTTGATTTTTTCGATTTGGCCTTTTTATCGTTCTTATTATCTGATGTTAAATAATATGGATCGTCTTTCATTCTTTCTAATCTTTCCCGTTTCCTGAAATCCTCTTCACTGGCTGACACACTCAATAATCCATTGGTCAAATTGCCTTCATCTTCAGCTCTGCTTTCATCGTCGCTTGAGAATATCGATTGCTCTTCGCTATCATTAACATCATTTTCCAATGCAAAGTCCGGTGGACTATTGATAACGGTTTCAAGATCTAAGTCTTCGGGAATTGGAATTCGACGCTGTGATCCATGTGATATAGGGTTCAATTGGTAGGACTTGAAAAAGGATGGTAGAATGTGGGTCAATAAAATAGGCAATTCCTCTGGCTCATTAGGATTTGCAAATGGATTTTCGGGCTCGCTACCCGTACTTAAATCTAACTTAGAATTGAAAACTTCATTGTCAATTGCAATTGGATCGGTTTCGTCTTTGCTAATCTTTTCTGTGACTTCTTGATGATTTTCTTCTTCTTCTTCTTCTTCTTCTTCTTCTTCTTCTTCTGAGGACGATGATTCCAAATTTTCGTAAGCATCCTCGTCCTCGTCATCCTCTTCTTCTTCGTCACTTTCTTCTTCAGAAACATTTTCTTCTTCGCTCTCTTCATCAACAATATCATCTTTATCATTACTCAATTTTGAATAATACTCAACCTCTTCTTTTTGTAAAGCCTCAATTTCTTTCAAATCTCCACTGGTTAAAGCTTCAAACACAAGTTTCAAAAATTCAAGCCATGACAAAACCCGCTCTTGAACCTCATAGTTAGAATGATTTTCCCAGTTAGCTAAAAACTTTATTAATTTGAATAAATAAAATTTCAACTCATTAGCTTTAGAATGTGGTAACTTACCATCACTCAAAGAGTAATGTTTTATATAATCACTTACTATTCCACTATACAATTTTACCAACGCTTGAATCAATACAACTAAGACATCAGTTTGTGGAAGTGATATCAATTTATAGGAAATAGCAAAATTTAAGTCGTTTGTTAAACCTAATGAGGTATCAACGTAATGATTAACGAGAACATTGAAAATTTGAATCTTTTTCCCTAAAAACACAATTGGTGAATTTTTGTAGGTTTCCTCATCATCTTCGTTTTCACTCTCGCTATCGGAATCATCTATTGGTTTTAAATCGTCAATATATTCTCCCATGATCCAATAAAAAACTTTCAATAATAGTGGACAATTTTCTAAAAATTTTACATCTTGTAAAGAGTCAACAACCACTTTATTGATAATGACCGATCTTATGGATGGAATTTTACATGCTAAATTTTCTAATTCATTCCCAATCCTGGTAGCAATTTCACTAGATGTCGTATAGGATATGGTAGTGTTAGCTGTTGATGGAAGTGGCAATAAAGTCAAATTTATTACGTCTTTCAACACTGCTATATACCATTCAAAGTTTGGAACATTCTCATAGTTGTCGCGTGATGAGATTTCTATAATTTTTGATGATATTTCCAACTTTAATGATTCTGGTATAATGACATTTTCTTTTGGAATCAACTGTAATAATAAGCTTTTAATCAAATCGACAATATTGTCTTCGGTTACTAAATAATGACATACTTCCAACGCTTTACGTTTGATAATCAAGTCAGTATCAGTAAGGCAATCCATTACAATTACTGATACCCCTTTAACTTTATGCATAAGAGAAGGAAACAATTTGATGATGTTAATTAATGCAAGCAAACCAACAAACTTCAAATTAGAATCCCTCGTTTCAAAAAAATTCATAAGTTGTTCAATGCATTCTTTTGCAATATTCTTATCCTTGGAAGAATCAGAAGATAACATTGCTCCATTGATTATACAATTGATACATTCATACTTTAAAGAGGATGCATCAGTTTTCAACATCATACCTAAGATAATGGGCAAGATTTTCTTCTTCATTCTTGGTTCAACCTTAGATAAACTTTGGAAAAGTTTAAGTATTCTTATAATCAACCAATTATTTTCAGTTTCTTCCAAGATTGAGAAAAATTTAGGTAAGTAACTGACAAAAATATTAGGATTCTTCTTCGAAATTTCACAAATGACATTAATTGTAGCACTAACCACCGAAACATCAGTATCGTCAAGCTTTTCAATTATCCGATTAAAATTGATCCTCAAACTCTCGGGATACTGTAAAAAAATCTTATACATAGCCAAAATGGCCTTTTTTCGAATATATGGACTTGAATGATTAAGCTTCATCAAAACATCATCATTTATATCCTTGGAAAGATTAGGAGTCACTATAGTTGCAATCCCACTGAGTGCCAATCCAACCTCAACATGATTATGGGAATTCAAATCTTTCTTGAATTGATTGGTAGCAAGAATCAATAAGTCTTGTTCATTCTTAAAAGACTGGATAGCTGCCAAATACCCAATACGCTTTTGTTGGAAATTAGTAGAGGACATCACTTCTAAAATTTGAAAATTACACCAGGACATATCAAAACCATACATTTCCAAATATGCCAACTTCAAAACAGCAATTGCTTTAGTTTCAAGATCGGTGGTATTGAGTTCATTCTTGCACTCGGATATAGCAGAGTCCAAGAAATTCAGTAAGCTTTCCGGTGAGTCCTTTGAATGTGCCCTAATCCCTTTGATCAAGTCACTTAGTGATTTTTCAAACGAGATTCCAAACGGCTTAAGACGAGCTAAAACCTCAGAGTTCTGTAGTTGAAATGACGACATACTCTTCGGAATACCTATCTACTTTGTATCTCTAACCTGGTCCTAATTGAGTGTGGCTCCCGATTAATGTAAGATCACTGGAAACAGTCCATACGCTAATTGAATTTTTGTTGAAGTTTTTCTATGATTTTTTGACGCTCTTTTTGTACTTTTTTTTTTTGAGACTTAAGTCTTAAATCCAATGTTTCTTTGGCTTCAACTAATCAAATATGGGAGATGATACGGTTGGCAACGGTGGGAAGGCTCGAACGGGAAGTGGACTGGCAGAAGCACCAGATATACCGAGTGTGAACCACAGACAAGAGGCTACGGCTCGAGAAAGAGAGGAAGAAGAAGAACAAGAAGAAGAACAGGAAGAACAACAAGAAGAAGAGGACGACGATGATTATATCATGAGTGACGAAGAGGAGAACCTGGGGACCTTACTAGCCAATTCTTTGGACTACCAGGATCATTTCAATTATACATCGAGCTTAAGTGAATTATCAGATTATTTATCGAAGTCACTTTCATTTGCATTAGAATCACTACAATTAGACAAATCTTTGGTTATCCAAGCCCAATTGAGTGGACAATTGAACAATGAAAACCAGAAGATCATTGACAAACAAAAGGAGCTAAAGGATAGTCTACTGCGAATTCAACAGTTGTATGCTGAAAACTTTGCTCCTCTTGTCAAAGACGGAAATAATCCGAAGATAAGCAAGGTATCCAAACTTGCAAAAGATATCAAGGATATCGAGACTAGAATTGAAAGATTGAAGAACACTACTAGAAAGTCAAATAAATTAGCCTTGCCATCGATTTTCAAGTCTAATTCTTCGGAAAACCAGGGGGTGGCGGGCCGTTTCCCTGTAGAATACAATCAAGCAAAGGATAAAGTACTCGAACGACAAATCGATTCAAACGAATATTAGTATGTAAAACGAACATTTTTCATTAAAATTTACAAAACAATATGTATAATTATCTCTTACTGGTATAGATCACCCCAAGACCATCTAACCAAGATCCTGTATACCCATACATTCCAATTAATTCGAAATCATGAGAAGGTGCTTCTAATGTAGATAAATGGCCCCCTTTGGCGTTCCCGAACATGGGGGACAAACGGCCGGCAGTGGTTTCGAATTGAATCGCATCCATCCAAGCTCCATTTCTAAAATGAAACCTGGTGATAACTTCACCTGGATCGAGTACCAATTCTGAAAAATCCTTCTTTTCATTACCGATAAGAACTTCTTTTTTTGTTCCTTCTGGAAGGTTTCCATTGGGAGAAGACGAAGTATCATGTTTAGGTGTAATTGAAGTGTCTGAAAGTTTATTTACTAGCTTGTTGAGGTAGTTTCTAGCAGGTACTTTAGGAGCACCTCCTTGTGGTTTTGAAGATTGACCACCACCAGAAGGAACTGTAAAATAAAATTTCACCCCATCTAATGCTCCACCATGGTAAATTCTAACTTTATAGACAGTGTTAAGGTCAAATCCAATGATTGCTGGTTTCTTGTCTTTGGATTTACCTAATAATGCACTCTTGTAACCAGTTAATGTTCCTCTGTTTAAACCAAAATCACTTTTTATCACATTATCTTTACCCGAATTAGAGCAATGATCTTTGAAATTGTTTATAAACAAATCACCACCAAGAGATAAAACTCTAACGGCAAAATCGTCTGATGCATCTTTTGGAGCTGCTTGTCTTAGCATCTGTAAGGATGAGTTGTAATCCAACATCATTTCATGTTGTAAACCAGGGCCTCCATAATTTCTTGGGAAGTATTCAAGATGATGTCTGGCCAAATCTTTAGTGACGAACTCCACCATGAAAATCCCCGGTTGCAGCTTAATCAATGCTCCACCAGAAGGAGTATTATACAGAGTTGGTTCCTTATTTATATCATCATGTTGCTTATCAGGAGCAAAGGTGGTTGAGAAAGTTTTGCCAAAATTATCGGTGGGTAAGCTGAAGGAACCATGGTGGAGATAACGAATAAGATCTAAACGATTCCAATGACAAACCCGAGGCCAATTCCCATCAGCTCCAATTACTTCGCCTCTGGTACCTCTTCTCAAGCATTCCATTTCTCTTGTTTGGAAACTTCTATTCCACCAAACATAATCTCTCAACATTACCCCATTTACTTGATGGGGTGAGCCCAAAGAGTGTCCGATTTCGTGCATGAAAGCACCCAAAGTAATATTAAAACATTCCCAGCTAGTTCCACACTCGTTACAATCATTGGCCACTTCATTTGTAGATAAATGGGTAGCATCCAAGAAATGGGGAGTCACTTGAGGAAAATTTATTGGCCATGAATGAAGACCATGGGATCCGAAAATGGCACACTTAACTTCGGCAGTTCCCCCTCCAAGAGCAGCATGAGTCAATATTATTTTCAGTCTTGTTTCAAATGTAGCATCCAAATATAAAAAGGCACATTGAATTGCAGTCCCCATTTTTCTATAGGTATCGAAAATTTCTGGTGAATGGTTTTTCATCAAATCAATTGCATGACTGAAAAGCCAGCCTTTATCAGTACCTTTGGGATTTTGTTGAGCCACATTAGGATTTCTTAATTCAGCAACTGTTTTCGGGGATCTGATAACATGAATCTTAACCTCTTGATGGGGAGTTGGAGATTCTACGTTGTAACCAAAGATTCCTTGATGTTTTACTGTTTCCTCAACAAATTGGAAACTTCTGTTACTCAATCCAATTGCTCTCATTTCGTCTTGAGTGAAAGCTTGCATAAGTCTTCCAGCAACTTTTAACTTTCTAATAGCAGTATCTAAATTAGCAACTTCACCACGCTGTAATCTATAACTTGGCATATCATAGCTACCATTTGAATCTTTACCCAAAATAACACAGAGATGAACTGGCTTATTATGAGGAAGCGGATTATATGTTAATGCCAACTGTCCTTGATCAACAACGTGCTGATTCCCGTTATATTGAGGAAACCCAAGACCATTAATGAACCCATTATCACTAACCTGAACTTCAAAAATATTACTCTCTCCAGGATAAACATGAAGCAATGCTTTAAAGTTACCGTTGTTATTCACTTCAAAATGTTGTGGAGGATAAACTTTGTTTTTGTTATTGGTAAAGCTAATTACCCCGGTATTAATCCCCGTTGACGTACGTCCACTAACTATAACGGTGGAAGACGAGACTATTTCATGATCCTGGTAATTAAACGTAAGCGGCATGGCCAATGGCTGTTTTACTATGTCCTATTCAAGTCAATTGAAATAAAACTGGAATAGAAGAGTGATTGATTCTAAAAAAAGCTCGTTAAGCCTTTAAATTGAAGTATTGCCGAATTGTGCGGTTCCAAAAAGAACGACGAAAAACACTGGAAAACGCTTGATGGGAAGGATCTTTCATCCAACCGATCCAAACAAGCAAAGAAGTGATAAATGTCGGAGAAACGGTCACAGTCAGATGCCCATCTAGCAGCAAGAAATCATTGGGCAAGTAAGAAACCAAAAGTTGACGATGAAAAAAAAATTCCGCAGCCAAAAGCAGGCAGCTCCAACGATCCGATTGAAATTGGTGATGATTCTGAAGAGGAACCCACTGGGAAGCCGGTTCCATTGAAGTCGGCTGTTCGCTTGCTTCAGGATCGAAGCCACGAATTGCACGGTGGTACAGCAAGTGCAGAGAGCAATAAAGAAGCTTTGGCACTTCTGGATCTTATAGGCATGCCAGATTTGAGCAAAACTTACCAGTTCAATTTTGCAGTTGACTTAGATGTTTTCCTTACCCATTTGCATCGTGACGCTGTGAGACGAAGGGCAAAGATTGTATTTGTCACTGGCTCGGACGTTGTGCAAAATAGTGACGATGCCGAATTTGTCAAGAAGGCATTTGATATCGAAGAAGTAAAGGCAAACTTGCCCTTTCGGTTTGGATCGCATCATAGCAAGATGATGGTGAATTTCTTTCAAGATAACACTGTTGAGTTTGTTATTATGACGTGCAATTTCAACAAGATCGATTTTGCTGGGTTGACCCAAATGTGCTGGAGAAGCGGCCGACTTAGCAGGAAGAAGGACACCAGCAGTTCCACAATCTTGGGTGACCAGTTCTTGCAAGACATGACCGAATACCTAAGGTCTTATAACAAAGTTACTATTTCCAAACTTATAGACGATATCAAGCTTTACGACTACCTGAGTATCGACATTGAGATTCTTCTGTCGTCACCGGGAATATACAACTTGAGTCAAGGTCCGCAGCAGGGATACGGCAAGTTCTTACAGCTTCTCAAAAGAAATGATCTACTACTCGGAGACTCTGATGCAAACCACAATGTCCTAGCCCAGGTGTCTTCGATTGCAAGCTCTTTCAAAGTTCAAAAGGGCCAGCATGCGTCGGTGCTCACCCATTTGATCTGCCCCTTGATGTTCTCCAAAACCAACCGCTTCTCCAGCCTTGGTCCTAGTGATAACTCTGCCCGTAACCACCAAACCCAATACAATTATACTCCCAATATAGTCTATCCAACCCTAGATGAGGTGGCCGACAGTAACTTGGGTTACATGTCTGGGGTTGCCATACATTTCAACAACAACAACGCACGACTGAATGCCAACTACCTTCAAAACATCAAACCCTATCTTTGCAAATGGAACTCTTCTTCCCCAAATTCAAAAACCGGGAGAGAAAATGTCATGCCCCATACCAAGATCTATGCCTGCGATAACGCCGACAACTGGAGCAGCTTGCGTTGGGCACTAGTCGGAAGCCACAACTTATCCAAGCAAGCCTGGGGTGAACCTCTTGCCAATAACGAATATAGAATTTGCAGCTATGAACTCAGCATCTTCGTACACCAAAAGGAAAACCGTAAATTGATCCCAGTCTACGCCTCTGACTCCCTACAAAACGATACCCACAACATCCCCATCCGTCTTCCTTTCACTCTACCCCCACGCAGGTACCTGGCCCAAGATAGGCCGTGGTCTGCTTCCACTGCTTCATCAAGAAGAGATCGGTTTGGCAATACTAATTAGTGTGTATTAATCAAAAATAGATAAACAAAAAAAAAAAAATTCGAGAGACGCGTCTCTTCTCTGATAGATCAACTTCACTTGATAACATCGTAGCTTTTCTTTTAACCAGAAGGTGATTTATAAGTGCAAGAGGTGCTGGGTAATGCATATTAAGAAGATCATTATTCAAGGTTTCAAGACCTACAAGAACACGACGGTGATTGACCTTTTATCGCCGCAGCATAATGTGGTGGTTGGTCGAAACGGTAGTGGTAAATCGAACTTCTTTGCTGCTATTCGATTTGTTTTATCGGATGCCTATACTCATATGACCAGAGAAGAAAGGAAAGGTCTTATTCATGAAGGATCCGGTAATGTTATGTCTGCGTATGTGGAGATTGTTTTCGATAACACTGAACGAAGATTCCCGATCTCTAAAGATGAGATAGCGGTGAGAAGAACCATTGGGTTGAAAAAGGATGATTATTCATTGGATGGGAAATCGGCAACCAGGTCTGACATAATGAATTTGTTAGAAAGTGCCGGTTTTTCCAGATCAAATCCGTATTATATTGTTCCTCAGGGTAGAATCACTGCGTTGACCAATTCGAAGGATGCAGAAAGATTGAGTCTTTTGAAGGAAGTTAGTGGGGCCAAAGTCTTTGAGTCCAAGCTAAAGGAGTCTATGAAGGAAATGGCCAATTCCAATTACAAGAAACAGCGTACTGAAGAAGCTCTACAATCTCTTGATGCTAGATTATCTGACTTACAAATCGAATCGACCGATTTAAAAGAATATCAATCTTTGGAGAAAAATAAAAAATTATTAGAATATAAGTTATTTGATCGTGAATTGAATACATTAAATACCAAAATTGAACAAAATGAAGAAGAATATACTGATTTGTTAGAAAACTCTAAGCAAGATATCGAAGATTTAAATTCTAGAGAAGCACTATGTCAACAGCTCATTGATTCGATTGGTCAATTGAAAACTGATTTGAAAGTGGCAACTTTGGAGAAACTGCAAACTGATATCGATTCAAATCAACTCTATCAACTCATCGCAGAGAAAGAAGTCGAAGTAAATAACTTGAGGGCTAATTTAAGTTCAGTTGAACAACAGTCCAAGTCAAATGAGTCTCTGGTTTCTCATTATAAAGATCTTATTGTCAAACACGAATCTAAAATAGCTGATTATAAACCCAAGCTTAGATCATTACAGGAACACGAAACAGAAATCAAATTAAAGTTAGCAGAGTTACAAACTAAACAAAGAGCGTTATATTCTAAACAAAGTCGTTTTTCTAAATTCACCACTCAAAAGCAAAGAGATGATTGGTTGCAGAAAGAAATTAAATCTTTGAAACAAGATCTAAAAACTAAACAAACTTCCATTGATCAAATTCAAGAAAAAATTACCTCCCATAAGGAAGAATTATTCGAATATAATAATAGAATAAATGAATTGAGTGAAGAATTGAATGGGAATAATCATCAAAGTCAAAAAATTGATCAACTTCAAACTTCTGTTAATGAATTGCGTGCCCGAATAGTTGAACTTACAGATCAAAGAAAACAATTATGGCGTGATGAAATCAGATACAAGAGTTTCCAAGACCTGATAGAAAACGATCTTAATAATGCCACTCACCAAGTCAATCAAACTATGGATCGTGCCCAAGCTAAAGGTTTGGCAGCTGTGAAGAGCATTACCGAAAAACTTAATCTAGGAGAATCGGTTCATGGCCCATTGGCTGAATTATTCCATGTAAGTGATAAATATAAAGCTTCAGTTGAAGTAGTTGCTGGTAACTCACTTTTCCATGTTGTGGTTGATAATGATAAAACCGCGTCTATCATCATGAATGAATTGGTAAGAACCAATGCTGGTAGGGTCACTTTTATGCCTTTGAATCGTATAAAAGTTCCCGAACACACTGAGTATCCAAATCCTCAAGAAAATGAATGTATTCCTTTGATTGATAAAATCAAACACGATAAACAAAAAGTTGGAATAGCCATGAGACAAGTCTTTGGGAAAACTATTGTTTGTAGTAATTTACAAAAAGGTTATGAATTGGCCAAACAATTCAAACTTAATGCCATTACCCTAGATGGTGATAGAGCAGATACAAAGGGTACTTTATCGGGTGGATTTAGAGATTATAAAAATTCAAGAATCGATGCCTTAAAAGTTCAATCTAAGAAAAAGAAAGAATTGATAAAAATTCAACAGGAATTAAATAAATGTTCTGAGAACATTGATGCAGTTAACCAAGAATTGAATAATGTTAACAATGAATTACAAACCAAAGTTCGTGATTTGGATCAAATAGTATCTTCTCGTGAACCAATTAAAACAGAATTATCTCAATTAAGCAATAAAAAATTCAATTTAGAACAAGAACTTAGTTCATTAGAAATTAGCCTGAATTCCCTCAATATGACAAAAAAGAATTTACAAACAAATTTAGATCAACATCAAGCTGAATTGAAATCTTCATTTACTCAAAGTTTGAGTGATGAAGAACTCACACTTTTGCAACAATTAAATAATCAAATCAGTCAAACTGAAAATGAGTTGGATGAAGTTGTTACCGAGTTATCCAGCATTGAAGGTTCTATCTCAACCATTGAATCCGAATTAAATAATAATTACGTGCCTCATTTAAATAAGTTACTTGATTCCTCTGGCCATTCAAATCATCAATTAAGCGCTTTAGAATTAAAAATGTTAGAAAACGAATTACGAGGATTGAAAAAACAATTTGATAGCGTTGAATCTAAAAAAATAGAATCAAATCAAGCTTTCCAAAATCTTCATGATGAACTCAATAAACATGAGGATATGTTAAAAGATGCTAATCAGCAACAAATTAATATCATGAAGAAACTTGAAAAATTTTCTAAAACAAGTGAACGAAGTTTATCTAAAAAATCGATACTATATCAACGCCGCGATGAGGTTAGTAAGAAAATCAGTGACTTGGGGGCATTGCCAGAAGAAGCATTCTTATCAACAGAACATAATGACAAAAGTCCTGATGCCATCTCAAATGAATTGAACTCCATTAATCAAGGATTGTCTAAGTTCTCCCACATTAATAAGAAAGCCATGGAGCAATTTAATACCTTCACTCGTGAAAGGGAAGATTTAATGAAACGAAAAGATGAGCTAGAAAAGTCTCGAGATTCGATCGAACAATTGATTCATAAATTAGAAAAGCAAAAAGATGAAGCCATCAGCAAAAGTTTCGAACAAGTATCTAAAAGTTTCCACGAAATCTTTGAAAAATTAGTTCCTGCTGGTGTGGGTAATTTAATCATGCAAAAGAAAAGACAAACGGCCTCCGAACCAACCGCATCTGATGAAGAAATTGTCGGTAGCGATGACGATAGCGAACATGAAGGAGTCTCGCGCCGTACTCGTAATAAACAACCTCAAGTCAACATTGACAATTACGTGGGTGTTTCGATCTCGGTATCATTCAATTCCAAGCACGATGAACAGCAAAGAATTGAACAATTATCCGGAGGTCAAAAGTCTCTATGTGCAATTGCACTTATCCTTGCAATTCAAGAATGTGATCCTGCCCCATTCTACTTATTTGATGAAATCGATGCCAACTTAGACACCCAGTACAGAATTGCCGTCGCTTCAATGATTAGCAAATTGTCCCATTCCGCTCAATTTATTTGTACCACCTTCAGACCCGAAATGTTGCAAGTTGCAAACAACTTTTATGGTGTGATGTTTGGTAATAAAGTCAGTACTGTCTCTGAAATCAACCGGGAAGAAGCAATGTCTTTCGTGGAGGGCCAGCAACGTCGTTGAGTTTTCACTCTTATATAATGGTTTTCAGTTCTTTACTTACTCTTAATGCATGTCTACATATATTTCATACCGCTCAAGGAGTTTTTGATTCGTTTTTGATTCTTTCACTCGACAATCTCGCCATAATCATGAGATAAGCTCGATCTGTTGATTTTTGCATCCAATTGTCGTTTAGAGGCTTTGTAGTCAAAAAAGTTATGAGCGAAAAAATCGTACTATTCTCAAAGGTACTCTTCGCTGTTCTCGAAACGCTGCTAAAATCTCAGATATCAGAAAGGAAAAATTCAGCCGACAAGATAAAACCACGTTCTTTTCCTCGTAGCATAACACGATAGACTTAGTTAACAGAAGGAAAGCTTTGAAATGAGTAAAGCCAGTGAATATATGAAGCCAGGGGTCAAAAGACAGCCCAAAATACTAAGTAGAGGAGAAATCATTGAGTTAATTTCTCAAGGAAAGGCTATAGTTATTTATAAGAATTATGTTTTGAATCTAACATCTTGGTTACCCAAGCACCCTGGAGGTGAAAAGGCAGTCCATCATATGATTGGAAGAGATGCCACTGATGAAATGAATGCTTACCATAGTGCCGAATCAATTGAAAGTTTTACGAATTGGAAAGTTGGGCAAATTGATTACTTTTGGGAAAACTTATTACCACCAATTCAGGGAGCGGTTTATACTGGTGGTGATAAGGCCTTGGCATCACATACGTTGTTGGAGAATAAATTGGACCAAGGAAGTGCTAGCAATAGTGATGTCGATCTTGTATCGAGTGCAAGTTCTACTAGCTCAGTCGATGAAGAAAATAAGCCTAAGGTAGTTGAGAATAAAGGGTTGGGATTTCCTAAGGGGAAGGTTGAGGCCAATAAAACCAGGATCATCACGAAAGAGAATATGGATGAAGTTTTCCCGGTGAAAGATTATCCAATTATCGACCCCAAAGAATTGGTGCAAAATTATGATAATGCCTTAACTCAACAAGATGTATTGGGAGTTCCAAGTTTAGATTATAAGACGCAGCAACATTTGAGGGATAAATATAATGAATTACATGCCAAGGTGATTAACTTGGGATTATATGAATGTCACTACTGGTCATATGTTCGAGAACTTATTAAGATTGGAAGTCTTGTTCTTTATTCATTTTCATTTTTAAAATTGAAATACTATTTTCTAAGTGCAATTTTCATTGGATTGGCATGGCACCAAGGTACTTTTATAGCACACGATGCTGGCCATGTACTGATTACCCATGATTACCAATATGATAATTTATTTGGAATGTTAATTGCCGATTTTTTCGGAGGGTTAAGTTTAGGATGGTGGAAACGGAATCATAACGTTCACCATTTGATAACCAATGATCCAGTACACGATCCTGATATTCAACATTTACCGTTTTTTGCAGTTAGTGTTAAACTTTTCAATGATGTTTATTCTACGTATTATGAAAAATATTTACCCTTGGATGCGTTTGCTAAAAAATTGATTCCAATACAAGAGTATTTATATTACCCGATTCTTTGTTTTGGTCGATTCAATTTATATAGATTATCCTGGATGCATGTTTTGAATGGAGATGGACCACGTAGGGGGAAAGCTGCTTGGTTCAGATACTTTGAATTAGTTGGATTATCATTTTTCTTTTATTGGTTTTTTTATCTTATAGTTGGTAAAACTATTGAAGGAGGATGGAATAAGTTCAATTACGTTATGGTTAGTCATATTGCAACCATGTTAGTTCATGTTCAAATTACATTATCGCATTTTGCAATGTCAACCAGTGATTTAGGAACCAGTGAAAGTTTCCCTTCAAGACAAGTCAGAACCACAATGGATGTCGACTGTCCCGAATGGTTAGATTTTCTTCATGGAGGATTACAATTTCAAGCAATACATCACTTATTCCCAAGATTACCCCGTCATAATTTAAGAAAAGCACAACCTTATGTACTTGATTTTTGTCGGGATGTTGGTTTAAGATATTCTATTTATGGGTTTGGAAAAGGGAATGAAATCATCATTGGTAAATTAGGTGAAATAGGAAAACAATGCAGCATCATGTTAGATTGTACTAAACTGTTACCCCATGTTGATCATTAAAAGTATTTATTATTATATATCTATATATGTCATTACTTCATAAATTAACGTTTTCGTCAATTAAGCCTTTATCGTATAAATACTCGATAAAATCAAGAACAATCTCGTTTTGATTCAGGTACAAGTCCCGTTGAACCAACATCTTGTACAAAGAAGAATTAGTGGCTGGATTTACGTACATCTCGTTGGTGAATCTTTTCGGGACGTTGATTTCGATTCCGTTCAACATCTTGGTGCTGCCAGAAGAGGGCTTACTTTGCTGAGTCTCGTGAACAAAACTGCATTGGTTCCCAAACTTACACCGTTTATGTTGTTGGTAAAACCGGCAAACGGTCTTTTGTTTCTTCTTTGGTTGATCATCGGCAGCCAGTCTTTTTGCTGGCAGCAGCAGCTGCTGCTGCTGCTGCTTTTCCTGAACTCTTCTATTTGTAGGCCATTTCTTCTTCCGTTCTTCTATCCACTTAGCAATGTCTTCGTCTGTCTGTAATGATATATTTGTGCCTGGAATCAAGGTCACCTGTTCGTCGTCTGAGGGATCACTTTCTGGCTTGGGTTGGGGTCTGGGCTCGGGGGTTTCTGCCTCTTCGTTGGGCAAGTGCGTGGGGAGTCCGTCAAGGAGCCATTCGTTGGAATTCATGACAGGGTGCTCTTAATGATCAGGGTGCTATTTTTATCGTTGTTCATATGGCTATGTAAACGATTCTGGAGAACTGGCGATGAGCAGATACCACCCTCGGAACATAACCACTCGCCCTCGGAAAAAAAAAAAAAAGAGCCATGCCCAAAGCACTTCCCCAGCCAGACATAAAGTATGAGCCATGTTTAACTGATCACAGTTTAATAGACGAAACTAGGGAAGTGACTACTTCGAGGATATCGGCCATTGATTTGGTTCGTACTTGGCAGTAGCCAAATTGTCAACACAAACTTTGTTTCCCTTGGGAACATATTGTGCTTACATTGTATTTCTGAATAATCTTTGAGAATCAGTAGTAATAGCTACCTACTCTTTATATTTAGCCATTTGTCTGATTTGGCACTTGATTGTCCTTGAAGTTCTTCTTTCTTTTTTTGTAATTTGTTTTTTTGTTTTTTTTTTTTCACTTTTGTATGTGTTTTTTTTTCGTTTTGTTAGTCTACAGAGGCTTGTAACAAAATCAAAATATAAATATCAACCTTGATTCCTATGAAAACGAAATTTATTTTCAAACCAACTACTTTTCTTCTTTAAAGGTATCTAAACATTAGTTTTTTATTAGCTTCTTGTTTTTGAAAATGGTATGTTTGAATTACGTCCGTCCTCCCGTTGAATTTGATTTTTCAAATTTTTCATTGAGCTCCCTCTCTTTGACCTCCTTTATTTCCTCCGATAATTCCCTGATCGTTCTGACCATTTCCTATTCCTGATCGTTCTGATCACTTCCTATTCCTGATCATTCTGATCACTTCCTATTATCTGACCATTCTGACCATTCTTGATTCTCCCTGGCTTCCTCAATTAGTCGGTGAATGAAATGACGGGAACACGACCTGTTTATACTCTGAAATTGCCGATTGTGGTAAATTGATACGGGGGTGGGCGGCGGCCGGGCGCGCCCTCGGTCGGGGGACCGGCACGCTGTCAAAATTGCAATACTAACGGTTTGTCTAGTCTTACTACCAACAAGGACCACCTCCACAACAAGGATACTACCAACAAGGGCCTCCACAAGGATACTACCAACAACAACAGCCAATGTACGTCCAGCAACCACAACAAAATAACGGAGGAGGATGCTGTTCATCTTTCTGTGGATGTTGTGCAGCCATTCTCTGTTGTTGCTGTGCTGAAGAATGCCTTGGTATGTGCTGTGATGCCATGTAATAAATGTATTATTCCATTAATTTATTTACTTCTTGTCAATTGCATATAGATATAAAGTCTTGTTCAATTCTTGGTTGATCACGGGCACACTTGACGTATAAACTTATTGACTTTCTTCTTTGTTTAATCTTATAAAATTGTGATTTCTACTTTAATACAAAATTGTGATTCCTACTTTAATACAAAATTGTGATTCCTACTTTAATACGAAATTGTGATTACTTAATTAATATAGTGATTACTTAATTAATATAGTGATTGCTTAATATAAAATTGTGCTTTACTTAATACAAAATTGTGATTTACTAAATAAAACTTAATGTATATTCAAACATAAAACATAGACATAGACAGAGATTAGTGAGCAGTGAACCCACCAGAAGCGTAAATGGTTTGACCGGTGATCCAACCCCCTTCGGTAACTAAAAATCTGATGATTGGAACAATATCTTCAATCTTGGTCAATCTGTTGTGTAAACCAACAGACTTGTAAAATTGAATATCGCCATCAGTTTCTTGTCCGTACAAAAATGGAGTATCCATTGGACCAGGAGCAACAGAGTTGACAGTGATACCACGGTCGTGCAACTCTTTGGAAGCACTCTTGGTGTAGTACTCAACTGGAGACTTGTTACCTTGGTAGGTAGAGTAAAATGGAGTGTAAGCAGCCAATAACGAAGTAACCAAAGAAACAATACGACCGTTTTGGTTCAATTTGAGACTGGCTTCCTTGATAAAGAAAAAGGCAATCTTGTTATTGGTTTCGTCCATCCCGTCAAATTCTTCTTCGGTGGTTTCAACCAATGGCTTCTTCAAAACCCTACCAACGTTATTGATAGCAATATCAATACCACTGGGGAATTTGGATTTGGCAGCATCAAACAACTTGGTCAAATCTTTGGCCCCGGATAATTTGGCCTGGTAAGTTTCAACCTTGACCCCGTGTTGGCTCAATTCCTTAACAAGTTTATCCAAACCAGCATCAGGAGAGTTGTAGTGAATAAACAAGTTTGCACCCAAACGAGCCAATTCTTTAGCAGTAGCAGCACCCAAGTTTTTGTTACCACCAGTGATTAAAGCGGTTTTACCTTTGATTTCGTGTTCTTTAGAGTAAAATGACATGTTAGTTGATAATTGATTGATAATTGATTAATGATGAATGAAATATTCCAAATAGCTGGGAATTCGTCCCCAATTTATACCCTTCCGATGGAAAATACCCCAACCCACAGTTTTTAAAGCAATTGCAGCACTAACACCATCTCCCAATTACATTTTAGAGGTCAAAGATTCCTGCATGGCTCTTTTCTTCTCCCATTCTTCCCATCCCCCATTGTAACTAAAGACTCTTGTCAAAGTAGTTAAAAATTTCAGTTGCAATTTTCACTAAATGACGCATGGAAGCTGGCTTAGAACCGAGCAATGAAAACAAACCGAATGTTTATTTGTTGATGCTCTTCGGTCGTAAGCCCGTTGGCTTGGTTGGCCGTCTCCATTGGCAGCTCTTCCCTGGCATGCCAATGCAACGTCAAACTACGTGTTGAGCAGTACTCTCGGTGGAAGTTGGGGTGGAACTCTGGGTGGAAGGTTCGATGGAAAGCTCGGGGTGCTGCCGGAGCTTCCACTGGCTTGCTCCCAAGTTGACAGCCTTCCCTGGCCATTTTAGCTTTTTGCAACCCTACAATTCCGCTATTTGCAAAAAACAATATATTCGTGTGGATATATAGATACATAATATATAGTGAATATAGTGATCCTATAGCAGTCAATATAATCCAGTCAATGTAATCCATGCGAATTTGGAAGTTATAGGAACCTATACGAATCTATAGTTGAGACAGTTACTATAGTTGATACTATAGTTAATATGGTTATGGTTAGAATGGTAAACCTATATCTGTATGCTGATGCTACGCTTAGCGAAATTCCGTTTCGTGGATTAGCTTACCGAACAGGCGACGGCCCCACCAGCAGCTCCCAAGAGACCTCCGAAGAAGCCAACTTCGGTCTTGTCAGTGTAGGTGGCATTAGGGGTTCCGGAGCAACAGCTGAAGCATCTAAAACAATCATGCCAACACTGTCCACATTCACTACCAGGGTGTTCCACTTGGGATATCTCCAGTTCTTGTAGCGAAATTGAGTCCGAACTTCTTCGAAATTCCGGGGCTGCGGTAGGGGTATACGACGGAGGAGCTTGCTCTGGAGTATAATCTGGTAATTCGTTTTGTTTCATACCTCTTTGCTTGTATTCTTTGGTATTATTTGTTCTATTATCTGCTCTTTGTATGTATATTGTTACCAAATAAGATGTATATATAAGTTTAACTTTTGGGCTGTGAAGAGAAAAAAAAAATGATTCATGTGAACAATATAAACGACTTACAGAAAAAGATTGAATAGAAACTTTATTTATTTAGTGATATATACTCTATTAATATTAATTCTTCTTTTTATTAGAAGTAGAATTCTTTGGTAATTCTTTAACAAAAGGTAAAAATTCTGGTTCCCCAGGAATGTATTTTCTCAACACTTCAGGAACAACCAAACCATCTTCAGTTTGGTAATTTTCCAAAATACAACATAAAGCTCTTTGAGTGGCTGATAATGTAGAATTGAGACAGTGGACGTATTTTTTATCCAATTGGTTTTGTTGTTTGATACCACATCTGATTTCTAAATTACGGGATTGGTAGTCGGTACAATTTGAACATGAAACTAATTCCTTATATTCTTTTTGGTATGGGAACCATGCTTCTAAATCGTATTTTTTAGCAGCAGCGTTGTTTAATTCTCCACTGACAATACCAACAACACGGTATGGTAATCCTAAGGATTTATAAAATTCTTCGGATAATCCAATCATTCTATCGAATTCTGACCAGGATTTTTCTGGTTCACATAAAACAAATTGTTCGATTTTTTCAAAAGCATGAACTCTGAAAATCCCCCAGGCATCTTTACCGTGGGATCCTGCTTCTCTTCTGAAACAGGAAGAGTATCCTGCGTATCTAACTGGTAATTGTTCTTGTGGTGATTCAAACCATTCTCCAGCATGATAAGCACTGATTGGTTGTTCAGAAGTGGCAATCAAGTATTTTTCGTCTTCTCCATCGATAACTTTATAAAGCTCTTCATCGAATTGAGATAATTGTGCAGTCTTGGCCATGATATCTTTGTTCATCATCACTGGTGCTTGTAATGGAGTATAATCATTTTTAGCTAAGAAACTTAATCCATAATTAATTAATGCTTGATTCAAGAAAACCCCCCAGTTTCTTAAGAAGTATCCACGGTGGCCAACAATTCTACTACCTCTTTCTGGATCGTATCCATCTATTCTCAATAAAATTTCATGATGAGATAATTTGGCTGCAGCTCCGGTGGCTGAAGCAATTGGTCCAACTTCTTCAGCACCTTCTGGTTTCCAAACACGAACCAATTCATTGTTATCTTCATCTTGCGAATCAACAACCGATTCATGAACAATGTTACCAACTTGATTAACTTTATAACGTAATCCAGCATCGGCCTTGGTTTCACGTTCAGTTAATTCCTTCTTTTGGGCAACTAATTCGTCTTTTTCCTTTAATAACTCGTCGGCACTTTCCTTGGCCTTGAATTTTTTACCAATCTCTTTTTGCAAGGCATTGGTTTTCTTATTCAACGCATCCAAATCAAATCTAATCTTAGTCCAATTCTTATAATCAGCAATGATTTCGTCAACCAATTCAACGGAATCTCCTCTCTTCTTTTGAGAGGCCTTGATCTTATCCGGCTCTCCTCCCTTTTCAACAAGAAATGCGTTTATGTCCAACATCTTACCTTAGCTTTACCTGAACTTTATAATAACTTTATAATAACTTTATAAGAACTAAAGTACTTTATAACTCAAGAAACGGTGTTCGTAAGAACGAAAAGAAAAAAAAGCTGTTTTTTTTTTCATTTTTCATCGTTAAATACACGACTTGGATTCACATCCGTACATCCCATACAAAAGATATAAACTCGTAAAGAAACTAAACCTCCATGGACATCTTGTACCCCATTGAACGATTAGAAATGAGATGCAGCTGCTTCTAAGGGAAAGGCTTACTCTGAAGATCAGGCCATTGGAGTTTGTCAACACCATCACCGAGCTGTACTACTCGATGCTAGCGCAAACGGCACTTCGAGACGTATTCCCAGTAAATTGTCATCATAATGCAGCGGTGAATAGCTTATCATTGGAAAGTATGGAATACCAGTACTTGTTGAGTGGGTGTGCGGATCTGTCGATCAAGTTGTGGGATTTGAAAGCCCAAGAAGAAGTCAAAGGTGATGATGAAGACCCTGATTGGCGATACCGAAGACAATATGAAGATTACGATTATGACAATCCAAGACAAGTTTTCACGAATATCGCCACTGTTCCTCGTAAGACCGCACATACTTTTGGAATCAGCTCGATCATGTGGTGGCCGTTTGATACCGGGATTTTTGTTTCTGCTTCGTTTGACCACACGGTTAAAATATGGGATACTCAAGAAATGGCCCCGGTTCACGAGTTTGACATTGCCAATCGGGTGTATCTGATTGATATCAGGGGCCACCAGTCAAATGAAATGACGGCTAGTGCGCTTATTGCGGTTGCTAGCGATCAACCTTTTATCAGACTATTAGATATTAGGGCTGGTTCCAGCGCCCATACCTTGAGTGGCCATAAGGGCAAGACCCTTGAAGTCAAGTGGCATCCGACCAACCCGTTTCTCTTTGCTTCTGGTGGGTTTGATGGGGAAGTCAAGGTGTGGGATATTAGGAGAAGCAATAATTGCTTATGTCGTTTGGATATGTTGAAGACCAGTTCTCTGACCCAACATGATTCTCATAATCTTACCAAAGCTTCGGTGAAAGCCCACCTGGGCCCCGTCAATGGCTTGGTATGGGACGAGTCCGGAACCACTCTTTTCACTGCCGGGAACGATGATAAAGTCCGCTGCTGGGATGTTGCTTCGTCCTTAGCTCCTCCGATTAATCGTTTAATTAATTTTGGTCCCTTAACAAGAAACAAGTACCCGCAAACAATTCCAATCTTGCTAAGCTCGAAGCTGGAACTGGAACTACAATACCTTCTTTTCCCTAGTGATAACGATGATGTCTTTGTCTATAGAACCATCGATGGTAAATTGCTAAGTCGATTGAGCAGACGGGGTAGTAAAAATCACGGTCGTACTTCTTCTATGTGCTACGCTGGTCCTTCCTCCGGCACTTACTTCTGTGGTACCATGGATGGTGAAATTGTAACCTGGGTTCCTTCTTGGCCCACCTCCTATGATCGACAAGCTAAATTGGAACTGAAGGACGTCCTTGACAGATCTCATTTGGTCAAAGAAGCCAATGAAATATTGGCCAATGACCCGTTTCTACAAAAATCCTTCCCCACTTGATAGTTTAGTTGTGTTTACGAATCTACTCGACCACCCTGTAATAGTAACTGTAGTCTTCTGGGAACCGTAGCCTAGGTCTAAAAGAATGGGACGTAAAGTGAAAAATCTGAAGAGATGCACACAATTTTTTTGAGGAAGAAAAATTGATATGAGAAGCTCTGCGTAAAAAATAGGAAAACCCATCAACTCATCACAGCATTAACTCTACATTTGTTGGTTGACCAAGGGTTCGAGGACTCATTGAATCGGAAGCTGAGAAAGAAAGTATCATGAAATTGAAATTGCAAGTGGTGCTTATTCCAGCGCACATGCTGGATGTTTCAAGCGATAAACTTGATTCTTCGGTTACTAAAAAGTTTCTTCATTTAACTGAACCAGAAACTACAGTTGGAGAAGTATGTGACGCTTTATGTGCACGGTACTCCAAGCTATATCCCGAAGATGATCCCTTGGACATTTTCGGTTTGCAGGATAATGATCATTGTGACCTTGATCCAGATTTTGTTAGTATTGATGTTTTCAGTCTGGGTGATATTCTTCGAGTCTTGGTTAATAATGAATTGCATTCAGCTAGTCGGCAAAGGATATCTTCAGAAGAGACCCATTCGCTCAATCCTTTTTATAGCCAAACTCCTCCGCTGTTACCCCCAGCGCCGGTGCTTGCCCATAACACATCTTTTCAACCAAGTTCTAAAAAGAGAACACAAGAGTTTTTCGAAAAAGGAGATCCCCAAATTCCAATTAAAAGGCAGAGGTCCAGAACGATCTGGTCGGTCAGAAGTAAGTCTTCAAATAGTCCCACTCCTGAATCAAGTGCTGCTGCTACCCCTTTAATTCATATGCCTAAAAAGAGAAACCCAAATAAGCTACAAATTGAAGACGATAGTGAAAAGGAGAATAATGTGGGTCATGACTCAAACGTATCTCCAGATAGTGATATTAATGATAGTAATATTTCATTACCACCACCCGAAATTCCTGAAGATCACTCGATCCCCGTTAAGAAGCCTAATCCGGTTTCTCCTTCAAATCAAAACTCTACAAGAGTAACTTCAGGAATGCTTAATATACCACCCCATGCTCAATTGGAAAAGAAAGATCTACTAGATAAAGAATCAAAACCTAATTTGAGTGCTCCCTCGAATGCTTCTTCAAGCTCGTCTTCAAGTTCGTACTCAACCCCTGTACCTGAGCTACCCAATGAGGAAGCTTCTACCATTGATAATATTCAAAACATTGAAAATAATCAAGCGGATGACCAGGACTCCATCAGTAGAAGTGACATCGTGAGAATATTCAGAAATGGTCTAAGAGTACCTACAAAGTTGAGACAGCGTTACTCATCCAATCCAATATCAAATGATGCATCTAACGACTCGTCCAAAGCAAATGCTATAATGAAATCTTTGGAAATCGATATGGTAAATCAACAACCTACTTCTAGTGATAGAAGATCAAATTCAAAAAAACCTGATTATCCCTCTCGTCCTAAACCATCTGGCTCTCAAAATCAGTCCCCTGCTAATAGAGTAATTGAAGAAAGTTCGGAATCAGACTACGTCGAGGATGATTTCGACAATGAAATTGCCGCCGCAAATAATCTGCTGCTTCCATCCAAACCTTTACAACCATCTCAATTGCCTCCTCCCTTTGATGAAATTTCAAATAAATCTAAATTGGCTTCGCTCCATATCAAGATGAAAAAATTCGAACAAAAATTGGACAGTACAAAATTGAACTTACATGACGAGGAACCAGACTCTACAGACTTTAGCAAAGTCGGGAAATACGAAAATGAACCGTCAAATTTAGCTAAATCACCCCATGGTCGCAACAATCCTCTTCCAGTTGAAGATGATAATCTGCAAAACTCTCTCAAGAAAAGTCCTACTCAGATCCAACAAAATCACTCTACCGACCTCGAACAATCATCTAAACCTCCAAAGTCTCCTTCTCTTTTTATTGATTCGATCGATAAAAGTCATCATACAGATACAGAAGATGACTATTCCCAACGTAAATCAGGCAACGAAAATGATACCGATCCAAATACTCCAAACACTCAATTCCAGCCTCCCTTAATGATGAATTCTTTGACAGCAGCTCCTCAAAGCTCTCCTAAAGCAGGTCTGACCAAATCACACATTGATAGCTCTCCCAAAGCAGGTCCCAAATCACACATTGATAGCCCTGCCCAAAATCAATTCCCTGAATCAAACACAGATTCGAATAATCAATCGAGCCCAAAAAGACCTCGTATTTTCATCAATAGCATTAGGATTGGTAGACCACAAAGAGACCCTAAGGAAGTTACTGAGCCGAAAGAAAATGGAATACCCTCAAATAATATATCTCAGGTATCAGATCAACTCCCTCAAGCTTCACCAAGGAAAAATGACTCTACCAATGTGCAAACTGAAAACCCTTCTCCTTCATTGACTTTTCAAACTAATTCAAATATCAGTAACCTTGAAAAATCCCAGGAACTCAAGTCTGGTGCTGATGAGGGGAATATCAGTAACTCGGTTAATATGAATGAAGCTATATCAAAGACTTCACAGAACTTAAATGGTCTGAATCCAATTGTTTCTCAAGCATCCGATAAACCTAAACCTGCCACAAATTTGATCACCGAAGAAACTTTGAACAAGCCAATAGCAAGAAGATTTATTGCAGTCCCCGGTAGTGGCGACTTCAATGATAAAAAGCCATCCAAAAAGCCATCCAATGGGTCTAGCGACAGAGCCGACCATGAAGTAATTAGCCTGTCGACACCTGAAAAGAAGAAATCTCATGAGAACAGTTCATCTGCTATTAATCAACAAGAGAAAGTTGGTAACAATGTTGAAAAGGGAATGGATACTGAAAATAATGACAGCAAGAAAGTTTTGAATGCATCACAATCTCTGACTCCAAGCGATGCTTCAGGAAGGACTCCATTAGTGGATTTGTCTCAAGTTAAATTTCAAAAAAAGGAAGTGAATGGCAAAACATTTGTTGATATTACATCTGGAAGCTCTTCTGGTTCTGATTCGGATTCTGATTCTAGTTCTGGCTCTGGCTCTGGCTCTGGCTCCTCTGATTCTAATTCTGATTCTGACTCAGATTCTGACTCCGGTTCAGACTCAGATTCTGAACCTGAATCAGAATCTAAGTCTAAGCCTGTCTCAAACGAAAAGAAAGACGCTTCAAGTCCAAAATCAAAGCAGTCGGGGTCAAGTAATGAGGAAACAGGAACACTGGATCGCACTGAGAATAACCAAGAAACCGTCGGAGTTGTACAGAGTTCTAATGTTCCTAAAAGCAAGGCAGCTTCGTCTAATAGCGAGATAAGTAAGAACTCTTCTTCCGTTCCTCAACCTCAAAATTCGCCTGATAAACCGACTACTGTCTCTTCTCAGCCTTCAAATACAAATAAATCTCAGGCAATCCCTGAACCGCAACTTATAGAGGTCATAAGCAGTGGATCTGAGTCTAGCAGTGGCTCCGGTTCCAGTTCGGATTCTAGCTCCAGCTCTAGTTCTGGTTCTGGTTCTGGGTCAGATTCGGACTCAGGTTCCGATTCAGATTCGAGCTCTGGTTCTGGGTCAAGCTCTGATTCTGGTTCTGGGTCAAGCTCCAGCTCTGGTTCGGATTCGGATTCAGACTCAGACTCATCTAGCGACTCAGACGTTGAACCTGTTCAGAAAAAACAACGTTTGGCTCCAACTATAGAAGACTCTGCCACTCCATCTGCAAAAGCCACTCCATCTGCAAAGGCCTCTCCATCTGCAAAGGCCTCTTCATCTGCCAAAGCTCAATCAGTTCTCACGTCTGCACCTCCACGATCCCCTAAATACATCGTTTACAGAAGTGAAAAAGAACAACAGAGGAAGAATTCTCTAGAGAGCGGTATCCAACACTTACCAAAGAAGCCAGAATTTTCAGCACAACCAGTTCCAAAACCTAACCAGATAAGGAAGCCAGTTTTGAATTCTTTGACAGACCTTGCCAAAAGAGGAGTTCCTGAAGTAAAAGATGCACGTTTTGGATCAGCTGAAAAGGAAACTCCTAGAAAACTGTTCGGCGATTTAATTAAGAAATCCGATTCCAAAAGTGATAATTCAAGCTCTGATTCTAGTTCTGATTCTGATTCTGGGTCGGGGTCTGATTCTGATTCTAATTCTGGATCTAATTCTGACTCGGATTCTGATTCTAGCTCCGATTCGTCTGATGACTCTGAACAAGAATCCAAATTCGTTAGTTTAAAGAAATTGGCTAAAAAGAGAAATCCTACGAAGAAAAAGAGCGGAGGGGGATTTTCTGCATTAATGAAAGATGTTAAGCATTGATTATAATCTATTGATCAATATAATATTAAAAGGAGTACAATATATACTTTAAGTAAATAAACCTATTAGCATATTAGATAAGTTTTTTATTTGTAAGACTTTAAGCATTTATAATTCTTGTTCAGTGGGACGAGCTTGATAACATATATACCTGTCAATGATATCAACACACCAATCGTGATAAGTGTAATGGGAATGGTTGAAGCGATTTGGTGCCAGGCGTAAGATGGCCAGAAAGACTTTATTAATCCATTCAGAAGCCAATTGAGGGTTTTCAATACTTAGCGCCCCAACGTACTGTTCAAAATAATCACCAAGTATCTCCTGCTCAAACTTCACCCCACTATCATAAAAGCCGTAAACGTTACTATTATTCGGAGAGTTATTGAAGGCCAAAGCGGAAAAGAGAGTTAGACGTTCATCAAATTGGTTTCTTACTAGATCATCATCAAGACCAAGATGTAGCTTATAAGCTACTGCCAATCTTGAAAATAAACTATTTGATACCATAACTCTATATAAAAGCCCGAAATGAGAAAGGTTTTGTTTAAAATAAGGATCAATTTCTGCGGAGCCAGTTCTCACTTTATAAAACCAATCATTTATTTCCTTCCCAATGAAAAGATCGCCAAACCCGTCTAAGAATGATAGTGAATGTTGTATAGCCTTATAGAATGACTTATTGGATATCATTTTTTTAGTTTCAGTCAACGATTTGCTCATAGGATGGTTCCGGTGAAGTAATGCAAGAGACATATCCTTGTGGAGTAATGCTTTGGTAAGCAAGTTCTTATCCTTGATTTGGGGAAGAGGAGGGAGATCGATTGTTTTATTTATAGTTTCAAGGTGAAGTTTAGCCAGGTTGCCATATAAAAGCTCTTTATTTACTGGTGCAGTATCGTAATAATCATTCATTAGGTGCATTATATGTTGAATTTCGAGGGTATCGGGGATTTTATCAATAGCTTCTTTATTTCTCTTCAAGTAATAGTCGACTATTTTATCAATCAACGCATCTATTCGAAGCTTCTCATCATCCCGAACTATCAGGAATCCAATTGCAGTTAAGAGCCATTTGAAATTATGGAGATGACCACCTCGGGGATTCAGAGACATTTTATTTATTTCAAATTCTAATGTTAGCTCAGGACTTGCTTTAAACTTCAATTTTTGTTGTCCAAACAGATGCAAGTTCAGTGAAATGTTCGAACCAAAGTAAATCAACTCACTATACTCATCAATGCTATCGCTAGTTTGTAAATCATGAGCAAATTCCTTTTTGACATAGTTCAATGCATCCTCCACAATTACCTTTAAGATGCTACCACTTTTCGTTGGAAGCAAAGTACTAAGTTTTTGATAGATATAAAACTTCAAAGAATGCGTTCCAAGGTTGCATAAGTTCCGTCTTTTGGAAGAACAATCAAGTAAATGATAAAAGTCGTTGGGTATGGGTAATTCGATAACCGTACTAGTATTCACCTGGCCCAATCTTGACGAGGTCGAGAATTGCTGAGCAAGCTTCAACCCACCAATCCGATAACCTCCTAACCGTATTACGAGGTTAACTGGTGTATATCTCGCTGATTTCAAAATATTTGAACTCGGAGTAATATGACTAAATAGCATCTCAAGTTATTTTTATCAGCAGTTGTACACAAACATTAATCTCAATGGTTGACTCGTGGTCTTCAAGTTATGCTTTTCTTTCTGAAACTATCGAATACTTCACGTAAGTTTGTAAAGAAGGAGTAACAGGGTCTGTTGATGTTTGATTTGTGATTGCCTCTAATCAAACGTGTCGGTGGGTGCACTACTGGGCCATACCGTGGGGAAGATCGATAAGAGATAAGCATAGATCACCAACGTCAACTACAATCAGGTTCTACCAGATGAAAGTGTCGTGAATCGTGAATTGCATTAAGTTATTTGGTTGGTTGTTTGGTTAGGTTGCGATCTTGTTGTCTCCATTTTCCAACCAGTCACCGAATTGGTCTAGTCTATTAGCTTCGTCACTGGGATTAACTGAATGAGAGAATTTTTCACCATTGTATCTGGCAACACTTAATTTCAAGCCATCGTAGTATCTGCCGTCAAAGGCCTCTATACATTTGCTGGCCAGTTCGGCTTTGTTGAACTTAATCACTATGACCGCACTTTGATCGTAGATCTTGATACTGGTGATATCATTACCGATTTCAAGTTTATTGCATTCATCGGTGATATCATCTTTAAGATCTATTTCCAAATAAGAGTCTTTGGAAAACTCTTCTTTTCGGAACATGTTTGTTGCAACCACCATTTTGCTCCATACCTTCTGTTTGATCTGAGAAACTTTATTGTCGGATGTTTCGTCATCCCATTCAGTTAATTTCTTTCTCATGGCTTCTTTTCTTTGGTTGAGTAGATCTTTCTCCTCCTGGGTTAAGACCCTGCGTTCTTTTTTGTCGTCTTTTGAAGATGAATTTGAAAAGTCGGCCCTTTCAACCCGAATCTTCTTTTGGGACTTATCTGTAGGAGGAAGAATATATGAATCGTTGAGCATCTCAATAGCCAAAGATACACTATCGGGACTGTGGTAGATGACCAAAGCTTCATTCTTGAAATGATTTTCTTTGTCGTAGTAGAGTTTAACTCGAGGTTCGCCCGTTTTATAATCTTCCGATATCATCCCATACTTACTGAAACTATCAATCAAATCTTGTTTGCTAATGTTGTCAGGTAAGTTAGAGACGTATGCCCCGGTGTTATTACTTGATTTGTCCTCGTCTTTATCACCGGTGGTCTTCTTGATGTTATTCTTAAGTCGATTAATTTCATCCTTCACTGCTTGTAATTGTTCCTTCTTCAATCGTTTGATATTTCTTTTATTTTCATCTTCTTCGGTGTCGGCATCCTTCTGGCGCTTCTTACCTTCCACTTCTTCTTCATCTCGTATCACTTTGGGCATCCAGCGTTGTAGAATAAAATTGTATATATACTCCGTGTCGTTCTCTTCGAAAATCCACTGAGACGCCGATTGATCAAAAGAAACCCTCTCGTCCACACTCTTTAGAAGCTCTGGGTTCTTCTGCACAGCATTCGGATGCGGTGGCGCCTTGGGGAAATCTGCTTCGTTCATACTGGCGTTTAAAGAAACAACTTCATCTGTTCATCTCTTCGTCTTTAATTTTTCAATACAAAAAAAAAAAAAAAAAATATAGTCGTGCGCAAATAAATAAACTACTGGTATACCGATTTATATACTTGAAAAGACTTATTCTCTATCCTTTCTGAGTTGGTCGTACTGGAGTACCGAGTGGAGCAAGACCTGGAACCCGTTTTCAACTTGCTCGGGGGTCGAGTACTCTTCCGGGTTGTGGCTGACCCCGTCTCTCGAAGGAATGAAGATCATCGAGGTTGGCACTCTTGCACTTGTAGCACACGAATCATGGCCGGCACCACTGGTGATTTGCCTGACTTTAGACTCACCAAAGAGCTGGGTTGCGGAGTCGCTGACGCACTTGATGCAGTCGGGATGGAACTTTACTGCGTTGGAAGTGTAGATATGGTCAAACTCCACGGAGATTGATTTACCGGATTCCTTAGAAATCTTGGTGAATTCCAGTTTGGCTTCTTCAACCAACTGGGCCAACGTCTCATCTTTGACATGTCTGGCATCCATGGTGAAGGAAACGTCGCCGGGGATAACGTTCACCACTGCAGGTGACAAATCAAGTATCCCAACACTAAAGAGCCCTCCGAGTTTGGTTGCAATTTCGTTCCCTTTTGCAATCATTTTGGAAGCAGCCAATAATGCGTCTGATCTGGCACTGAATGGGGTGGTACCGGTATGAGAGGCCTTACCAGAAACTTTGACTTTATACCAAGCGTAAGCTTGTACTCCGGTGACTATACCGATTTCTTTATGTTCATTTTCTAATATCGGACCTTGTTCAATATGAATTTCAAAATGAGCAGCAATGGGGTTGTGCTTGTACGAAGCTTTAGTATCTCCTAGGTAGCCGATTCTTTTCAATTCGTGCTCGACGGTTACTGGCTCTGAATCAGTTACTGATTTCAAGTTATAAATTGTTTTTTTGTCAACCTGTTCGGACCAAAGAGAAGACGCCATGATCGACATTGGGAATCTTGCACCTTCTTCGTTTGTCCAGTTTATCACCGTGATTGGGTAATTGGGCACAAACTGGTTTTCCTTCAATGTTCTTAATACTTCAAGCCCGGAAAGAACCCCATAAACCCCGTCGTACCTTCCTCCAGTGGGTTGAGTATCTAAATGAGATCCAATGGCAGTAGGAGGCAATGAGTTATCCTTCCCGGGATACGTTGCAAATATGCTACCGGCCTCATCAATTTTGATAGAACAACCAAGTTGTTTCGTCTCATTAATAAACCAATCCCTAACTTGCTTATCTAGATCAGATAATGTTAATCTACAAACCCCCGTTTGAGTTTTTTCTGGCCCCCATATTCCTTTGGCTCCAAAACTGCTGGCTGTTTCGTGGATGGTCTCAAGCAACCTTCCGGGCTTGATCTTCAAGTTTCTAAATGTCATTGGATACTCTGCAATTCATTCTGCAGAAGGCTAGCTTTTGGAAATATTCTTGTATCTTTATACCTTGATACGACGGAATTCCAAATAGGGTAATGCATTCCGTGATCCCAATCCCCCATCTAAAAACTTCCATATCTCTTCAAGAAGAAACTCGATCCTGGCCATGGTCTTTGTCATCACCACCGGCAAAGTGAAACCAGTGCTGAACCCACCAAGATTGGTTGGTAAACTCGATCTGATTTGATGAGCGGCGAGCACATCTTCCGCCATAATCCCGTACGCCCATTCCAACCTTCGCTGATCTTTCCTCTCTCCACTCCTTTTGATGTCTCTTCTCTACCACTCGAGTCAAAATGACTGCAAAATGACTGCAAAATGACTGCAACAGTAAGAGTGTTTAATCCTTATACGGACGCCTGTACACAGTGCTGCACGTGATCAGCAGTCAAAGATTCCCGGTTTACGGAAAAAGAAGGAGATGCGGTATCAAAAGGTATAAAATTGAAGCAATTCTTTAGCTGATCTTCTTAGAACTGGCAAGTACCTGCTTGGAATTACCTACTTATAAAGGATGTTTAGAATAAGGCCAGCTATTAAACCAACTATCGCGGCAAGAGGGATTTCATCCTCTGCAGTTCGCTTCTCCGGTAACAAGTTTGGCACTGATTTCACTCCATCTCCACCAAAGTTACCAAAAGAACAACAAGAAGAGTTTGAAAAATTACAGAGAATCGCCAATTCTCAAGCTGCCATCGAAGAGTTTAATAAACAGAACGCAGAGTCGGGCCTGGTTAGTAGTAACTTGGCCGGGGACGTGGAAGCACAGCAGATGAAAACCGATATTGGACGTTTCAACCAGTATTTTAAAACGGTTCCTGAGTTCGAAGGCGATGTCAACCCAGCTACTGGAGAAAGAGGTGGTCCTAAACAGGACCCATTAAAACATGGTAACGATTGGTCTTTCAACGGTAGAGTTACTGATTTTTAGTTCTATTACTTCTCATCCGGTCATTCTCTGACTACTTTATTTAGTTCTTCAATAAACATTTTTGGTTAAGTAACTGCATTTTGCTTAGATAACAAAATTTTTGGTTAAATAACTGCATTTTTGCTTAGATAACTGTAGGATAACAGACCAGGAGATTTCAGATGCTCTCTTGTGTAGTAGCTCTATTTTTAGCTGTAGTGATCATGTCTAATCAAATAATACAGTATCTAAGAGTCTATTTTTAAGAAACCATACATAGTGCTATTATACACCGAGCTGGTCCGCTACAAGGCTTAGAGAAATGCAGTAGCTCTTCAACCCTCTTACCTTTTAAACTGAAGCTGTATCGTAAGGGAGGCTACATTATATCCGGATCCGGAAACTCCTTTCAGAGAAATATATGGGGGAAATCAATCAAATAACCCGATTAAATGATTGAATAATTTCTGAATATTCATTCTATATGTAAATTAGTTATAAAGAACGCTCATTTAAGAGTCTGTAAGTAATGCGCTCTCGTTCCTCGTTTCAATGAACGGTGCTAAGTATATGTCTACAGATATAATGAGGCGAGTGCTGAGGCAGTCGATAACATACCTGTCAAGCTGTCAAAACGTCATAAACTTTACGACAGAAAAGATATAAATAGCCATAGAATCCTCCCTATCCTTTTTCTCTTCAATCTAGTGTTATATTTCTTTACATTATGGTCAGTTTACTTTTCCTACTCTTTTCTAGTTTTGTTCAATCTCTGATTTTGACAGATAACTGTGACTTAAGTTCAAACAAGCCTGTAACCAATCATAATCTAGTTATATGGTGTTAATTATATAACTCCTATTTCTCCGTATGTGTCTACAGATATCAACTAATAAGCCGACTGCTGAGGCAGTCGATAACATAACTGATAAGGCGTCCAAAAGGTCATGAAACTCAGGATAGAAAAGAATATAAATATCCATGGGATCCTTCCTACTCCCTTTCTCATTTTATAGTTCAACAAGCTAGTGTTATAATATTCTCTGATCTCAAATATATTGTTTTTCATTAACATTATGTATAAATTAATTGATCATATGTTCACTAAATATCAAGCTTACCATACTTGGAGCAATCAGGGTAATGAAAATATCTGTCATTTTGCTTATATTATTAATCACGGTTGTCCATCAAATAATAATCTTCTATATGTTGATGATTGTTTTGATATCGATTCAAGATTACTTGACTCTTATACTTTACCTCTTCTCTACAGTGAACTAACTAATGTTATAGGGGTAAACTCAGTTGAAAACTTAGTTATATTTGAAAGTTATGATAAGGCGAGGCAATATTACCGGGAAAATATGAGCAATTAAGTAAAGTGATTTTAAAAGAAACTTTATAAAATAACTGTCTTTTATATGGTAAGTTTCTGATTACATGTTGTTGAGGTTTGCGTTGGTCCCGAAGAAAGATAGTATGAGCCAGTATGATAAGCGGGATTAACGACATCATAGAAGATCGAGGAAGTAGAGGTAAGAACCTGTTGAGAAAGAGGTGAAGAATACCATTTGGTAACGTAAGAGGAAATTGCAATTAGTGCAGAAGAAAAGACTGTTTGAACAGAGGCAGTGAAGCTAGAGAAAACTGACCGGTCCAATAAGGCAAAAGATTGACTTAACATACTAACCATAAGAGGAGCAACAAGGTTAAACACAAAGAGAGAAGCAGTAGAGAAAGGGTGGTCGGGATTATCTCGACGACGATTATCCTGACGTGGAGCAGCAGGTCTTGGATTCATAGTGGATCTTGAAGTAGTCTTTTTTTTAGTTCTAGTTCTAGTTCTAGTAGAGCGAGAAGAGGAAGGTTGAGATGAAGTCGAACCTGATGAGTGATTTGCCATGAAGCTGTAAATATGTATTGGTAGATATTTAAGAGGGCTTGATAAGGTAAGAATAGCTTAGAGAAAAAGGGAGAAAATAAGAATATATATTTAATAACTATTTACTAATATATACCTAGAGTGGGAAAGACTATGTTTAGTCAAGAAAACCCATGTTTTTTTTTCAGAATTTCTCTCTCAGTTTTGCAACCTTATTTTCCTCGCTCAGTCCCAAACACCGATTCCTTTCATCAAACAACTTGAAAGGTCCCTTGGCCCAGTTGGTTAAGGCGTGGTGCTAATAACGCCAAGATCAGCAGTTCGATCCTGCTAGGGACCATTTATTTTTTAATTATTTTTTTTACGACAATGATATTTAACATTCTCTTGTTAACCTTACAAATGAAAAATGACATTCTAGTTAATCAAAAGCAGAAACCAAACTTCGCAAGTCAGCTATATTTGTTTTTGTAAAATAGAGGTTCCATAAACTGATTGCCGCAAAAAGATTTTTTTCTTTTTTGCAACCAAACTTCCACAGATTAAATTTTACAAACAAAATGAACCACTATTATCAATCTTATTCTTCACCAAACCCCACCATTAGTATCAAATTATTCTATATAATCACTGAATTACTAAATCGAAGTTCCGATTTGAAAACCATCAATTAAACGAGCTTCATCTGATTCTACGAATCAACTAAAAACTTTCAAATTTTTTAAAAACTTTCAAACTTTCTTAATACCCCTTAACTTCCTTAAAAACTATCTCTTACCAGGATATGGCTATTCTCAAATCTCTCAAGAAAAAGGACTCTAGCTTCATCAAGGAATTCAACATTCCAAATCCTAACTATTCTCGTGGAAGTTTTGGCCAATTTGGTTCATTAGTGAAGACTAAATTCAAAGAGTCTTTCATGAAACCTTCTGACAACTATTGTGGTCAAGGATTAAAAGAACATGCTGAAACTTTTAAATTGAATGCCGAGGAATTGTTGTCTAATGTTGTTGAATCTGCTAAAGTTTTATTACCATCTTCATTAAGTTCAAAACCTTTGCCAACACCTATTCGTGTCGCGGATTTGGTTAACGCTTCTGTGGTTATGCAAGCTCAACAAGATGCCTCTATTGAAAGAGACTCCTATCAACCTTATACTCCTACTTCTTTGGAGGATGAGGAGTATAATCTTTTTATGCCCATGAAACCTTCTCCACCGGTTACTTTAAGATCTTCTTCAACCAAGTCAGAAAATTTCCTTCCATTTTCTGAAACTGGATATGGTGATTTGAAACGAGTCTTTCAACAAATGTTGCCTGATTCAATTAGTGAATTTTCTTCTATTGAACAACCTGAAGAATATACTTTAGACACTATTGCTGATAATAACTCATCACCAGTTGCAAAAAATTTAATTGATTGGGATAACTTCGAGGAATTGAAACCACTCTATGATCAAATGTTACCGGAATCACAAGGTCAATCTTCTTCTAATGCTCATCCTGAGAAATTTAATTCTGAAAATGTTTCTAATAATTTCTCATCAGTATCTAATTGTCAAATTGATTGGGAAAACATCCCGGAGTTGAAACCTCCTTCGAAGTCTGGTAAAAATTTCTCTGCTCCAACTCAAATTGAACTTAAAAATGATGAATGTGATTCTAAATCTTTAGAGCCTTTTCCAACTTTGGAATGTCAAAATCAAAACCAAATTTCTTTCAAAGATTTTGAAAATAACTCTGTTGACGATGAAATTTATGCTAATTCTGTTAAAAAAGTTAGAATTAGAAGTGTTTCCACTACTGAATTTGATTCAACCATCTCTTCTAAAGGAGAAAGCTTTGGTAACAAACCTTTACAACAAATTCAAGAACCAATCTCAAATAATTCTATCAAGCCAATAATTAAAAATGAGACAACCATTGGGAAAGATGATTCAGTTATCTTTTCTCCAAAATTAAGATCAAAGGTTATGGGTTCCCAAAAAACTAAAAAAGTTTTATTTAGTGTTAGTTCTGATGAGTCTGCCAAGTCAAGTAACTATACTGATAACTATAATTTTGAATTACCGGAAGAACGTATGGTCTTGAAACAAGGTGCTAGTCCCACTGAGGTTAAAGAATTCATTACTCAATTCAATAGACCGGTTTCTATTTCTAAATCTAAATCAAATTACAACTTACGGAAATTTGATAATCAAGATTTAATATATAATGACAATAAAAAGTACCAAGCCTCTAATCAAGAAGCTACCTCTGCTGACTTAGTTACTTCATCCAATATCTACGATGATGAAAACAAAATTCAAGATTTTCAATCAGCTGTTTCTTCTTCCGATAATGCTGCTTTTCAACAACCTATCGCTTATGATTCATCAAGTATTTACAGTGATGAACCTGGTTATACCGGTCCAGCTACTACTGACAGAGGTTCTGATTATGTGCCCCCATATTATGATCCATCTGCTGCTTTTCAACCACCTATTGATTGTGATTCGTCAAGCATTTACAGTGATGAACCTGGCTATTCCGGTCCAGCTACTACTAACAGAGATCCTGACTACGTGCCACTTCAACCACATCCTGATTATGATCCATCTAAACCATTACTTGATGATGATTCTGACCCATATGCTGCTTATTATGATCAATTTGGCAATTATGATCCAACTGCTGCTCTTCAATGTGAATATGATTTTGATCCATTTGCTCCTGAACATGATCCATCTCTTGCTTTTCAACCACCAACAGAATATGGATCCAATAGTGAGGGACATGCTTATACTGCTCCTGCTTCTAAGAAAAGGGCAATCTATGAATCTTTTGATGAAGAATGTGATTCTCAACAGAATCCTAATCTTTCTGATGAGCAGGTCACCCTTACTTCTCTTTCTTCATTAAGTTCGATAAACATACCTCTCGGAGATGCCAGTACCCCAAATCAAACTGTATTACTTGAGAGTGAAGAATTAGTTCCTGAAGTTGAACCTAAACTGAAGAAACATTTATCAAAGAGATTCAAGCAATCTTTTTCCAAAAAATGGAAAAGATTGATAAAGAAAGATAATTCAGAAACGGTTAGAGAGCACAAGACTTTGAAAAGGTTGAAACGTTTTTCTCATTGGATAAAGACAAACAGTTCTCGAGGTTCATTGGATTCTTCAAAATCGACATTAGTTGGAAGTGCTTCCGAGGCTGATGCTGCTGTACCTAGCGTTGCTGAATATGAAGCTGTTGAACCTGATAATGCTGCTGACTTTAATGCTGAATCTTTTGCTGTACCTAGCGTTGCTGAATATGAAGCTGTTGAACCTGATAATGCTGCTGACTTTAATGCTGAATCTTTTGCTGAACCTGAGCTTGCTAAATCTGAAGCTGCTGAACCTGATAATATTATTAACATTGATAATGTTCTTGTGTACGCTAGAACTGTTAATAAATTCGAAGACCGTCCAGACTCAGGATGGTCTACGGACTCAGATGATTCATATATACCAGCAGTCCATCGTCATAAGATTCTCAACCGTTTGCAAAAGAAAAGGGCACAATTTAGAAAAGAAGCAACAAAAGATGTGATTGTACCTCCGGATGACCAACCAACTTGGCCAGATAAATACGGAAACTGTACTGTTACGGCTGAAGCAAAACACCATTGGATTAAATACTGTGTTGAAGTAGTTCACCATAAAACCAATGTCTTATATGACTTTATTGACAGCTTTCCAGAAAGGGTAGTTGAAATTGATGCAGAAATTAAAAAATCAGACATAAGACATACTGAAATTTATGCATTAGCTGAATATGAATCAAAATTTGACTTCTACATCTTTGATATCTTAGAACGGTTATTTTCTCTAAAAAATTTCTTTCTAAGTCTTGCAGAAGGTAAGGAACATGAAGAGTTGCTTAGGTGTACTGGTAATGAATATGTTGACGTTCACGAGCCTGTTTTCAAAATATGCTCAGAGCTAACTCAGGAAAGAGAATTTGTTGATTTATATACTAAATATAAATCAGATCGCAGGTTCCCTTTTAATTTTGATGCATATACTGCCAATATGTGGGCATACGTCAAAACAAGTATGTCGGACATCAGACAGCTCAAGGAAAGCGAAGCCGTTTTCTATAAAAATTTCAATGACTGGTATGAGTTACGCTATTCTGCTGATAAAGTTTAATAGAAACTGAAATGACTGCAAAATATTGAATTGAGAGTGTTTCTAGTGACTAAGGTGGCTAAGGGACAGGACAATAAGGACAAAGGACAAAGGACAAAGGAAAGCAATTGGCTTAGCTCTAGAAATACAAACTCAATTTCAATACTAGCATGATTTTTAGTTTAACTTGAATAGCATAACTTTTTATATATTCAAAAAAAAAATTAAAAAAAATTAAAAATACATAAAAAAACAAAAAAAAAAAAAAAAACACCTTATAAAAACAAAACAAATACTTTCAGTTCGTTAGATTTCTTCTTACTAACTTTTGATAACTGTTAGAAGTTATCACATTTTCTGATTTCATTTTACTTTACTTTTTATTTTACTTTATTTTACTTTATTTTACTTTATTTTACTTTATTTTACTTTATTTTACTTTATTTTACTTTATTTATTTTACTCATATTACTTTATTTTACTTTAGTTTACTTTATTTTACTTTATTTATTTTATTTATTTTATTTTATTAATTTTAATCTACATTTAAGACGTATTATATACTATAGTTTTCTCTTCGTGCTTGTAGCTGGTCCAACTCCTGGTCTCTATCAAAGACAAACTCAAGAAAAAAATTGTTGCAAAAAAAAATCACTGAACAATTACTGATACATTGAACATCATTCTTGAACGGATAAATAAGCCTTCCTTGGTTGCTCTTGCCTTTTTATGCTGCTCACCTGTTGATGCCGTGGAGCGACTCTACGTAAGTATTGTCTTTTTTAAAGTTTTGTTCATTTTTGAAAAATATCAAGAAAAACTGGTCTAGATATTTAACATAGGAATTCATAACTCAAACCAAGTCTCTAGTTTTTTAAAAATTTGAAGAATTTAAAAATAAATCTTCAGATGGGATCGAAAACAAATTGAAGCTACACTAACAAGATTCCCTTGATTAACTACCTACATTTGCAAGTCTATTCACTTTTAACTGGAAATATCAGTTTCGCAGCTTCAACTTGGCTTCAGATTTCCTAATTTGAGTTTGCATTCTTTCATTATTATTCAAACCATAAATTTAAGAAGCTGACTCTAATATATCTGATTACAATTAAGTTTGCGGTGGCCCCAATCAAGGTAGATTTGCTGAATTGTCGTTCCACCATTGCCACAGTCATATTTAATCCTTCACAATGCAAAATTGCAACCCAGTGATAAATCGCTATGGCTCATGTTTTTCAAACTTGAAAAAGCTTATTGAACGGAAAAAGAGTCAGCTTGAGTTTCCTAAATAGGTATAGTACCAATTATTGTGTATCACGTTTTGTTTGCAGTGCAAAAAAATCAATCTCCAATGAGCTACTTCTTGAGCATTTGCAATACTACTGGTCAAGGTCAATCCCAGATATTTCAAAATAACTCTCGAAGAGGTACTGAAAGCAAAAAGAAAGGGGCGAGCTGGGAATTGAACCCAGGGCCTCTCGCATGCTTGGTAAACTTCACGGAATAGAGTTGCATCCATTCAGCTCTTTAAACAGCTATAACCCAAAGCGAGAATCATACCACTAGACCACACGCCCAATCGATGAAGAGATGTGTTTTGTCATAAAACTACTCGAATTGGGACTCTTCGTGTTTTACTATGGTAACGAGAAGTATTTTTAATTTTTTCACCATTTTGTGTTTTCCAGACTGGCACTTGATCTTGTAAGCCAAAGCAGTAAGAAAAATGCCTTATGATTTTCAATGATACAATAAAGATATATATTATCAAAGCCAGATTTGAAGACTCTAAGACTTCTGTTTAGATTTAAAGTAACATTATCCCTCCAACAAGGTATATTCTACTTATACGATAAGCTCATAGCTCTTGTACTACATATAAATGAATGGGAAGTTGCAGCAATTGCTACTTCGTTTCTTCAATTTTTCCTTAAGTATGAGAAAGTTGCAAAAAACAGTTTTTAGGTTGCAAAAAAAAAACAACTATAGAATAAAACACTACAAAACAATATATTCAACAAGAGTGAAGTGGTTAGCTTAAGCCCTCGAGTCTATAGTTGCGGAATACTGTAAGCTGAAGCAACAATAGTTAAAGTTCAAGTTACGGCTTGTGCTAACTATCAACAGTAATATAAGAAAGGTATCGAGTTTGAGCTGATATTCAGCATCGTAAAAAAGCTTTCCACCCAGACCTCGTGTTGAGTATGTGTCACATTCAATTAGTATGGTAATTGTGGCTGCAAAAAATTTCCAAACAAAAAGAAAAAAAATTGTCTGTGTCTTAAAACTCAAACCCATTGTCAGAAAAGAATAATAATCCATGTTATTCAATATAGCTATCTAATCAATCCAATCAGCTTTTTAAAACTGTTGAAGGTACGTTTCATTTATATAATGAGGGTTAATAAGTCCATGAATTGAATTCATTTCGATTTTTGGTGATCCCAATACTCAAAGTCTCCCTGAAGAATAACTACCGGGATTTTTCTCCCTCTCAATATCTTAGCAGCAGTGATCTGTTCACCTTGATCATTACCACATCTCATAATTGTTGAAAAAATAATAGTTGATCAAATGCTGGGTATCTAATCCCTCCCGTGAAGTCTCTTCGTCCATTCTGACTGGTTGAATATCTATTTTCAGCAGAAGTCTTCGAAAAGATGAAAGGTCCTATTCCTTACATCTTTTAATGGTGACTAGCAGTTTGTGCTACTTTAAGTCCAATTATTTGGGTATTATCAAATCAATAATCTTGAGATTTATTAATGAAGTGAAAATTCTAGACACCATTCACCAAAAATCCAATGCTTTCAATTGCCTCTATTATACTTTGATAACTTCTAGTTAGATGATTTGCCTTGGTGTTTTATCTTGAGTAAGTATTGTCCTGTCCTGTCCTGTCCTGTCCTGTCCCTTCCTGTCCTGTCCTGTCCCTTCCTATATGTCCAGAGTTTTCCATTAATATTGACTTACTCTTGGTAAAACATTAAGAATATGAGTCTGACTGGTTGTTTTTAATTTTGTATCAAGACATTTATGCTTGAAAGGGGGTTTTCAAGATTTCTCTCTCCGAAGTATGCTATCGAATTAAGTCATTAAGCTATAAAAGAAATAATATTGAACATACGCTTCTTATAGTCCTGTCCCGTTGTCCTGTCCTATTGTCCTTTCCTTAAATTTTAGAGGCTTATGTTCTGGTGCTATGACTTAATTTGATATTATACTAAAAAAACAATAAAATTTCTTGATAGAAAGAGGCAATTGAAAGCATTGCTGAAAAATTTACTCAATACGGTGAATATATTTCTTAGAATTGACTTTCATTAATACTTTGAAAAATTGTTTGATTTGGGTTACCCATACCTGCTAGTGTGTCAGCTTTTGCTTGAAAATACTTATTCAGCTAGTTGGTTTGTGATGATAGAGACTTGGGTGGGATTAGATAGTGAGGTGTGGTCTTCGTGATCAACGGGGTTCAGAGGCTGCGGGATATTGATGTGGAAAAATCTGAAGGAGTTGTCCAAAGGAAAGGCAGAAGTATGGGGCCAAGTTGAAAAGGATTATAATTTGGTGGTCCTATTAAAAGGATTTATGTAACTGAATACAGACCAATAAATGGTTTTACAAAACTCAATGATTTAGGCTTTTGAAAATTTCCTTTTGGTACGTGATTACCTATTTATTAACAATTGAACTTTTTAGTATTTAGACATTTATTTGAGGTTGTGGGAGAAATGATCAAGACTTGAGGTTGCAAAAAAGTTTTTCTATTTCACTAATTAACCAAGGAAAAGACTTATTCATCTTCTTTCTTTATAAGACATGATATTGATCCCTTCTTTTTTTTTTTCTATTTTTTTTTTCTATTCAACTTTTAGAAGTTGAATGGGTATGTTGATAACTTTATTCTTTTATCTTCTTGTCTATTCATATATTGAGCCTTGACCCTTTTCATATCATCTATCTACGCTTGTGCTGGAGTATTCCCTCCCTTTTTATGAAATTAAATTCTGAATCAATTCGTGAAATTGGGTATTATTTTGAATCGAGATTTATGCTGCAAAAATTCCACTTCAAGCCCTGGTGAGTTATTATATTTTTATTTTTTCTCTGAAGAGATACTAACTTGTTTATTAGATCACTTGACTCTTCTTTCTATTCAACTTGTCTTTTTAAGTTGAATGGGTATGTTAATAACTTTAGTTTATCTTATTTATTCACCATACTAACCATTCATATCAATGAGATCTGTTGATTTCGGAGTATTATCCTCGTTTATTCAATTGAGTTGCATCGGTTCGTGATATAGGGAGCAAGTTTGAATCAAGATTTGCTGCAAGAACCAGAGCCCAGGTGGTTTTTCTAAAGATACTAGCTTGTTCATTTCTGATTACCTTTTTCTTTCTATTAAATTAAAAGATCAGGCTGAGTGGGTATGTTAATAACTTTATTTAATCAACTCTTGTTTATTCATACTAATTATTTTCATTTAATTATCATTTATCTTTCTTAGTGGTTACCTTGAGTTTTGCTGCATTCTGTTGAGTCCGAATCAGTTGTTGAGTTTGTTCGATTAATACCCTGCCCAAAGATGAGCTAATTTTAACTTTGAATAGATTCAGACATCAGGTAACTCTCCAATTGCTTAACGGTTTTCTATTGAAATCCACTTCAGTTATTCATCATACTAACGGGGGAACAGTTTTTTTATATAGTTTCTGTAGATTTAAAGAATAGAATATTCCCTCCAGGAGGACCCCATGAGCCCAAGCGCTGAACTTACTACACTGGATCAGGCATAACACATTGATTAATACTTATTATAATAATGATCAGTTGATTCATGATTTTTAACCGATTTTTCTAATTGGATCGTTTTTTCATCAGTGCTGATCCAAAACTGATTCTCTTCAATGACCATGTTGAGATACTTTTCATAAACAATCATATTCTTAACCACCAACAAGTGGAAGTTCTTTGTTATCTCATCAATGGTTTTCTTTCTTTCTAGTATCTTAGCATGATCCCTTTTGAAATCATGATTTTTGAATTGGGTACTATCGATATAATTGACAATCTTATCGATGTCCATATTGGCCATTTCAATCAAATTATTATAAGCTTGTTTAATCTGGGGATACTTTAACAAGATAATCTGTTCCTTTGTCTCCACCAGTAACGGCTCCGAGGCCACCTCCTCAGACCCAACAGACGCAGGCAGGTCGTCTAGTTTCCCCCATAGCTTCAAGTCGGTCAATATGTTATTAAGAGTGTTCATCTCGGTGTTTTCTTTATAAAATTTATCCAAACGAGATTGAATACTAGCTATTTGGTCCATTATCGAATGATCCTTGGATGTAGATGTGCTGCCACCATTTTCCAAGCCCTGGTTAGCATTGAGCTGGACCTCAAGACCAAGGATCCGTGACTGAAGGCTATTGAACGTTGTCTGATCCATCTTTTCCCGTCTAATAAAGACAAGTTGGTGGAGTTGTCGGTGAAGCTTTTGATTCTCTCAGAAATACAAAAACAAACACCAGTACATCCCGGTTTTTTTATATACAATCGATTAAATACCCCTTTAGCCTTAACTACAGACGGGATTTCAGATCGCTGGTCAAGAGCAACAGTTCCCAGCAGCCAGGAACTAAATTCACCGTAAAAAGGTCCCAAGGCATGCCACTGCCGGAGCTCTTGCGTGAACAATAAATGTCAATGGCCATCGAACGTTTCTCAAGAAGTTTCAGCCGTTCCACACTAAAGTTGATAGCCTGGTTACTCAGACACTGAACTCAGACCGTAACCTACATGTTGGAGGATTGTAAAAGCCACTAAGTGTGTAGTTTTGGTGATTTTAGTACTTTTGGTAATTTTGATAAGTGCTTGAACATCAATGCTTGGATCAAGACATCCCCTGCAATTTTCTCAACTTTCGGTGCTCCACCGGAAAGTCCTCGTTTCATCCCTTACTCTAAGCCCTTTCGAGCAGCCCCAAGGTGCCTGGCTGGTGCTATTGGTGTTGATATTCCCAAATTTCAGGGTCCATTTAGTCCCCCCCCCGGCAAAACAATGCACCCGTGCACCACAACCAAAATAGAAAAAACTGTGACACAACTTGAAATTTGTCTGCTTAAAAGAATATAAATAAAAGGATAAACACTGATATTACTTCTTGTACGATTGAGTAACCGTCTTTGCTGGTATCAATTGGTTATATATACCGTGGTATCCCGAGAGTATTGTTGTGTGCTAGACTTTTATTCTGGTGAAGGCTTGATTTTGTCCCATATCAAGCTGTTTTGATCCTTATTTACCGAAGCTAACTTTAGCATTTGTTGAAAAGGAGTTACTTGTTCTTCAACTTTTTTATAAAGCGAATTACTTCACAATGGGTCTTTTCACTCCCCGTAGGGTATGTTGATAGGTTTGCTGTTTTTCTTACTTATTTTTCGCTGTTTTACTAACAAATTATCTAGAAGAGAACTGAGATCAGTCAGGGTTTTAGTAAATATACTGATGAAATCAATAGGTATCAAGCTGGCCAGCCGGATACTTCGAGGTCGAATCCAGCTAGAACGCAATCATTGACCAACGGCGCAGGCGAAGCTGCTTTGGCTGCTTTAAGACTCCATTCTCTGCCTCAGCCTCCATCAAATAACTATACCAATCCCAGATCTCCCTCAAACGTTCGTCTGAACAATGTCAGAAGAGCTAATTCGCTAAATTCGTCTGCTTATGGCCAACGCTCAAACTCATTACGCAGTTACACATACAACCCCAAACCTTCTTATGTTGTGGGTCAGCCTTCAATCAACTCTTCTCCAAAAAGAAGTAATTCTGTCAATAGTCGATCACTAAAACCTCCTAATCGCGACCAACGGTTGAACTCGCTCAATTCTAATAACTCTGGTCATTTGAAACCTCTCCAGAACTTGATTAGTGAAGATAACGAATATAATGAAGAAGAAGATATGATTATCACTACTAAAACTACTAAAGTGGTGGATTCTCAGGGAAGAGTTCTGTCAATAACCACCGAAACCATAAAAACTTTACCCGATGGTTCGAATATTATTGAAACCACTACTAAAAACATCTCCAGAAATAATTCTCGTTCTAATTCTCTTCGAAATAACTCTTTACTATCGTTTTCAAATCACAATAACTTGAATGGTTATAACTTATCTAAAATTGATGAAGATTTACAAGATTTCGATTATCATTACCAATTAGATAATCCAAATTCTAACGATTTGAAACTAAATACCCAGGAACTGAAGGGTTTGGGGTCTCCTCTCAAAGAGTCTTTCCACCAAGAAAGAATTAATTCATTAAATTCATCTTCAAATAAACCTACAGGTCTTGAAGCTTCTCCATCAAAACAGCCCCTCAAATCAATTTTGAAAAATAAACTGCCTCCTTCCTCAATTCAACCTTTAAATGATAATTTAGAAGATTCAGAATTTAAAGATGCCGCTGACTCTTTGGACGATCTCCAGGACTCAAATATTAAACATCCTTATAAAAACTTGACGGAGCCGCCAACCCTGTCTAATGCAGAAGTTGAAAAATCTACCCCAGTTAAAAAGACCCTTCGGAAACAACTAAGTCCCAAAAATTCTCCAATATTAACTTCACCTAATTCATTCCCAGCTAATCGTAATGATGATATAATATCAAGTAATAATTCAACCCATTCTGGCTCAATCAAATTCTCAAATGAAGTTGAAACAATACCAATTTATCAAACTACTTATAAAAAACCAAAAATTCCATCTTCAAGTAATCATTCAACCACTAAGTCAACCGATAATTCGGAATTATACGATCAAGCAATGAAAGTAGCAATGGAAAGAGTATACGGTAAATCAGAGATTCCTTCATCACCAAAACAAAATAATAATGAAACTTTTATTCAACCTCCTCAAATTAATTACTTGGGTTCCCCTCAGTCTTCAAAACGTACATCTTCAATTACATCCAACTTATCATCTCTTCTCGAAAATAAGTCAAAGAAGGATAAAAAAGTTGATGAACCTTCATCTCCAAAAATTGATAGTAACTATCACTATCAAAATCATCATAAGGATTTTGTAGTTCATTCTTTACGTGATAATCCAAAGCAGAAACAAACAAGCCGCAAAGAACGTGCTAAAGAAGAGAAAAAATTACTGAAACAAATGGAAAAACAACGTCAAGATGATTCAAAAAAGACTGAAAAAGAATCTAAGAAAAATAAAAGCGGTAAAAGGATTTCCTCCGGTCTCAACTTATTTTCAAGAAAGAAGAAACATGAAAATGATGCAAAACCTGAAACTACAATCGATGATAATCAAGCTGTTGTTGAAGACAGTGTGCAAAACAATAAGGATATTACCCCTCTGCAGACTAAAGAAAATGAAGTGTCACCAACGTCACCTACTAATCCAGCTTCACCAGCTGCTTTAATGGCCGCTGCTTCTGCAATCGGTTCTGAGCCAGTTGTGACCCTGGACGAAGTTAGAGCTCAGTCAGATTCTATCATGCGTCCTCTTCCAAAACCTGAAGACCTTGAAAATAGAGAAATGGAATCAGAAGTTTCAGAAACAATTCCAGAAGCTACAGAAGTCCCAGAAACAGTCCCAGAAACAGTTCCAGAAGTTCCAGAGGTACAAGAACCCGAAGCTAGTGTTGAAAATGCTGAACTTAAACCAGAGGTTTCAGACTTGACAGAAACCCCAGAAGTAGGTACAGACACAGTCGATGAAATGGTACCAGGTACAGACGCAAATCAAGAATCCTTGTCCAAAGATCAAACTTCAAACTTTATTATTCCAATTAAAGTTCCAGTTTTACATGACGTTACTCCCTCAGGACCAAGTGCATTATCCAAGCACAATGATTTACTATCTGACGATGAATTTATTGACACCGAGGGTACTAACGATGAAGATATAACCGAACATGACCTTTCAGGAAGTAATGCCGCTAAATCACCAAGCCCTGAGGCAATGACCCCACAAGTCTCTGCAGAACCAGCAAAAATAGATGGTGCAGAACATAACAATGATGATGAACGCTTCCTTCCTACTATAGTAGCTGGTGAAAACGGAGCACCTTTGATTGTCGACGGGAAACCAAAGCAGAGCGCTTCTGTGCCTGAGGTTGCAGAACCTGAAAATATAGCTCATTCCAAGGAACCCGAGCCTGTTTCAGCCAATGTCACTGAGCCTTTAGCTCCAGAAGAGGTCACTGAAGCTCCAGAGCCAATATCAGCCAATGTAACTGCACCATTAGAACCCGCAACAAACGACGAAACCATGGCCACTAAAGAGCCAGAACCTATTTCAGCCAATGTTACTGAACCATTGAAGCCTAATGAAGAGAAAACCATCATTGCTAAAGAACAAGACGCAGTTGCAGCCAACGTGACTGAACCATTAGAACCTGAAATCAACGAACCAGCTGCAGCCAATGTAATTGAATCACTAGAACCTGAAACTAACCAGACAGTTTCCAAGACAGCGGAAGATTCGCCAAACGGCTCTATCACTGAACAGCAGAATGTATCGACCGGAGAACACAAAGGAGCTGCTGCCCTTATTCATCCTCAAGAACCAAGTACAGCCCACAGTCCATCCAATAAACCAGAAGACAACCTCAACCAATCAGAAACCACCTTGGGTCAAGAAAGCACGAAAATCCATGATGAAAATGGTTTGTCATCCTCAAACGAACCCCAGCCTGATGAGAATGAAGAACCCCTTGTAAATAAACAAGGCAACAAGAAACTTAACAAATTCAAAAAGACGATTTATAAATATTTCATCAACCAATACTAAAACATAATACACAGAGATTAGTTATCGAGTACTTGTAGTTCAAAGATTGTAGCCTTCAATTTATGATTTGTGCGTGTTTTCGAACAAAAAGGAAGCTATGAGATTTGCTTTTTGATAAGATACTGAAAAATTTCTACTAACTTGATGAAGTAGTCTACAAGAAGGCAATACGCAAAATGCCTAGTGATATACATTCAGATAGCACAGGAGTTGATGAGAGCTTATCTGAAGAGATCAATGGCTTAAATGTGGTTGATTTTCCCATGAATTATAGTAACATGCCTTCTTCCGCACATCGAATATTACAACCAGAATTATCAAGTTCTTCATCGCAAGGGCAAACGGAGAATAGAGTAAGATCCAATCCAGAGGCTGAAACTAATGCAGGTAATGAACAGGAAAATGAAGAAGAACGAGTTTTCCAGGAACTTTGTATGGCATGTAGGGCTGGAGATCATGATACAGTTGATTCCTTACTTGCAGTGCCCAACGTTGACATCAATCGGGTTGATGAATGGGACTATTCACCATTAATCCTAGCATCTCTTTGTGGTCATATTAAAATTGTAGAGCTACTTTTATCTAGAGGTGCAGTATGTGATCGAGATACTTTCCAAGGAGCCAGATGTATATATGGGGCATTGAACGATACTATCCGAGATGTTTTGATAAGTTTTGATATTTCGAAGAAAGTGGATATGTCTCAACCATTTGCCAGTCATATTTCTTCATTATTGAGTCCGTTATTTCAATTATCTGGTAGTGATATTGTATTTCTTTTCCCCCATGTCCAAGGAACATTAGCGAGAGATTTGAGAGTGTTTCGATTGAATAGATTTATACTAGCAGCAAGAAGTGAGTATTTCTATGCAAAATTAAAAGTTGGAGGTACTTGGAGCCAAAAAGTAGTGATTGAGATGCCTCCTAGTACTAGTCCTGAAGTTTTCAAAGCCGTCATTGATTACATTTACTTGAGAACTGACGATTTACCTATTGATCAATCGAAAATTCAACACCAATTGATTCAATTTTCCAAAAAATTAGGATTGAACGACTTGAAAGAGAGTGTTGAAACTGCTGCCAAAGAAACTGATAAAAGGGAAATATCCAAAATCAAACATAATGCATCTTTCCAGTTTGTTGAAAATGCCAGAAAAGACATGCATAAGTTTTGTGAACAAAACATCATTGAAAATAAAATCTCGACAAGTGTTGGTTCTGATGCATTTGAAGAAGATATAGACTTAGAAGATATAGACGTTGGACTGTATTTGCAAAATGAATCCAAAGAGAAAATTTGCCACTCCAATTCATTTAGTGATATAATTCTTGCTACAGTTGATGCTGAATCCGATACAATTGTGTACTATCCAGTGCAGAAGTCTATTTTAGCAAGATCTGAATATTTTGATACAATGTTCAAGTCAGATATCTTCCTTTCGTCGCAAGAAGAAGTGCCAATCTTCAAAGACCCTGAACAAACGTTGAATAAAGTTATTATCAAGTATCCATCGTTAAAGCCTGAACATATCCCCGTGATTCAAATCTGCACCAGTACTGCTAATTTTGAAGTCACTGAAATAATTTTATCCTTTCTTTATTACGATGATATCTCCCATATCCCATTAAACTTAACCATTGAGCTTTTATTTGCAGCCGATGAGTTATTCTTAGAAAGACTTAAAACCATGTGTGCGGTGAACATCACTTCCAAATTCGCTCAATTATCTTTTGCAGAGCATCAATCATTGAAGGATCACGTTGGATACAATGCTTATGACCTTATAAGGGTAGCGTGGCAAACTAGATGCGAGAGATTGGAGCAACATATAACCAAACTAATGGCATATAATCTCTCCCTGATATTCCACGATCCAAAAGAGCATGAATATCTTTTAAGATTGATCGAAGAATCCGCTGAGAGAATCAAGGAAAGACAAGATACCGATACCATTGAATTGGTTGATGATATAAGATACTACATATCTAAGAAATACACCGTGAATGATGAATTTGAAGATTTCGAACCAATGAGTGCTCACTTCAGGGAAAACGATCCCAACTATGTCGAACCAGACGATATCAGAGCCTACAAAAACAGTCTAATATTATACGAAAGAGATATCGAGATAATTGATAGCCTATTGAATGAGCTAGAATTAGATGCATAGATACATACATATATATATATATATATATATATATATATATATATATATAGTAAAACCTCCGTACACCAACATCAACTTCTTCAATTTTTTTTTTTGCCGTTCTTTTGACAAATGGCCATACATTTTTATTTTGCCACTAATAATCACGAATATTTAACACTAGAATACATATTTACAGGAATATACTTAGAAGATGTCAAGTAAGAGTATGTTAGCAGAGAAATTTTTCTTTTTTGGAAGAAAAAGTACTAACAAATGGAACTAGTTACAATTAAAAACGCTGGTAAAGTATATGAAATTGAAGTTGGAGCAAGCGATACTGGATTAATTTTTAAGCAGAAAATCCAGGAAGCCACCAATATCCCACCCGAAAGACAAAAGATTTTGGTAAAGGGAGGGAAAGTGAACGACGAAGATGAAATAAGTTCATTGGCATTGAATACCAAGCAACCAATTATGGTTTTGGGAACCCCAGATAAAGGATTACCTAGTAAACCGGTTGAAAAACAAGTTTTTTTAGAGGATATTAACCAGAATCAATTATTTAAGGTTGGTAGTGAGCCATCAGGATTAATTAATTTGGGGAATACATGTTATCTTAATTCATCATTACAAGCATTATTTCAAATCAATGATGTTAAAGAAAAGTTGGAGAAGTTCAATGGAAGCTCAGGAGCCAATGCCAATGCCAGTCAATCTCTTGTATTATCATTGAAGAGTTTATTTGGACAAATGTCTAAAAAACACGAAAGCGTCAATCCAACATTATTATTAACAATTTTCAGAAATGTTTTCCCACAATTTGCAGAAAGAGAACGAGGATTTTATAAGCAACAAGATGCGGAAGAAGCATTTTCACAGTTATTGAGTACATTGGGAGAAACCTTAAAGGTAAAAGATTATTTTAGAATTAGTTTTAAGAGCGAACAAAAATGTTTAGCATTACCGGAAGAAGAAGTTAAGACTGATTATGAAGACTCATTTAAGATTAATTGTCATATCGATATCAAGACCAATTTTTTGAGAGATGGAATTCTTAATGGGTTAAAAGAAACCTTGGAAAAGTATAATGATACATTACAAAGTAATACTGAATATGAAGTTAATAGAAGAATCACTAGATTACCAAAAATGTTAACTGTTCATTTTGTTAGATTTTATTGGAGAAGAGATACTCAAAAGAAGTCTAAGATTTTGAGAAGAGTTCAATTCCCATTTGAATTAGATTTGGCCGAAATGTTGGACGAATCCATTAAACTGGAAAAAATTAAAATCAGGGATGAATTAAATAAAATCGAGAAGGATAATATTGATTTAATTAGAGATTTCAAGAAAAGTAAGAAAAATGATAATAAATTAAGTCCATTAGAACAACAAGAAGAAGAAGAATTAAAATTAATGTCTATCAAATCTAAATTTAACGATGATTTTGCTAAAAGCTTACCTTCTGGTATTGATTTACAAACCGCCACTGAAAACCCATCTTCAGTTTATGAGTTGAGTGCTGTAATTACTCATGCTGGATCGTCGGCCGATTCTGGACATTACCAATCATTTGTTAAGGATGATAAAGATTTAGATGGTGAAAGATGGTGGAAATTTAATGATGACAAAGTAAGTTCGGTTAATAGAGAAAAAATTGAAACTTTAGCCGGTGGTGGTGAAAGTGATAGTGCTTTAATTTTAATTTATAAAAGTAAAGGTTTTTAAAATAAAGGTTTTTTTTTTTTCAAAAAGTAAATATATTAGCTACATAGTATTATTCATTATATTCGTAAATTCTAAAGATCAGCTACTAATTTTTTAAAATTTTCAACTTCTTCCCAACAGTTTAAACTTTTACCCAGATTTTCTTTTAAACATTTGATAACTCCTTCTCTGGAGCTTTTAACTTGTTGATTGATTTCGACTTTAGCTAATTCGATGTTTTCTTGTAATTTCTTAGTTAATTCTCCAATTTTTTCATTAGCTTTTGGAACTGATAATTCCGGGTTTGATTCGTCTTTCAATAATGCTCCATTAGTTGTTTCTTGAAACTTCTTAATGGTTTCTGCTTCCAATTTCTTCAATTCCACAGCAACACGGTCTTGAATATACTTTTCAGTATACTGAGAACGAGAATAATCACTCTATATTGACTCGGTTAGTACTAGCTTGATTCTCATTGGTTGCTCAAACATACCTCTGGAGAACTCTCTAATTGCGATAAAAAGGATGAACTGAATTCAATTGGAGTGGCTGGGGTGAAGACCTTGGTCTCTGGTTTAGATGCTGATGCTCCCATTCTGTTCTTTCCCGGTATTGAATAGATATAAATGACTTGGTTTGACGGCCTCTTAAACCTGAAAAGCTCAAAAGATTTTCCAAATTTGAATCGAAAATCACCAAAGAAGGTGGTGTTATTACCAAAATTTAAAAAACCCAAACATCCGGGTTTTTTCTCTTTTCTTTCAATTGGAGAACGAAAAGATTTTTCATTGATAAAACACTGGAAGGAGGAAGGATATAGAAGATATTATAGTCCGAGACAATTAGTTAAGTATGCCGCCAGTTCAACAACAGTACGCTGTGCACCAGCCATCCAACTTCGAGAAGTTCAAGATGGGAGCCATAATGGGATCGACCGTTGGGGTTTGTATCGGGGTGATATTTGGAGGAGTTTCAATTTTACAGAACGGAGCTGGGCCTAACGGGGTGATGAGAACGTTGGGCCAGTATATCATGGGTTCTGTCGGGACCTTTGGGTTGTTTATGTCCATTGGGTCGGTGATAAGATCTGATTCGAATCTCCAAGCCTATGAAAGGGCCATGATTGCTTCTCATAGGGCCAGATTGAGATCTCTCTACAGAGAAAATGTATAATACTGTGAATAGTCATTAATATACCATGTATATTGCATCTTGTATCGTATCTTGTATTGTATCTTGTATTGTTGTATTGTATCTTGTATCGTATCTTGTATCGTATCTTGTATTGTATCTTGTGTATTGGTGTATTGATTTATCCATGCAATGGATTCAGCTGAAATCAGCTTGTAATTTAGCTTGCATGTATTCATCTTGACTTCCTCTTGCACGGATATCCTTGAATTACGCTATTACTGTTAGAATAAATGGATATATTGTGAATATTATAATGATATCTATGGATGCAAATAAAAGACCCATGCACCAGCAAAAAGCACCTACTCCGCATAAGCACATGTAATTGATTTAACCGAATCAACTCCCAACTCAACTACTCAACTACTTCAACTCAACCACTGCAACTGCTCAATGACCATGGGCGACTACGAAGAAAAGCTCTATGCTTCTTTCCAGCCATCAGAAGCCAAGCTTCTAACGTCGACCTCCAATACTCAAATGTTGATGGAGAATCCGATTCTAGCATCAGCATTATCAAATATTTTCCCATATTTACTACTTATTGATAATTTATTAGAAATAATCACTTGGACCAACGAAGACCCGTATCAGAACTTCTTGATAATCGTTATCTATTCGGTTTTAGTTATGTATTGGCAATTCATCAATTGTATTATCTTACCAATTTTATTTTCAATTACATTTTCCTGGATTGTTTGGTCAATTAGTTCGGTGATATATGATTCGAAATTTAACGAGAAACCAACTATCGATGAAGTGTTGCACACTTTGCATAATATAACGATTAGATTTGAAATGTTGCTAAGACCAGTTCAACATTTTGAATTAAAATTTAAAAATTTTACGAAAATTTTCTTAATGGCCGCCATTTTAACTCCCATTCAAGTTGGATTAAGTAAAAGCTTGATACCTCCTCAAAAGTATTTATGGTTCTTGGGACTCTTCATGTTAACCTATCATTCACCATGGTCTTTTTCAATAAGAAGATTATTATGGAGATCAATCTATATTAGAATAATTACTTTTTATTTAACTGGATTGGATATTAAATTGGACAAGCAAAATCAAAACCAATTCAAAAACATAATCCACAGTCCTTCAACAAGTGATATTGAGGAAGATTTGAACGATTCAAATTCAAATAAAATTCAATTATTAACCGATTTCAAAATCTTGAAGAAAATTATCGCTTCTCCAACTAGATTGAAACAAATCGTCCTCTTTGAAATCTTGGAAAATGAAAGAAGGTGGTTCGGTATTGGCTGGTCGAAGTTCTTGTTACCCCACGATAAGCCAACGTTTTGTTTTGAACAATCGGGTCTAGTTGCTCCGGACCCAAACCTGGATCTCGATTTCCCTTTCCCCATCTTCGAAAACGACTTATATACCTATCTGTGGAATTGGTGTAACGAAGACTGGTGCTTAGATTTGGAATTCAACAAATCTAAATCAAGTGACGGCTGGACTTATTTCGATAATAATTGGGATTCTCCAGGCTATCAAGATGGATTTTCCAAATACACCCGTTCCAGAAAATGGACCAGAAAAGCAGAACTCTACATCGATAAACAAGACACCGTTCTTGATGAATAATTATATATACATATATAGCTCTATCGTACATGTTGCAAAATGAGCATTTTATTTTATTGTAATTTATTTTTATTTTTTTTTTTTTTCTTTGGCTCATCTGAAAAAACTTTCAACTTCTTCTTCTTTTAATCTTCTACTTCTAATCTTCTGCCCAAAATGAGTGCTTCTTCTTCCCATATGGAGTATAAGGACATTCCCAAAAAGTATATTGATCCTCTCCAGCCAAAGGATAAGTCCGAAGGTGCTCGTGTAAACGGTAAAGAATGGAAAATTAAAAAAGATGCTTTCAGAGTTAAAACTCTAGGAGTTAAAAGAATGACTACTTTTGAAAAACGTGAACAAGAAAGATTGGAAAAACAACAGTACAGGGCCAGACTTAATGACTTGAAACAAGAAAAGGAAGATGCCAAAAACCAAAGAATCGCAGATTTAAAGAGAAGAAGAGAAATTAAAGAAGAAAAAGAACGTTACGCCAAAATCGCCTTGAAAATGCATGCTAAAAAAGTGGAAAGATTAAGAAAAAGAGAAAAGAGAAATAAGTTATTGAAGGAACGTTAACCTATTGATCTACCCGTTTGTATTATTAGTCTTCAGTTCTTCCTTATCCTTTTGTATACTTTCGTTTTTTTACACCCGTGCCACATATAACACCTCCGTACATATTTTGAAAATTTGCATTACACCCGTACATATAGTTATTTAAAACAATACACACGACCCCACACTACCTGCAGGACGCAACGCGCGCCAGCAAAAAAAAGATTTTATTTGGCTGACCGCAAGGGTTACCCGCCCCCGGGGCCCAGGAGTATAAAAGGATCCGGAAATCCCACTACCTTTGACCAGGAAATTTTTCAGGAAGACGGAATTTCAACGGAAATTGAATTTTTTTTTTTTTTTTTTTTTTTTTTTGGTTTTTTTTTTTTTTTTTATTTTTTTTTTTTTTTTTTTTTTTTTAAAGGAAAAGATAAAGAAAAGGAAGAAAAGATCTAAATTTGCAGCCACCAGTTGTTATTGTTTAGCTTTTCTCTTAGCCTTTGGTTATAGACCTTGGTTTTCTAGCCGAGTTGCCGTGTTCATTCGTGTTACATAAGTTCCGAATACATAATTGTTGTGTTACTTGTTAATACATATTTGTTGTGTTAATTGTGCGCTTTTGGGATACATTTAGTTGTTTATCTCAGCATCCTCCATCCCACTGTATATATTGTATATAAAATGGACTCCTTAAAGTTACCTACTACTGCAGCCAGAGCTAATGCTTTCACTGCTCCAGGATCCCTTTCATTTCCTCAAGGTATTGAAGGAAAAAATCAGCAGGAAAATACCAATGGTGATGCTTCTTCTCAACAAGAGGATTCAATTACCAAGAAGGAAGAACCAACCGATGGTATTTCTGTTAAAGAACCAAACCAAGAAGAAGAAGAAGGGGCTATTTCTGGTATAGTTCCAACTTTACAAAATATTGTTGCTACCGTTAATTTGGATTGTCGTTTGGATTTGAAAACAATTGCTTTGCATGCCCGTAATGCCGAATATAATCCAAAACGTTTTGCGGCGGTTATTATGAGAATTAGAGAACCTAAAACTACCGCTTTGATTTTTGCTTCTGGTAAAATGGTTGTTACTGGGGCTAAATCCGAAGATGATTCTAAATTGGCTTCAAGAAAATATGCAAGAATTATTCAAAAATTGGGTTTCAACGCCAAATTCACCGATTTTAAAATTCAAAATATCGTTGGTTCTTGTGATGTTAAATTCCCAATTAGATTAGAAGGTTTGGCTTTTTCCCATGGTACTTTCTCTTCTTACGAACCAGAATTATTCCCCGGGTTGATTTATAGAATGGTTAAGCCAAAAATTGTCTTGTTGATTTTCGTTTCTGGAAAAATTGTTTTAACCGGTGCAAAACAAAGAGAAGAAATTTATGCTGCTTTTGAATCAATTTATCCGGTTTTGAGTGAATTCCGTAAATCTTAATGTATTTTAGTCCTGTTCCCTTACTCACCCCCATTTGCATTTCCTTAATCCTTCATTTCAAATTTCTTTTCAAGTGTATTTATCCTATTATTTTCCCCTTTATGTCATCTTTATTTGTAACGACTTAAACAACTTTGAAAAACAGAAAAAATTATAAAAAAAGAATATCTACTATAAAAACCAAAAAAAAAAATTATTCGCCTTAAATCATTTATAGATTTAATAAATTGTATATTATTAATAATTGTACTTTTATATTGTTACTTCCATTTGTATTATTTATTCAACCATTGAAAGTAATTACATCTATTATCATTATTATTAATGGCTTCAACATTTGTTAATGAACAACACCAATATTTCTTACCCTTGGTTTTAGCGTTTAACGATGTTCTTAAATTACAGGGCTTATCATGATTACACTTAGGTGCATCCCCATAAACGGTCGCTAATGACGAAATAAAATTACTTCGTTTTTCACTATTTTCAATAAGCCGATTCAACTCATCTTGATTTATTTCTTCTTCTTTTTCTTCTTCTTGTTGTTGAGTTCTTTTGCTGAAAAATGCAGATATTGATGGTTGTGGGGGTTTCCTCTTTCTAGACTCATACTGGATTGAAGCCTTGCGTTTGGTTCCTGTTTCTTGTTTCCTTTGTGGTTTATACGATCTAAACAAGGTCAGTATATCAACCTTATTCCCTAACTTATAATAGTTTTTGGCCTCCAAGCAACTTGATTTAGATTCAACTTGGTCAATGCCCTGGACATTCGAAACATCAAAGTCTGTGTATATCGGACAATGATCAGACCCATATACACCAGGTAAAATATTGGAGTCTTTGATATTTTCCACCATTGTTGAATCACTGGCTAGAATAAAATCAATTCTTGATCCATAATTGGATTGACGGGCATTGGTCAATGTATTCCAAACAGTATACATGTTCCTTCGTTGCTTTTGAACCACTCGAGTAGTATCATATAGGAATTCTGTTTCATTACCCTCTCTGATCACATAATTATTAAATAACTTTCTAAATCTGCTCTGTTTAATGAATTCAAGGCATTCATTCAGGTATCTACTTTCGAAATCGTCCTCCACTTTAGCCTTTTGCACTTTAACAAATTGGCTCAAGTGTTCTGCATGATCAATCAAACTTAAACAAACATTCAAATCTCCCATTATTATAATTTTTTTACCCATCTTATGTAAATTATGACTCCGTTTGAATAGCTGATTCAAAAACAACCATCGCTGCTCATCGCCTTCAGTTGATAAATTGGAATTGGCCGGACAATAAACTGAAAAAACTATCGTATTATCACCCAACTCAACTACAACGCATCTTCCTTGATGGTCAATCAACGAAACCGCCATTTTTGCATCCATTTCCTCATCGTACCCACCAATTTTCTCATCATCTCCCATTTCAATATACTTCACTTTGGAACCAGGATGAATAAGATGCCCCGTTATCCCAATTTCCGCCTTCACAACCTCTAGGCTTCGCTGCACCTGGATAGAATCTTCCTTCTGTGGCTTTCGTATAAACAATCCCACCCCACTGTACCCTTTCTTCGAGTCGGGAAGCGAGATAAACGACCGGTACTCCTCAAGATGCGCCAATCTACTTCCTTCCAAGTTACTAGGCGTTAGCTTTAGCTCCTGCAATGATATGATATCGGCTTTCAATACTTTCAACAATGCTTCATTCCAGTCTTTGCACTTATTAAACGGCTTGTAATTCAACACAGTGTTGGCTCCGTTGACATTGAACGACACATACCGCACAGTATCTCCCGCCAGCTTGTCCGGGACCCCATCTGTTGCTTCCATGGCTTCTTATCATTGCAATGGTTGTTTTGACCAATTTTTCACCTCCGTACCTTCCTTTTATCAACATCCGTACCTTTCAAAACACCCAAACACCAAATTTCAGACCAGCGCGTCTAATTTTTTTATTGTTTTTTTTTTTAACAAAAAAAAATCTAGACTTTTTTTTAGGGAAAATTCACGCTTTTGCTAAAAACACATCAAATTTTAAGATTTATCATTAGATTTGCTACTTCCTCTTCTTTAACCAACGAGCCTACGATACTTAGATCCAAGTCTTGCTGTTTCTGCTGCCGGTATTCACTCGCTATATTCAATTAACGGTTTGCTATCTTTTTTTTTGTTTCATTCCAGCTTGTTTTTTCGCTATTCCAGGTTTCCTTTGACTCGTCGTCTAATTACAAATCTGTTGTACTTAACCCTTTTACCTTGATTGATAGACTATAGATTGAATTGATTTCGAAGAGGCTTTTTTGGTTTTTCACAGCTCTATTCTTGTTTTTGTCTTTATCTTTTATCTTTTATCTTCTTTTTTTTTTTTTTTTTTTTTTAAGATCTTCCAATGATTGATGCTGATTCATTTATGAAAAATTCACCTTTTCAAGTAACTCATCAGAACGATGCAGCATACAACTTGAATAATACCACTCCGGACTTACTCAAGTTTCAATTGCAAGATGAATATCGTAATAAGATTTCTGATTTGAAGAATAATTTTCAAGATTTGCCCAATCTAAACTTATTGAACTCTAATTTTTTACAAGGGTCTTTCAATAACCACTTACAGACATCTGTCACTGAGATTCCCTCGCTATCTTCAACCCCTACTTCATCGGATTCCAATGAATCTACTTCAACTCCTCAGCCAAACCACCACCCAAACTACTTGAATTTAAAGATTTTGATTGAAAACTCGGTATTTGATACTTCGAAGATTAATAAGGACTCAATATTATCGCTTTCAAATTTAAATAACTTGAAAAAATTGATTTCTGATAAAAAAGAATTGCAAAATTATCTTAATTCTCGTATTCTTATCTCTAATCAATTCACTGATAATATTATTTCAAATCAAAATCAAATTGATTTGGATTCAAACTTATTGATCAAGATTTTGAAATCAAATCAAGCTTTGCAAAGTCAATTACTTTCAATTAATCAAGAAGTTGATTACTTAACAAATCGTTTAAATAACCATAACTTGGCTTGTTTGGTCTTGGGTTACGTTGAAGATGTTCATTTATCTACCACTGGTGCATCTAACCAAATCCAAGCCATCTCTTCCGATACCCCGATGTCATCCGAATTGAACTCGGATGTTCAATATAGTAATAACTTATTTGAAAATTTATTCTCTCATATCGCTGCGATAGCTGCTCAGCGTAATATCACTTTACCTTCCCCTCCATCATCATCTTCAACTTCCTCAAGTATTAGTGAATTGAAAATTAATTGGGCCCAAAGCTGTATTGATACCATATTGTCAAATGGTAAAAATTTCCCCGGTATTGATTTAGAACCAGAAACTCCTACTCGTGAACAATCTCATGATCGTGGTAACTCAGTGTCAAACTCAATTCAAGATGCATCTTTCCTTTCTGCATCCCCTTATAAATCTTATAATTCTTCCAATGATAAAGTCATGCAAGAATATAAAACAGCCTTGACTGATTTAAGATTTAGTCATCATTACCTCATGAAAGAATACGAAATTTCAAAAGATAATTCTTCTAAATTAATTCAAGAATATCGTAAAAAAATTAGTACTTTGGAAAAAGAATTGAAATCTCATCAATCTAATCCTGACGTTTCAGGAAGTATTCTTTCAACTAATGATAGTTTTTCTTCTGCTACCACTAATTGGAACAATGATTATGATAATATCAATTCAAAAGATAAAGAAATTAGTCGTTTACGTAAAGAATTAAACTTATTGAAAATTGACAAATTGGGTCATCCTAGAAACAACTCCCAAATTTTCTCTTCAAGTCCTCGTCATAACAACTTATCACCAAGTTCTAGTCATGGTAATATCAATTCTCCTCCTCCAATGCAATCTTCTTTATTACTTGACAATGATACTTTAGAACCTCCTTCTCATGATGATGAAATGAGTGAATTACAATCTCTCAGTAGTGCCATGTCTACCACTAGGCCAACCTCAGTTCAAGGAAGTTCCATGAGTAACGGAATTTTAAGAAAAGAATTCAAAAAAATCGTGGGTGATATTCAAGATCAATATGAATTAGAATTAAGTGAAGAAAAACTCAAAAGAAGACAATTACAAGAACAATTAGCTAAATTACAAAATGGTGCTTAGTTTCAATTTTCCTCTTTTCTGTTTGCCTCACAGGATAACCTTTTTATAATTATGGGCTCGTCATTTACTTCTTCTTCTTGTATTACTTCTTTGATTCTCTTCACTTTGAACTTAGCTTCTTTACTCTCCTTGTTTGTATTTTGTATTTCTAATAAGATACCTCTACGTGTAATTGTCTGTGTAATATGTCTTTTGTATATGTATTAAAGTGCTGTTTATATATAATGCGTGAAAAAAAATTTTGACTACTTGATCTTAAAAACGAACAAGGTTCAGGTTTCAAATTAAAGTATCCCAGTCATTCTTTTCGTCAAAACTCTTCTGATTGCTTGGTCCTCTTTATATTTGGCCAATACGCTCGTTTCGGCTTTACTTTTTTCAGCTTTAAAGCTCTATCGCTGGCCTTGTACAGACGCGTCATGACTAAAGGAAATCACCAGTATCAGTTCGAACACCCAAAACCTAATGATTCAAGAGGATCATTGGAAACGGATCCTATCTCTATAGATAGTCAAGCGAGCCAAGGAATTCATAGTGCTATACCTCCTGAGTCCATTTACCCACCAAATTATCATATCATTATGAATCAGCAAAATCCATCGCCGGCTCCATCACCTTTCCCAGGAAGTAAAAGTGGTAACAGTGTCCTATCCCAGTCCCAATATCCAATGAAATATGAATCATCACGGCAACTCGGCGGACATCCTCAACAAACGTATCAACCTAGCTCAGATCAATTCCAGAATCAACAAGTATCATCACAACTTCTAAGACCCCAACTGGCCTCTTCTCAGGTATGTCACAATGACAAAATCGACCTTCATAATGAAGAAATGGAGCTGGATTACCATATTGAAATCAAGCGTTTAGCGGATTCAAATGATAATATTGATTTCACAATTTCAAATTTACTACTCACTCATAACTATTTCCTTGGGAAAGCTCATAAGCTAGTGCTTCTGTCGAATGACATAACAGGTACCAAAATGTACTTTAAAATGATTAAGTTGTCTATTAAAGCATTACTCATAATTATTAAGCAGTATAACCAATGCTTAAATCCATACCTAGAACTGATTGTATACTACAAGTTGGCAAAATTGTATCTACATGAAACTGAAAACATAAATCGGGCAGATGATTACATCAATAAAGCTATATCTGTAAGCTCAAGAAACTCATTAATAGGTATCAAATTCATAAGTGAGTTCTTAGCTGGTCAAATCTTGGTGAAGTCAAATTCAAGACTTTTAATAAATTACTTGAATGATCGTATTCAAAGCTATAAACAACAAAATCTTTTGGAATTTTCACATTTATTCACTTTGATGAAAGTCAATAACTTATTGGTTTCTGATTGTACTACTGGTTTGATTGTTCTACAAACATTGGGAAGAGATCCAGCCTTGTCTAATCTTACAAATATTATATGTTTATTATTTGAAACAAATCTTCATCTATATCGAGGCTCTCCTCATTTTGCTAAAAGTTGTTTAGATCAGATAGAATTTAAAAATTCTAGTTACGCTCCACAACTTGTTGCCATGCATAAATTACTTTCTTTTCAATATTTTATCCAAGTCAATAGCATCCAAGAAAGTAAAAGACTTCTGAAAGAATTGTCTGACTTCATCAATGATCAACGACAAAGCTCTTGGAATAACTGGAATGAAAACGGCTACTTCAAAATTGAAAATAGCTCAAATGGTGTAAATGTCCCTTACCAGATTTTATGGCTAAACTCTGATGAATTTGTTATAATGGTGTATTTTTTAACCGGTTTACATTTCCTAAACGATATGTCGCTTAATTACAAAAAAGCTACTAGAATTTTCAAGGCATGTTTAGATATTATTACCAATCAATTGAAAGAGTTGACTAATATCAAAAAAAGCAAAAGAAACTTTCCTATTTATCAATTAACAAACAAGATTATCAGATTAAATTATACTCGCTTTTTAATTAATTACTATCAAGTTTGGCTTAAACTTACGAATAATGAATTGGATAATGTTACTGAATTAGATGAATTTATCACCAACTATAACAATGACGGTTTCACAAATGAGGAACTTTGTTATTATAAGCTCTTGGTTCCTAAGATACTCCATTTACATGCTATTCATTGTCAGTATGTAGGTGATATCAAAGCTGCAAAATATTATTTTTTCAAAGTCAAACTATTGACTTCTTCTGCACTGAATGTTCCAATTACGCCGCAAAATTCTTTAATAACCTCATTACAACTATCACTTGGAATTGGTGGTGGAACTGTTGAGCCTAAGAATGAATTTAATGAGTTGTACATTTTTTCCAATTTGCATTTATTGATGATTTCAAGTTTTGAATTAAATAAGTTATCGTTGGAATCGCAAAATAATAATGATTCTATTAGTAAATGTCATACTTTCATTACCAAGTTGTACTTTGATTTAACCAAAGCTTTCAATAATGAAGGAAAGCTAACTTCCAATAGTTTTACTATGAATTTCACAAACTCAAACCATGCATTGCTACTTACGTACCAAACGATTCTTGCAATACTCATGAATAATGGCTTTTCGAATATGAGTGAAAAAATCATAAATGATTCATTAAATAATTCGTTGATTACATTATTAAAATCGACTCAGATTCCCCAAGGTATGACATTTATTAAATCATTATCTCTATTTGTAATATATTTGTCTTCGTTGAATGTTAATGAAAGAGAGAAATACTTCAATCAATTCAACGCCCATGTATTTCAAAGTAATGATAATGATCAAATTGTGAAATTAATGATATTAAGAGAGCTTCGAGCTAAAAACATGCGTTCGGATAACTTGGATCAAGTGAAAATGAATGATTTAGAAATTCAAGTTTTGAATGAAAAAGTAAGACAAAAGTTCTTATTGGCAAATATTTTATAGATTTAGAATACACATAATGATTTTTATCAGTTAATTTTATATTATAATGAAGTAGATATACAGAAATATTTAGAGAGCAAAAAAAAATGGTTTTTATAAATGAAATGTCACTTCATCATAGAGTCAAGCGGGTAATGATTTAAAATGACGATAAGTATCTTTCAAGAAGAAAATGAATAAAAGGGGAGGTCATGCTAATAGCCGTGAGATTGAAAACTTATGCTTTATAAGATGTGGTAAACATCTATTTAATAATGTGAATGATGAATTAAAGAAATCGAATGAATTATTTCTTAGATTTCTTTTTCTTTTCAGATTTATCTTCATCATCATCAGCTTTACGTTTTTTATCTTTCTTTTCCTTCTTTTCTTTCTTTTCTTTCTTTTCCTTTTTATCTTTCTTTTCTTTCTTTTCCTTCTTTTCCTTCTTTTCTTTCTTTTCATCATCCTTATCTTCGGAAGTTTCAATGGTGGTAGTTTCTTCAACTTCTTCAACTAATTTTTTCTTTGGAGTTTGAATTTCAGGAGCAGCCAACTTGCTTTCAGGAACAGGAGGAGCAGGAGTTTCATCGTGGTCCTTATATTCAGATTTCCAACTATCAGGAGTTTTTTCATTAGCTCTACCAAATTTATCTAATTTACCATCAGCTTTTAATTGTTTTTTCTTTTGAGCAACTGGACCTAATCCCCATCTTCTTGGGTAAGTATCACGTTCCATGATACATCTTTTAACTTTAGCAACAATACCGTGATCACAAGTTTGTAAATCAACAGTAGTCATTTGAGCAATACCAATAGCGATAGCTTCACCTTTAGTAGTGATCAAAACAACTTCATCGTATAATTCAATACCTTCTTCGTAACGTAATAAACCAGGAATCATTAATTTAGCCCCGTAACAAACAGAGTTAACGGCAGAATCTTTAACCACAACTCTTTTATAACCAACTAATAAAGTTTCTAAAGGTTGAATGATTCTTCTTAAGTAAGATTCATCTCTTTTATTATCATAAACGTATTGAGCATCTAAAACATCATGTAAAGTGACCAAGTTATCGTTTTCACCAAGAGCACCAGAACGAACACGACGTAATTCTTGCATATGACCCCCAACACCCAATAACATACCTAAATGGACACATAAAGTTCTCATATAAGTACCAGCTTCACAAGAAGCCCAGAAAACACCTAAACCTCTTTTGTTATCGAATTCGATCAAGTTAGAATCATAAATAGTACGGACTCTTAATTGTCTTTTAACAGCAGAAATCAATGGTGGTCTTTGGAAAAGAGCACCGGTTAAATTTTCTAATGATCTACCCATATCTTTAGCGTCTTTTAATTCATCATGTAATCTAACGATACAAACATACTCTTTACCGGCACCTTGTTGGGATTTAACCAATCTAGTGGCACGGTCAATACAAACAATTAAACATCCGGTAACTTTTGGATCTAAAGTACCTGAATGACCAGTTTTTTCACTTCTTAAGATTCTTTTGATCCAAGCAACAACTTCGTGCGATGATGGATTGGATGGTTTATCTAAATTAATAACCCCTGATGAAATATAAGATTTGATATCTCTTTTCAATGGAGAACATCCTGCTGGAATTGGAGTATAATGTCCGGATCTAACTAATAACTTATCGTAGTTTTTCAACAATAATGGCCACTCAGAAGTGTCCTTGGATGGAGCAACAGCTTCTGGCTTGATCATATACTCGTCAGACATCTTATATTATGTTTGTTTGACTGTTGTATCTACTATCAAAAGGTATTGAAAACTTTTTTTTTTTTTTTTTCACAAATTGTGATGAGATGAAGGTTTTTTTTTTTTCACTTTTATTTTTGTTGTGCGGCTCTTTCCTATTTAGGGTGAGGTGTATGGGTGTATTAACAGTATAAAGTATAACCGTATAACAGTATAATTAGAGTGTATGACTATAAAGATGGTAGAGGATAGCTGTAGATATGGGTTTACTTGTACAAGCCCATGGTGGAGGCGATTTCGTCCTTCACTAGCTCGAGCCAAAAGGTTTCCCTGGCCAAAGACCTAATTGACTTAATACAAGTGTCGACATTCAGATCATTGATAAGCTCGTGGTGGGAGCCAAAAGTGCCTCCAATCAAGTGGACGGTATCTTTGTTTGCCTTTATTTCACTCACAGTATCGTAGAGTTGGTGGACCAAAGCCAGGTCGGCGGTGATAAGGTTGTCTAGGTCGATTGAGCTGTCTATTGAGGTTGCAATTTTATCAGGAGTGTTGGCATTGATATTGTCAAGGGTTAAGAGCTGTTGGTTAAGGTTGGTCAAGTTTGTCACTTGGTCGTTCAAATGGGTCAAGTGATTGTTCAAGATCTCGCTATTTGCTTTTGCTTGGGTATTGTGGTGGGATAGTTGGTCGTACAATGTATCGATTTTGATTGAATTTTCATTGATTGACGCAAGGTGGTTGTTTACTCCACTAGGGTTCTGGGGATCCAAGAGTTGGTTTAGCTGGTCTGAAAGGTGTTTGAGGGTTTCCCGAGGAATGCTTTGGCTCTTGAGGTCTTCGTTTTGATCCATCAAGTCTTGTACTGATTGTGCTTGTTGTGTTTGTTGTGCTTGTTGTGCTTGTTGTGCTTGTTGTGCTTGTTGTGCTTGTTGTGCTTGTTGTACTGGCTGCGATTGTGGTGGAGATTGGATTGGGGTCGAGTATTCGGTTGGAGGTAAAGGCAAAGGATTTTGATATTTTTCAGGTATCGTTTCTTTTGGCTCTGGCTTACTTGGTACCGGAGGACCAGTTGTGTCCCGACGTAAGGAACCGGTGGCAGCCTGGGTTAAAGGGATCTTGGCTGGCTTCACTGGAACTTGGCCTATAGATATTGGAGGTTCTAATGAAAAAGTCTGTTTTAAAACATTAATCAACTCAATTAGATTATATTTGGCTATATCATTAAACTCGGAAAACCAAGACGACAAATATGGATGGTAGAATCTTCCCTGGCTATCTACATAGTTCCCGGGTATTAAAACATGATTTTTATCCTTATTGGGAGTTATAAATACAATTGGAACTCCGTTAACTTCATTAACCCTATTATCAGCGTCAGCAAACGGATAATTTAACGGAACCCAAATATTTATCGGTACCGCAAGATCGTTCAATTTCACCGATCCAAATAATTCAATCAACAATTCACTGTGTCCAGTGTTACCGGATGTAAATACATTAGTTCTGATTTTGAATCTGGAAGACTTGGATTTATGGTTTAAAAAAACTTGAAGAAACTGGTATATGTGGGTGTATACCATTTGTTTATGTAAGTACTGTGGTTGTATCACATTATATAGCCAATTGGCTACCTTTGGCGATAATTCCTCCATTATCTTATCACTATTAGTCAACTTTGTAAATTGCTTCTTAGTCCTTTTCTATAGGCATTTATTATTATTGGTGTACGGGTGTTGGTGCTATTTAATTTTTCAAACCTTCGAACAAAAAACTGATACCAACAACCAATTCTTCTTTACAGACATCAGAAAGATGAGTGGGTATGTTGGCTCCAGACTACAAGGAAGCGATATGTACTAACAGCAACAGGTATACTGTGATCGTTGTGTTTTTAATCACTGCCGTTTTATCGGCATTAGCGTGGGTGGCAGCACCAAAGGAAAACCGAACCGTATGGAGATCCTCGATCATCTTGGGTTTATCGATGTGCTACTTGATGTGGGCCATCACTTACTTGGCCCAATTGCATCCATTGGAGGCTCCCAGAAGATCCGACTTGAGACCTGAATAGATGTATGAGTATTGACGCTTGTCTCGTCCAGTGTATTTAACTTCAATGTTGTACAGTGGTTTCATCTTCTTATCTTCTTCAATTATTTCATTCAACGTTTTATCTTCTTCAGTTATATTCAATGTTTCATTCCGTCATAGAATCAAGACTTTTCATTTCTTTTAATTACTTAACTTCTACTCACTTAACTTCTACTCACTTAACTTCTACTCACGTAACTTCTACTCACGTAACTTCTACTCACTTAACTTCTACTCAATACTTCACTTTATATGAGTACTTACTACTCCTTCCTATTCCCGCAATTTCTCTTTAAGTACTTCTCCCCAAGGGCTTTTTAACTGCTTCTCCTTGTTTAGCATGCCTAATATATGGTTCCTACTACCTCCCAAGGTCTCCGGGTAACTTGGTTGTGCTAACAAAACAAAAATAATTGAAAAAAAAAAAGTATTTATGTCCACAGAGAAATTTTGAAAAATTTTTACTTCTTCTTCTTCTTCTTCTTCTTTACACATTTATCCCACATATATATATCCAATATATAATATCCAATTGATTATAGGCTGTAGAAAGAATCTCCTGTTTCTGCCCTACGTTCGTTTCGTTTCCATCGAATGATAGGTTCTGGTGATGGAGTAGAAAAAGCCTAAGAACGGACCTTGGACACTTTTGATACATCGTCCTTGGTCTGTTGTTGGGATCGTGTGGTGAGTTGTATCCTTGTGTGGTGGATTTATCTAAAATTTGATACTTTCATCTGATCGGCTTCCACTATATTTCCTTATGTAGAGTCTTGTAGTTTATCAGTCAAACTTGAAACCATTATACCGAGTAGTACGTATTTATCTGCCTCGGACAATCCTTATCTTTTTATTCTTTTTCTTATATAACACAGTTGTGCCTACGTTCTCCTCTAAACCACCCTTGTACTTACGTTCTTCTTGTCCCTACGCTTGTATTTACCGTTAAATTCTTCGAAGCTTAACTGTGGCTTGCTAATTATTGGTCTTCTGCTTAGTCTGCGAATTTGCTATCGAACGGCTAAAAATCATTTTTTGCCTTTAAGCCTAATACTTCTTCGTTGGTTCTTATAGATTCGTCCGGTATATATATATCGTATATATACCTACATGTTGAAGCTGTTTATCGTTGGAAAACAGTGGTCAAGAATAAAAAACTTTTAAAATGCTTCTATCAAAGTCAAAATCTCCGGAGGACGTTATCTCTACCCCGGTTGAGTCACTTGAATCATCGAAATCTTCACCTTACATTCCTGATGATAATACCAACTTGAAAAGAGAGTTGAAACCAAGACATACCTCTTTTTTAAGTTTGGCTGGTATTATCGGTCCCGGTATATTGGTTGGTGCTTCTCTTGCTTTGAAGAATGGACCCTTATCTTTACTTTTGGGTTTCAGTATCATTGGTATCGTTGCAATGATTATGATGCAATCTTTGATTGTACTTATAATGAATTATCCTACTGGTGGGGTTTTTAGTTCCTTGGGATGTAGAGTAGTGGATCCTGCTTATGGTGGTGTTGTTGGCTGGTGCTATTTCATAGTTTTTGTTACTGTTTTAGCAAATGAATATAATACCACGGCTGCTCTTTTACAATTCTGGGGCCCTCAAGTTCCTCTTTATGGATATATCTTGATGTTTTGGGTGGCCTTTCTTGGGTTTCAATTCTTGGGGGTTGGTGTCTTTGGTGAAGCTGAATTTTGGTTGGCTTCTTTAAAAATTATCGGTATCTTTGCCTTTTACATTTTTTCAATAGTCTATATGAGTGGTGGTATTAAAGGCCAACCGGCTTTTGGTTTCCACTATTGGAATGACCCTGGTGCTTTGGCTAATGGGTTTAAATCAGTGGTTGCTACTTTTGTCTATGCTTCAACTTTTTATAGTGGTAGTGAAATTCCTGCTATTGCTGCTGCTGAATCTAAAGATCCAAGATCTTTACCAAGTGTTGTCAGAAACACTGTTTTCAGAATCATCTTTATTTATATTGGTATCGCAATCTTCTATGGTGCTACTGTTCCTTATAATGATGAAACTTTAAATGCAAATACAAAGGCTCTTCAATCTCCAATGAGTATAGCTATAAAAAGAGCCGGTTGGAATGGGGGTGCTCATTTAATTAATGCTTTTATCATTGTTACTTGTATTTCAGCAATCAATAGTTCTATCTTTATCGGTTCAAGAACTTTATTACATTTGGCTAATGAGGGCCAGGCTCCAAAACTTTTGAAAACTGTTAACAAACATGGGGTTCCTTACTTCGCAGTCATTTTAACTAATGCTTTCGGTTTAATCTCTTTAATGAACATCAGTACTGGTGCTGCAAATGCTTATAACTATATCGTGAACATTTCAGGAGTGGCAGTTTTCATCGTCTGGGGCTCGGTTTGCTTTTATCATATCAGATTCAGGCAAGCCTGGGCTGCTCAAGGCAGAGATGCAAACGACTTAACCCACAAAGGCTTATGGTATCCTTATTTGCCAATAGCTGGAATGACTTTGAATATTTTTCTTGCTCTAATTCAAGGCTGGTCGTATTTCAAGCCTTTCCAAGCAAAAGACTGGGTTGATTCCTACATCCTTCTTCCTTTTTCCATTGTATTATTTTTCGTTTTGAAAATTGTTAATAAAACAAAATGGGTTAAACTTCATGAAGCTGATCTTGACACTGGTAGGTTTGTTGGTTAGCTTCTTCTTATTCTTTCTTCTGCGTTGAACGTTTTTCTTTTTCAATTAACCTTTCTTCTTTCGATTTTTTAAAAAAATACCTTTTACTATAGTTTTTCAGTTCATTTTTAATGAATAGTTCCCTTGAACAACCTTTGTATAAATGAACAACAAAATATGTTTTTTTATACATTAAAAGATTTATTATTTTTGCTACAACAGATCCTGTAGACACACTTAATACACATAAATGTTAGCATGTTAAGCATACTTAATACCTAATGGATGCAAATTTTGTTGAAAATATTCAAAATGTAAAGAATTGAAAGAAATTAAAAGAAAGAAAGAGCCTGAAAAATAAACAAGCAATTAGAGAATAAGCTTCATAATCTCCCTCCAATATACTAGAGCTGCTTATAGTCGATGTTGGTAAGAGCTTATCATCAATAAAAGTAATGGTGTACGGATTTAGGAAATTGATTGCAGTATCAATTAAACAGCTTATACTGTAAAGTGTCAATTAAACAGACAAAAATATACCTGCTTGGAATTAACTACTTATACCTTTATGTTTAGAATAAGGCCAGCTATTAAACAAACTATCGCGGCAAGAGGGATTTCATCCTCTGCAGTTCGCTTCTCCGGTAACAAGTTTGGCACTGATTTCACTCCATCTCCACCAAAGTTACCAAAAGAACAATAAGAAGAGTTTGAAAAATTACAGAGAATCGCCAATTCCCAAGCTGCCATCGAAGAGTTTAATAAACAAAATGCAGAGTCGGGCCTGCTTAGTAGTAACTTGGCCGGGGAAGTGGAAGCACAGCAGATGAAAACCGATATTTGATGGCCTCAAAGGACTCCTACAATTACGAAAATTTAGTTTCATAAAAAAGAAAAATGTCACTTTGGGAATTAACCTCCCTGAATCAATATCTTTCAGAGACTTTTTAGATTGCTTCCACCGACTACTTAAAACGAACTGGTGATGAGGGAAGCACCAAAATTGGCTCATCCAGCAGATTGAAAAAAAAAACCCAAAAGTACCTAAAGTGCCTCGGAGCATTGTCATTCACTCAGCTCAAGGTTTATGAATTCCATAAACCAGTTCCTCATATTTACTATATGTGTTGAAAAAAAAAGCAGCATATTTTGAGAAGGCCAACGAATTTGAAGGGAAAGTCTCGGATATGGGTGTCTTAACGATCTCGAAAAAGACTTCAGCTAAAAGAAAAAAGTTCAAGATCTCTCATTATACCGCATTATTAGGCTATCAATAATGGTCTGTTCTCTTGTATAAACATTTGCTACATTTTGATTAACTAACCTGATAAACATATCTAAGCACAGATCGTCTCTAACCAATAGTAGGAATTATTATGTGGCTTTGAAAATGTAAGAACTGATATATCGAATGAACAGCTCCGGTCAGGAAACATCAGCCTGTATCTGGATGCTCGATCCGATCGTCAACCATGTAGGAAAGGATCCTAAAGAAGGCCTCATTCTAAAAGTGAATCCAAGTCGATAAGACTAAGTAATAGCGATCGTAACTCTTCTTCTTTTTGATGTCTTTCAAAGTATCATAAGCTAATACAATCTGAACAAACTTATCACTTTTCTCGTCTTCTGATAAATGACTATTCAAATCTGGATGATACTTCTTCAGTAATTTTTTAAATTGCATCTTAACATCTTTTATTGAGGCTGAACCTGGTAGTTCAAGAAGTTCATAATAGTTGGGTTGTCTCAAACTAGGCGAACTACTGAAAAATCGTAGTCCACTACTATTAATCGGAAATCATAACCGCTCGATTATCTTGAAAAAGGCTGGCTTTGACCAAACCTTTTCATTCATATCTTAGGCAGCCAGTCATTTGAAGTCCATAATTTAATTGGTAAGACTTCTTTACAATGGTAGCTACTTCATCAGTATCAAAGTTATTTCATATTTTCAAGCTTGGTAATTGGCGGTAAAGGAAAGTATCTTGACGACCTGAAGTAGGCTAACAGTTTAACTATTCAAGAATTTCATAATACCTTAGCTGTCTCTTATCAAAAATATTCACTTAAACTCTTGCAGATCTAACGATGCAGTTTTGATCCTGGTATAATCGATGGTTTTGCTTACAAGAAAAGAAAATACGATTACTACTATTTCTTTTACCAAAATGACAATATATTAATAAAGACTACCTGGTTAAATGTTTAAGGTAATTCTAGAATTTCTTCACAGAAATCCTCCTTAATAACAAAAATAGACTCAATGAGACGTTATAAAGCTTCTTTTTGAAATCAACTGTATAAAGCTCGAACTAAAAACAGAAGATTTAATTCAGTGTAGTGGTAAGGATCAAATGTTGCTTCTAATTGAATCAGCCTTGAAGTATATATAAATGATAAGCCTTGAAGTATATATAAATGATAAAATGTACGCTCTTAGCGCAGCTTGATTGAAGCTCGGCAGCTTAGATTAAAAGAGTTCGCTCATTCAGCATGTCCTTCCTTTGACCATAGAGTCCATTTAGAATGATCTACGGTAGCTAATTATACTAATATTAGATAGATTAAGTTTGCGTAATTAACTATACATAAATGTCAAACAAAGATTAGTACTACCAATAAAAACTTTGGTAAGTAGATGCAAACAAATATATAGCTGGCATGTACTTCTCGGTTAAAAAGAGTAAGGTTGATATTGAAACCCAATACATTGGATGTCAATAAAGCAATAAAATTAGTGAAGGGAGTTTTCAAACTTTCTCAAACTGAAAGCCAACTTGAAATTTCAATTACAAGCTGAAGCTCTTATCGAACAAAACTAAACTCAAAAAAGGTTTTTATCTGAATAACTACACCCATCACCATTCAAATATAGCAAAGAGTTCATTACCCAACCCTCAGTGAACCACCACCTACGGAAACTTGCAACCATGCTCTGCACGAATTGCTATGGACGAAGGATAGAAGGATTTAAATAGTAACTTCAGTTCTTCGCATCACCGAAAGAATGTGACGAGTAAGACTTACCTTCCTCGACATCGAGAGAGCCCAAAGCGTACTTAATTCCTAACTTTTACTTCAGTAAGGCAAGCGCTCGCGATAATGAATTCCTGAAGTTATTTCTGCTTCCTGGGATTTAGGTTTAGAAGACCAATCTTAAGATATCTAGATACCTCAATAAATTCCTTCTAGTATCAACAATAGTCAACATAAGAAATAGCCCCCGTAAATACCTTGACTAGTGCAAACTGTGCCTTTTTTGCAGCAAAACCATTTCAACATCTTCGCTTCCAGTAAGTGACCTTTTCATATCTATTGATTTCCAAAGTGCATCTTCACTATACCTTTGAATAAACTTGCCTACAATTGAGTTTCTGTCGATGCAACAGATAGTTGCGATTCTGTACTTTTAACATGCAACCTCTTTTTTCAAGTTATATCGTCGTTCCCTCTTAGAGTCAATTGCTTATGTATTAAGTGATGATAAAACGGTTAGTTGCAATGATATTCTCTAGCTCTAACTCTTTAATTTATTGACTCCATTTTGCAAATGATCGGAAAATATTGTATTTACTTCCGCAACAACCTTGATAGGCTTTCCTAAAATCACTCTTGTCTAGGGGCATTGGTTTATTGCTGATTTGGATGATGAAAAATAGAATTTTAATCGTGAATATGAATAAATGAATACTCAATTTTCATTTTCGGAATCTGGTTATCTTACCTACAAAATTAAACTGCATTCGAATGCTCTCTAATATTTTTTCTAATAGTTTTTAGTGACAGACATTTGCGTATTCTGGAGCATTAAAGAAGTTGTCTAACTAAGTGTTAATTCTTGTAGCTATGTTCGTTCTCCCTTTCAATAGTTTTGAAAGCGTTCGTTCAGAATTTTTTTTTATCGACTTGCATTGTATTTCATCAACATTTAAATTGTAGTTACTAAGTCCATTTCGATTTTTCTTCTTTCTGACCGGTGAAGATGCTTTATTTCAATTTTTAAGAGATGTTTTTTCAAATGTATTTATTCTCCTAATGCAAAATACTTTAACAGGCGAGTTACAAATTCGCAATCTTTTAATGGTTTTTGTATTTAGGATCAATTACATTGGTTTAGGCATAGAAAGTATAATTTTGGATATCTTTGTGTAGTTGTAATATTTTACTAAATCATGCACCCTCCTGATACATGCGTATTACATCTTTTATAATAACATTGCCATTTTGAAACCATATCAAAGATAGCAGCTGTCTTTTCTTTTTCACTTTAATGAAGCTTCTTTTTTGCCACGTATATATTCAGGTTTTCTTATGGCTTTCAACAAATTTTACAAAATTATCCGGAGAGTTGGTTGTTTTTTTTTTCTTAAAAAAAGGTCAGGCCCCCTTTGTTATGAGTGTCGGGAACACTTCTTTTGAGCTAATCTCAGAAATATTATATCACATTAGATTCAAATCAGGAAAGTAAATCAAATGCGACAAAGTAAGCCTTGCACTGCGCTTGAATCTTTCGACAGCATGATTTTCCATGATTTTTCTTGGTGTCAATTAGTTGTGCCTTCGAATTTGAGATATTGATTCATTATACTTCTGGGATATTTTCACCTAGGTCATGGAGGATGATGCTTGAATTAAAATTTTGATGATTTCTAATTTCTACATGATCAAGCTCAAGTTTTTTGTTATTGACCTCTCCTTTCTGTCGGCCTTATACGGCTTAATCCAAAGTTGACAATCTAATTCCAATTCAGAAAGACCTGATTTAACCCAGAGTATGAGGTGAAAGCCGATCTTTTTTTTAGGTGTATGCTTCTTATAAGCTATCCTTGCATCTTTACTAATATTTTGTTCTTTTATTTCTTAAACCTTCAATTGTAAGTTCATCTTTATTGCAATTTCACCCATTTGATCACCCTCTTTGTCCGCAGCTACATCAAAAATATCGTAAAGGGCTTAATTGTTTAGTCTTCCCACTTATCATTTCGGTATTTTTCAAAGAGGTCATCCTAAACCATAATGTCTATGGCAATGGGAAAGAAGGCTGGTTGCAAAATTTCATAAACGTATTACTTTGGGCTTTTCTACTCTATGAATATTTGAAAAAGTCCATGGGACTAATCAGCTTACTCACAATTTTGAAGTCACCGTCATCATCTCTTGGTCGCCGAATCCGTGTTTGATGTTGGACTTGATAACTTAGAGTCCATTGAGGTGATTAAAGTGAATCTCACACCGTAGAAAAACAGCTGGGAATAATTTACTTTTTGAAAATTTCGGTAATTTGAAATAATGGAATAAGGAGCTCATTGAGGACTTACTATGGTTGACTGATTGAAAGATTTGTAGAATCTTCTTGTTGCAATTGTTGTAGTGAAGCATTCAATTTTATTCAATTTTTGGAAAAGTTGCGAATATTTCATATAAATACGAGATTAAGGAAAAACAAGTGAATAGATGTGACAGGGTAAGTGTGAATGTAAGTATGCCTATGTCAGACTTATATTCTGGGAGAAGTTATTAATTTTGTCCCGGAGGATTCATAAGTTTTTATGGTATGAAGTTGCAAAAAAATGCCATTAGAAGTACTAAGGCAACGCACAGTTCTGTAAAGTTAAGTGAGATGCTACATTGTTGAATGAGATATAAATGCATATAAAGGAGAGAATAAGATTAAACTAATAACAACAGGCGTCAGACATTAGAAGAGGAAAGAGTCTTTTATTTTATTAATTCTAAAGCAAGTCTAAGATTGATAAATAATCGCATTAAATAGCAACACTAGCACATAAAGCAGCACCAACACCACTGCCGTCTTTGGCGATTTTCAAACTTAATTTTTTGTTAGTTCCTTCCAAAGGATTGATTAAATTGAATGCTTCCAAGATTTTCTCTTGGAAACCAGGATAAAATTCAACCACTGAACCATCGCAACCAATTTCGAAGTTACGATCATCGTTTTTATATTGGTCTTTAACACGGCCAACAATTGCTGCAATAGGAATGGAAGAGAGATAGGCGGCCCTATGAGAAACGACTTGAGTAATTTTTTGAATAACCAATCTTTCTTCTCTTGTAGTTGGTAATCTCAAGTGATTTTCCAAAACTAATTGGGACATTTTCAAGTCAGTTGAATCATCAATTTGTAAATAGGATAAAACTTCTGAATCCAATAACCAAGGTTCAGATAAACGGTGAGGTAATGAGCCGCGTCTTGATTCAAACAATTCAGTAAAAATAAAGCCACGTTCGAAAAGGTCAATTAAAATGACTCTTAATAATTCACCCAAGAACATACCACTAATTCTTTTTTCGAACAAGTGGTAACCTTGATTAGCAGTTTCTTTATCAACAATGTCATCGTATTTGGTTTTTGGTAAGACTTTCAAAGTATTATCAAATGACCCCCATTCAGTATTAATAACCATACCGGTAGCACCTTTTGGAACAGTGGTGAGATCTAATTTTGAAATATTAGACAATTTTTCAAAATAGGCACCATTAGTACCGGTACCAAAGATACAACCAAGAACAGTATTAGCATGAGTTTTTGCTTCATTATTAGAATAAGCTCTTGATAATAAAGTACCAACGGTATCATTAGCCAAGGCCACAACATCCACCTTAACCCCCAAAAGATCGATATGAGTTTGTAACAATTCAACAACATCTTTATTCACACAATCAGGTAAATCAAAACCTTTAGTCCAACGAATCAATTTACCTCTATTCAAAGCGGTTTGATCAACTGGGAAAGAAAAGGTAAAACCCAATTTCAAAGAACCATTAGTGTTTGCCGAATATTCTTTATGGTGTTCATCCAAAAAGGCTTCCACTTTTTTAGCCAAATAAGAAAACAAAGCATCAGCAGTTGAATTCTTCATTAAATCAAGAGGAATTTTAAACTTGGATTGTTTCAATTCATGAGTATGATCACCGTTCAACTTAATTGAACAAACTCTGAAATTAGTACCACCTAAATCAGCAGCCAAATATAATCCAGTTTCTTTACCGGTTGGGATTCCAGTTACAAAAGTTGGAATCATTGGCATATACTCTTTAGCAGAAGCAGAATGTTTCAAACCTTCATCCATTGATTTCACAAATTGTTCAGTAGCTCCAACAAGAAATTGCTTATCTATAGCAAAATCTTTGACTACTTGATCAACAGCTGCTTGTAACTTACTATTCATAATATAATTTTTAAAATCGAATAACTAAATATTTGAGTAACCAAATACTTTGAATATTAAATGAAAAGGAAAGAACATCTATATATTCCATTTTTCAAGCAACATTAGCTTATTTAGGGGCCCATACTACAAAAAGAGACAAAGTGAGAACTGCACATTGAAGCACATACAAAATTTCAATGGGGTGATTTGGCATTGTTCGTCTTTACCTTAACATATGAGATGACTAGTCAACAGGTGACGAGAAGACAAGAATGGGCTGGGGTCTGGGGTAATCATATGATGGGCAGGCAGTGGAGCCTCTGGGGAATGGGGTGTTCTCTCTATATGAGGATCTGATTGTTTGGAGTTCAATGGAACGTTGCAGTGAGATTTTCGAAAAAAAAACTGAAGAAAAGATGTACGGGTGTGGGTTTTAAAATGAAAAATTCCTACAATTAGCCGGTATAAACTGTGGAAATCAGAGATTGAAGCCAACTTTTCTTTATGTTGAAGAACGTAACTCGATATTTCACTAGAATGGCAAGCGCAGAGTACCTCGACAAAGCCAATCAGCTCATTGGCCAGCACCCATACCTTATGTTATCCAAATCATGGTGTCCTGATTGTCATTATACTTATAAAGTTTGGGAAGACTATGGAGTTAAGGACAAGGTTCACGTTATTGAATTAGACAAATTTGAAGATCAACAAGAGGCAGCCAAGTTGGAAGCAGCATTCACTGAGATTGCCGGTAGAAAATGGGTGCCCACCATTTTCTTTAATGGGCAGAGATTAGGAACTGAAGAAGATTTGAAAAAATGGAAACAAGAAGGTAAATTAGATGCAATTTTCAAGGAAGCTAAATTGATTTAAATACATGAATAGACTAGACTAAATACAACATTTATTTTATATAAAATTAAACAGATAATGGGAATTCACCAGCCCATTGACTAATTTCAGCTTTAACAGCTTTTAATTTATCATCTTCACCATTTAAGACTTTGTTTTTGAAATCTTTCAATTTATTAGCTTCTTTTGGTAAGTTAGCTTGGATTTCTTTAGCGTAGTTAACGGCAAAATCAATATAACCAACGATTTTTTTGAAATCTTCTTCACCTAAACCTCTTGAAGACATAGCAGGAGCACCAATTCTAACCCCACCAGGGACCAAAGCTGATTTATCACCAGGAATAGAATTTTTATTAAGAGCAATGTTAATTTTTTCACAAATGGTTTCAACTCTAGCACCATCAATTTGTTTATCTTTCAAAGAGACTAAAACCATATGAGAATCAGTACCATTACTAACCAAGTTATAACCTTTTGAGTTGAATTCTTCTTCCAAAACCTTAGCATTTTTCAAAACTTGTTCTTGGTATTGTTTGAATTCTGGAGTAGCAGCTTGTTTTAAAGCGGTAGCTAAAGCAGCAATGGTATGATTATGAGGACCACCTTGATGACCAGGGAAAACAGAGAAGTTAATTGGGTTTTCTAAATCGTATAAGATTTCTTGACCGGTTTTTGGATTAACTGATCTAACACCTCTTCTGAAGAAAATCATTGCCCCTCTTGGACCTCTTAAAGATTTATGAGTGGTGGTAGTAACGACATCAGCGTATTCAAAAGGAGAAGGAATAACACCGGCAGCGATTAAACCAGAAATATGAGCCATATCAACGACTAAATAAGCGCCAACTTTATCAGCAATTTCTCTCATTTTTTTATAATCAATTAAACGACAATAAGCAGAAGTACCAGCAACCAAGATTTTTGGTCTATATAAAATAGCGGTTTTTTCTAACATATCATAATCGATTAACCCAGTTTCTAAATCAACTCTATAAGGCATGGTTTCGAAATAGGTGGAAACTGCAGAAATTTTTCTTGAATCAGTTTGATAACCATGGGATAAATGACCACCATGAGGTAAATCTAAACCCATTAATCTTTCATGAGGTTTCATTAAAGCTTGGTATACTTGTAAATTAGCTGGAGATCCGGATAAAGTTTGAACATTGACCCCCCATTTATCAGAAGTAACATTAAAAGCTTTTAAAGCACGTTCTTGACATAATAATTCAATTTTATCAATTTGTTCGTTACCACCGTAATATCTAGCACCTGGGTAACCTTCAGAGTACTTATTACACATTGGAGTTCCCAAAGCATCGAAAACAGCAGTGGTGGTGAAGTTTTCTGAAGCAATAAGAACAATTGAATGTTTTTGTCTGTCAATTTCAGCTTTAATGATAGAATCAACTTCTGGATCGGTATCCTTTAAGTGACCTTCGACTAATTGTTTATGAGAATCAGAGAGAGCGTATGGCATGTTTAATGATATTGAAGAAATAAAAGAACAAGATGAAAAAGAGAAATTAATCAAGATTTATAAATGAAAATTTCAACCCCATGAGTCGAAAAGTGAAAATGCGGGAAAAATTAATTAGAGCAAGAGTCAAATTTTCATTTAAAAAAAATGATGAGAAGACTTACAACCGAGTCAAAGCACCGAGTCAGTTAGCAAAAACACGAAAGATCACGGGACCAGGTGTATTAAGGGTAATTAAATATATAAAGAGAATTAGAAGAAACTCAAGATAAGTAGGATCAAAGTTGATTTGTTCATAATTTTGTTCATAAAATGATCATGACATGAAGAAGAAAAGGTAAAGAAAAAATAATGATTAGTATATGATTAGTATAAAGTAACTCTTAATCTATGAGAAATGGCTAATTTTGGAATAACCACACATAAACAACTTACTCCATTCAAGATAAATAAATTCAAGTTATAATTTGAATAATGAGTACTGATCAAGAATAATCCAATTGGTACGGACATTAAAAATTTTTTGGTTGGAGTATATTGATCACCATTATCTATTTGTTCCCACATGGTTAAATTATCATAAGCACCATTATTGAATTCAAATGGAGTACCTTTAACCTGATGAAACATAATATAAGAACCAATATTATAAGTTAAGTTAGTTAAAGTCCATTTCCAATCATTATCTAGAACAGAGATAAAATTGAAAAAAATCTTCAAAAATAAAATTATAACAATATGAACAATCCAAGCACCTTTGGAATGAACCCAGTTTGCATTAACATTGGGATTTAACGATTGATCAATCTTGGTTTCTAAATTATCTGGTTCAAGATGTTGAATAAGCGATGATGATCTTCTTTTTCTAGTAGTAGTATGCGTAGCCGGATGGCCTCCTGGACTCAAATGAATATTATCTTCAAATGCATGTTTTTCTGGTTTTGGACTAATAGTTGCCATCTTACTTCAATACTTGTATCTTATCTGTACTTGTAACTATACTGATGTACTAACGGTACTTGTAAACTAATATCGATAACTGAAAGCTGTAACTTGTCTTGGTCACTATTTATATTCGATGCCGGTATCTGCAAGGGTTTCTGATCGATCTCTCCAGTACACGGTCTCTATTCCAGGATCTGTTCTGATTAAAAGCAGGTGGGGGTTAGTGATGACGGTGGTCATTCAAATTGTCATTAAAGAAAAAACTGCACCAAATCTCAAAAAAAAAAAAAAAACAAAAAAACAATCTCAAAAAAACACCCAACCACCACCACAAAGGCGGTTCTAAACGACAAAACAACAGAAAAACAGTTACCCGCACGCCACGTCACGTGCCGAGGGTGCTAGTTTTGCAACCTTATACCATCGATACTTTGATTCTTTATTCATCTTGGTGGTCTATGTAGAGACCAGAGGAGTGCCAACCGGCAGCGGCGACGGCAAGCCACTTGCCGTCGCCCGGCAGCTTGACCAAAGCCGGGCGGGTGGTGCTGATTTGTTCGTCATTGTATGGAAGATGTTCCCGGGTGCAATACTCCTTCTTGGAACCCAAACCAAGACACCCACACTTAGCAGACTCGGTGCCCCAGCTGAGCAAGTTGCCGGTGTCGGTGAGGGCCATGTAGTGGTAGTCGCCCATGACAATATGGATGATATTTTTTTTTTGGAGCTCTTCAATGAGGGTTGGTTCGGCGTCGTCGTCGTTCTTATCTCCCAATAAGATATTTGCGCCATCGGTGAATACTGCAAATCGATTGAAACACCCGGTTATCTTGCTGAACTTGGCGTTGTCGTCGTTTTGGTGTAGCCAGGAATTGAAAGTATCCATTTCGACGGGAAGATTAACCGTCATGCGGTCAACATCTCCATTGGCGTAGTCTTGGGTAGCAAGATCAAATCTGAATAGTTTCCCGTGGCTGTTGATGAAAAGGATGCAGTCGTTCAAGGCCACAAAATCAATGACGCTGCTGGTGCCCGGTATAACAAGGTGGTTTGCAATTGATTTCATCAGTCCGTTTTCATATTCTTCTTTGGTGACAGCTTCTCTCGAATACCACACAACGATCCCAACTTTACTCATATAGCACGCAGATAAGTTCCATCCCGCAGAAACTTTCTTGATATACTCCTTTGGTAGATTGACAAATTCAATTTTGCATCCTGTTTTATCAATGGTACCAGTATCCCAACTGAAAATATTTGAATCTTCATCAAGAGCGATAAAATGCTGGCGTCCACTGGATAATGCCCTGATCTTGCCAGCTTGGTACTGCCCCGGTAAATGAACCCGGGTAATAAAACTGGTTTCTTTTATCTTGGGTTGTTGTAGTTCACTCGGGAAAGTTAAGTCTTCCGGCGGTTTGGTCAAATTTACACTGGTTGGCCCTCTTGTTTGTTCGGGCTGTGGGGACACATCTCTGTCGTAACGTTGGTCCTGTAATGGCATTGGAGAAACCCCTCTTGTTGGAGTAGCCGATGGCCTTGCCTCTGGTGCCGCTGGTAATATATGAGGACCTCTGATCAATCTTCTTGATGACATATTCGCAATGAATGGAATTTCCAAATTCGAAGTGTTCAACGGAGGCTTATAATCTTTTTTGTTCATTGGACCAGGCGTAGATTTTGATAATTGTCCATTATCAGTCCAACTAGCTCCAGTATGATATAACGACCCATCGTTCATCAATATTTGAAAACTAAAACCTCCAGCACTAATATCACTGATTATGAAATCATTGAAATTCGGCACATTCGTAGCAGTATGAACATTTTTAGTAAGTCCACCGATACTTATATGATCTTGATTAATATCTCTGATCAAATATCCTAATCTACCCATTTTAGAAGATCCCCAAGTATAAAGATTCACTTTGGGTGATGACCTCATTTTGAATAACGAGGACCAATTATACTCGTTCAAATTCAACGGGGTTGGTTTAGTGGATCCAAATTTTTTCAAATAAATTGAATGATAAACATCGTTGGTAGTTAAAATCTTGTTAAAATACTTATTGGTTAACAGAAGGGCAAAAATATCATCAGCACTCAAATAATTACATATATTAGAAGCTATGATATCCTCTCCCAATTCACTCAAGTGTAATGTCATGTTTAATAATTGTATATAAATTATACATAGATTATATAAAAAATCAGTATAAAAGATTCCGTTTTTATCAAGTGAAGGAGGACCCCGTAAAACACACGTACACCAACCTTATTGATCAACACCTTCTTCTTCGATAGGAACAGTGAAGGCACCAGCCAAGTATAATGCCGGTTCGTCAATATTATGATGTTGGTAACTTAAAACACCAACCCCACCAGCATCTAATAAGAATTGAGGGTTGACGTTGATTTCTTTACCAACCCATCTGGCAGCGAAACATCTTAAAATATGACCATGGCCAACAACTATAATGTCACTTGGTTGATTATTTTCCAAAGCTTTTCTGTGAATGGCTTTGATTTTATCAATTACTCCATCTAATCTTTGTTTAACCTGTTCATTAACTTCACCGTTTTCACAACCGTCTCTCCAAATATTCCAAGTATCACCTTTGGCCAAATCTTTATCTAAACCTCTTTCAGCTCTCAAATTAATGATTTGAGAAGTTAATAACCCTTCATAGTCACCGTATTCCCATTCACGTAAATCGTTTTCAATATTGATTGGAATTTTAGCTTTAGTTTCTTCACCGATACCTTCAATTAATAAATCAACAGTTTGTTTGGCTCTTGTTCTTGGAGAGGTGAAAACATGAGTTAAATTTTGTGGTTTAATCATTTGAAAGTCACTATTCCCAATTAAATGTTTCCCGGTGGCTTTCATTTGCTTAACCCCAAAAGCAGTTAATGATAAATCAGTAACACTGGTATACTGTCCGGATTTCGACCATTCTGTTTGTCCATGACGAACAAAGATAACCCTTGGTGTTGGTTTCCCCATTGTGTCTATCAGTTATCAGTGTAAACTTAGTAAGATATCAATTCAGTTAGTAAGATATCAATACATCGCTAGATCAATCAGTTGATACAATGTGAAAAACTCGACACGATTCCACACCCGTACACCGCACACTAAATTGCAACCAAACTATACCTTATCACAAATACGTTTCACTGAAAATTATACGGAAAGCTATCGAAGAGGGCAAACGTTTACAGAAGTAAGAAACCTAAAGAAGGGTTTGTAATAGGTGCTTAAGCTTATAAGACGATAAGCAAAAAAATATAATAAGTTAGTATTGTCACTGAAAGGGCACTCGAAAGGAAACCATTGTGACTTAATGAAATCGCTAGAAGACCAGGCTTCAATATCACTGATATAAACAACAGAACTCAACAGTTCATAGAGTACCGATTATATGAACATTATACTAACATTATTAGTATAAGTGGTTAGTGTGCGCACGTGACTCACTAAATAAATTTTTCAAAAGTTCTGAGAAGACTTAATACCAACTTTAATCTATTAGTTGATCTATTTACCTATTAGTTTATCTAATACTTTATCCAATACTTATATAGCCAAGATGTCAAAGGCCCATGCTGAAATAAGCCAGAAGATCGTTGGTCTTTTGAAGACATTACCTAAGGACAGAATCAAACACTATGCGTCCTTCAAAGAAATTCAACTTGAAAGATTCCAAAATAAAGCATTAGTTAATCAGATATCGGAAAAAGATTTACACTTACAATATCTTTCATTAAGAGATTTAGTTAATGATAAATATAGAAACTATTATAAGCTAGATGATAAGTTATTAAGACCAAAGGGGAACCCCCAATATTATGAACGTCTTTTAAGTGAAATTAAGGGAGAAAAGAAGGAAACTTTTATGAGTGCCATTAGAACCGTTGTTTTTGGGAAATGATTTATGTATATTAGTTTGTAAATAGAAAATACATTATTAACTACTGTAATTATTTGTATTAACAAAGGGTCCCATGTTTAAATTAACTCGCAAATTTTACGTGGCATAACTTCGAAAAATTCACTATTAGCTATTTTTCAAAAGATTGGTTTGTTTAGTTAATTGAATTGGTTTTCATTGAAACATGTCGTTCATAACTAAGGTTAGAGCGTCAAGACCATTACAAATTGTTATTTTAATTCTTTTTGCATTGGTAACGTATTATCAATTTTTCACTAAATCAAATGATAGTTATACACCAGAAGAGTTAAATTCCTTATTACAAAATAAAGATGAAAGTACTGTTGCAATTAAAAAAGTTGAATTAACTAATCAAGGCTTACATAAACCATATTTGGATTCAGTTAGTTTAAAATTGAAAGATTGGGACATTGGTGGTAATACATTAATTAAAAATAATGATTATGTTAGATTAACTGGTGATAATCAACATCAAGTTGGTAATCTTTTCAATAAATTCCCAATTCAAGCCGAATCTTTTGAAATGGAATTGACTTTCCATATTCATTCCAAAACAACCAATGGATTAGTAGGTGATGGTTTTGCAATTTGGTTCCTTGATGAAAAATCTCCAATTGGAGATGTTTTTGGATCGAAAAATTATTTTAATGGATTAGGTATAATGATTGATACTTATAAAAATGGTAAAAGGGGACATTTCCCATTTGTTAATTTAATGTTGGGTGATGGTAAAACATTTTATAATAAAGAGACTGATGGATTTGAAACAAGATTAGCTGGTTGTGTTGCTAAAAGTTTATTAAATCCAACAAGTAAAATTTCAAAAGCGAGAATTGTTTATATAAAAGATGGTTATCTTTCGCTTGATTTTAACTATAATGGAATTGATGAAGATTGGCAAAATTGTGTTACTTTAACTAATGTTTTATTACCTCCAGTTAAATACTTAGGATTTAGTTCTGAAAATGGTGATTTAACTGAAGCAGTTGATTTATTAGAAAATAAAATATTTGCATTATATAACCCTGATGAAGAAGGTGTTTTCATTGAATCGGTTGATCAATTAACTAATTTAATTAAAGAACAAGCCGAAGCCGATCAACAAGTTGCGGAAGACTTTAAAAAGGGTGGAGGTAGACATCGTTCATTTAAGAAAAAGAAAACTAGTGGAGAAAGAAGAAAATCATTGAAAAGATTGAAAAATGCTGAAAAAAGACTTAAAGAAAGAGAAAGAGAATTAAGAATTGCAAAATATGGAGATGCTGAAACTACATTTTTATCAAATTTATTAAATAAGATTTGGAAATTAATAATTTGGGTTTTTTATATAATATTAACCATATTAGTTGCATGGATTTTATTTTCAATTTATAGAGTTCAAAAACAACAAAGAAAATCAAAAACAACTGGATTATTAGATTAGTTATCTTCTCTTTTTAGTTGACTGATCATCATTATTTAAATAATTTTTAGAAGTCTTCAAAATTAAATCTTGATCTTCATTTTTAGCTAATAAAGTAAGACCGTAGGTATTTTTAGAAATTTCAAAAAATTGATGAACTGATTTATAAGAAACCAATTTCAATAACTTATCATCATTATTTGCTTGGAAAAAATTTAAATTATAATCTTTTTTAATTAAACCGAATGAATTTTTTGTTAAAGTCTTGATTAAATCAGTATCAAATGAATAAGCATCAATTAAAATGTTTATTTTACATCCGTCAACATCTTTAATTTTCTTGCCGTCGACATATTCTTGAAACAATTCCCGACTTCTCAATATAGCAGTTTCAATTAATAAAGTATCAAAATCAACTTTTTGGAAAACTTTTCGAACATTTAATCCAGTAATCTTAATGAAAAAATTGGATTCAGTAGAGTTTTCAATCAATGGTTTCAAAGTAACAACCGCAATTGGTGAATCCCTATATATGATCAATTGAGAGTTTTTTGAGTTAGTTAACTTGAATTTAGTCTCCTTAGGAGTCTTTGCATTTGTAAGCTTAGAATACTTCTTTAAATCAAATCCAAATATCTCTTCGATATAATTTGGCTTGAGTAAATCATCACTAATACCTCTGAATTCATCCGATATGAAATAACCTGCGGTCCCAATACATGAAAATGTCAAAATGAGACATGGAAATATATTTATGAAATCAAACTTATTATTCAAAACCAACTTGGTAAATTCTCTTATGGAATCTGATATTATCACATAATCATACATCAAGTAACTTAAATAACACACAAGTATCACCATCATCAAACCAATTGATCTTGTATGCCAAAATATATACCTATTACACTTACTTTGAAGTTGTCTATAATAATCCCCATGCAAAGTTAAGGCTGCCTCAGATAATTCCGGCTTCAATTCACTTTTGCTCAATGTAGGCTTGGCCTTCTCATCAATTGGCTCATTCAAGTCCACTTTCTTTTGTTTAACCATCTTTATCGCTTGATCTATACCCGTTGATTCAGCTTCTGGTAATACCTTTTAAATTTATACAAGCTCATTAAATTTTTTTTTTTTTTTTGGTTGCCTTTTTTTTTCCTTCAAGGCGTGAAGAATTAATGCGCACGTGGTTAATAACTAAATTAGGCTCTAATTTAGTTGAACTGGCCTTAATTAAAGGCAAGCTGATGAAAGATTGCAAAAGAAAAGCAAAAGTGGAAAGGCTGACGGTGTTTCGAAATTGCAGATATGAAAAATTTGAAGTGAGACCGTTTTTTCTTTTTTTTTTTTTTTTTTTTTTTTTTTTTTTTTTTGCATAATTTTTTTTGCAATTTTTTGCAGACGTCTCATTTTTGAAATTTGCAGTAATAAACAACTAGAAAGGAAAGCAGCACGTCTTGGATTGAAGCAGTAGTGGGGTGTTCCGGGGGTGTTGGGGTGGATCGAGAGTAGTGTTGAGTCACAGGGTAGTAGTGGTGTTACTGGTGGACAGGAAGTGAAAAGGGGATCGGTGAACCAAACTGTGGCTTTGGCTAATGAAGGAATAGCGATCTATAACATTGAGAAAAGTGATCCATTACATTGTGATCTATCAAATCGACAAAGAGATGTATCACATCGACAAAGAGATGTATTACATCCACATAAGTGATGTATCATATTGAGTGTAAAATGATGTATCACATTATAAAATGATGTATCACATTATAAAATGATGTATCGCATTACAAAATGATGTATCGCATTATAAAATGACGTATCGCATTATAAAATGATGTATCGCGTTGACATGATATATCAAATATGAGGTATCACATTTACCATCTCGGCAACTAATGTAATTATGACCTGTCATAACAACACAGAGTCTCCTATAATGTGATGTTGGCCCATTGGTACCATCGTTGTATTACTCAAATTAGAAAATGGTGCCAGATTCTAAGGGAGTTAATTGCAAAACTGTGGATTAAATTTAGTGAGATTCCTCATCAGCTAATAAATATAGCGGAATCTTTAACCTCTTGCCGATTAAAATATATAAAGTAACAGATAATGTCGACTTGCTGCTTATATTTACTATCCATTCAAAATGCCTTCTATCAGTGCACCTAAGATTTTCAATGAATATACTGAAGACCGAGTATCAATTCCACCAAATCAAATCAAAAATATCGCTATCATTGGTGGTGGTGCATCGGGAGCTGTTGCACTTGATTCACTCTTGAAAGAACAACATTTTGACTCAATTACTTTGTTTGAGAGAAGAGATAAGTTGGGTGGTGTTTGGTGTCTTGATGAAAAAACAATTGAGACCCCCAATAATATTTTAAAAGCTGGTTATACTCATGTTAAGACTGATCCTCAATTGAGAAATCCTTTTCATGAGTCAACTAATGAATTAATATCGGAAATCGTTTTACCAAAAACTTCTCAAGAAAGATTCGAAGAGACTCCTTCTTATCAAGGTATCAAGACTAATATCATTGAAAAAATGATGACTTATAGCGATGTCAATTCCTGGAATACTGGTGATACAAATCCTGAAGCTTCTAAATACGTTAATGGCTTGGTGGTTCAGCAATACATTGATGACTACATAAAGAGAAATGCATCTGATTCTACCGTTGATATTCAATTTAATACTACAGTCGAAGACGTTGAACGTATCACAAAAAATTGCAATGATGGAAACCAAATCCCTTATCAATTTAAACTTACTATAAGAAAAAATATTAGTGACAATGAAGATTTATGGTTTCAGCAAACTTTTGATTCGATAGTTATTTCAATCGGTCATTATCACGTTCCTTTCATACCTAAAGTTGATAATTTAGATCAAGTTCAATCAAAATTTCCTTCTGTTGTTCAACATGCGAAGTTTTATCGGAACCCAACTCCTTATTCTGGTAAGAAAGTTATAGTGGTTGGATCAAGAGCTTCAGGTGCTGATTTATCAAAATTCATTGCTGATACAGCCACTGAAGTATACCAATCGATTAGAAATCTAGCAACCGGAGCCAAAAAATTATCTCGTAAACCAAATGTTCATTATAAACCGATTATTAGAAACTATCAAATCATAGATGATCAAAATTTCAAGGTAATTTTTGATGATGATTCAGAAGTCTTGAATCCTGATCATATCATCTATTGTACCGGATATCAATTTAGCTTTCCATTTTTGAATCGGTTATTTGAAAAAGACCAAGTCGATTTAACTAAAGAAGGTATAATAATACCTAACCTTTATCAACATACTTTCCTAATCCATGAACCTTTGATTAACTTTATCGGAGTACCAATCGATGGCGTTTCTTTTAGAGTTTTCGAGTATCAAGCAGTTTTACTATCACGATTTTTGACGTCAAAAATTTCTTTACCAAGTAGAAAAGATCAAAAGCAATGGATCTTAGAAAGATTGAAATCAAAAGGTATTACAAGAGCTTATCATACTATTGGTGTAGACGATGCTTTCGTTTATCTCAATGGATTAGTTGATTTAGGTGAAATAAAAAATCCATCCTTAATTACTGGTAGACATTTCCCATCCTTGACTCAAGACGATTTGGCAATTTATAGAGCTGCTGGTGAAAAACTAAGAGAGTTTTGGGATGAACGCTAATATCGGCCATGCCATTTAACATTTATAGATGAGAATATACTATGCAAATATATATATATATATTAGTAAGTTTGAAAATGAAAGTTGCAAAAAAAACAAGCTAGCGCCGCCTGGTTTCGATCCAGGGACATCAGGGTTATGAGCCCTGCGCGCTTCCACTGCGCCACGGCGCTTGATTTATAACAAAAATTCATCATGAATTCATTAGTCAGCAAAAATATGTACATATAAGAAAATACATATAAGAATTTAAGCTTTTCAAATAACAAGTTTTGTAGTATTTTTGTTCTTAATATATATTAAAATTGAATTAGGATTTATTATTGGACAAAAAACAAGAGAAAAGACGACAAAGACCCTGGAAAAGTGACAAAAATTATAGCTTTATATTTGCTCAAAGAAAGGCCTTTAAAGTAAAAACGATTCCAGACTATACCTTTATAGAGCCATAATAGTTAATTAGAAGTATTAAAAGTATTAGAAGTAGGTTTTGTTACTGGGAAACCTTCAAATAAGTTTTGTTAAAGCCAAAAATTCAACAACTCGAACCATCAACAAGATTCTACTTGCTTCAAACTCGCAAACCCAGACAAATGGTATTTGTTTACTTGAATTCATCTATCCTGATTGATTTAATTTTGTACATAGTATATTTATCAAGATATAGATTCACATTTTGTCATTTCAATAGATCAGTATTGTGACTGTTGACATACTCAAAATTTACTCTCAGCTTTTATATGCGATACTACCTCAATCATCACTAAAAAAGGCCCTGTTAGAAGGTTCTTCTCTTTTTATAGCATGAAGTTTTATAAGTGGTCACATATCCTACCTGTTTAACTAATTTGTAATAAACCACAGGCTTGGACTGCTCCGCATATTCTGAGCTAACCATGTAACTTAATCCACGCTTAATTTCCTAGCTTACTTCAAAAAAGTCTTAAGGTCTAAATATGTATATATTAACTTAACCAGAATACAATATCTTCTCTGATACACAATGCCCTATTTAGGTAAGTTGCATATTGAAGATAAGCGCAGTTATTGAGTGGCCACAGAATTTTAAAAACAAAAGAATTACAATTTAGGGCTTAAGTACCTACTAGGATGGTATAGTTAGGCTTATTTTAGCTTTTTGTTAAGGCTTCATAATCGGGGCTTCGCCCAAATAAATGTAGTTTTACGTCAAAAAAAAAAAAAAACTGTAGCTAATTTTGTCATTTGGCTGCTAAAATTAAAATTGAAGTGAGAAATTCAAATGACAAAACAGATAAGCTTACTTCCTCTAAGGTTGAATTTGATTGCAATACATCATTAAGCTAAAATTCGAAACCACTCGAAAGTTTTAATAATATAATGGAAAAAAAGGAAAACTTTTTTTTTTTGGCCTTAACTATTTGTGGCTGCAAAAAAAAAAAAAGACAACTTTTTCTTCCTTTTAACTATTTATAGAAAATGCATATGGTTTGGAAGAATATCTAATATAATTTAAGCTATTCTTCCAAAGCGGATATGCAACACTGTTGCCCCTGCATTTTGATCGAAACGGCTGTGCAAACGTTCTTTTATCTTCTCTCCGATTGGGTCTATAAATAACTAAGGATAATTACAAAAGAGATGAATATATTCTCTAAGAGTATAAAAGGGAGATATTCCCATTTTTTTTGATAAGCTTATAAGTTGTTCTTTAACTCAATTGAATTCTTGATTTCAGCTTGCTTAAGTTAATTCACTTTGCTATAATGTCATTGGTAGAACCTTTTGATCTTAGTTTATTTATCGCAGAACCTCTCAAAGAATTCAACTCAGAGTTGGAAACATTTCCTTTAATCAAAGTCAACCTCGAATTACAAAACTTTCAAGAACCAATTCAAACAGAAGCACAATTTTCTGAGGTTTCTTACGAGAACTTATTTGATGATACAGCATTGATTCCAGAGGTGCCGTTCATTGAGAAAGAAGCTACACCTAATGAAGTGGACGTTTCGTTTGAAGACTCGTTCATGGAAGAAATATTTGGCGAGAAGAGTGGTGAGATTAGACAAGAAATTTCTAACTACACTTACAGTAGTACAAATTACTTACTGAAAGACCTTGATGACTTGTTTGGTAGTATGGATGATTTGGAATTTGGCAAGCTATTAGCTGAGCATAATTCCACTTTACCAAGAACTGTTCCACAAGAAACAGATTCTTCTCAAGAAGTCTCTATTTCACAATCCTCCAACTTGAACAAAAAAAGAAAAGTTGAACTCAATGCAACTTTTAGTTGCAAAAGAAAACGTTCAAATTGCGAAGAAGGCTCTAAAAACAAACCTCAAGATAGGATTTTTGATTATGCTGGCATTTCTGTTCCTTGCAAAGTTTTAGGTATTGTTCCTGATAATGTTTTTAAAACCACTGCTGAAAATGAAAAAGTTATGGCAAATAATAATCACTTAGCTTCCTGTATTGACCATTCCAAGCAACATATTTGTTCTCTTGGAAGAAAATGTCATGCAAGAACCTCTTTAGAGCCAATCGAGAATCTTCATGAGAATGTCAAATATTTAAAGAATCCTTTATTTGGTATTAAATATCCATATGAACCAGAATTCTTCAGGGTCGAAATTGATCCTTCCAATGGTCATCCTTTCAACTCTAGAAGGGCAGGATTATGTCCATATTGTCCCAATTTAGTGTTCCATAATCTTAAAAATTCAAATTACTCCATGCATCTTGCCGTTTATCATGGTGTCTATCCTGATAATTATACTACACCAAACCCCTATAATTTTGGCAACTATTATGTTAAGAAAAACAACAAACACAGAAAAACAATCCCTCAAGCAAGGAACAGAAAGTGTGTTATTTGTCCATGTTGTCACGAACTAATTGAAGCGGCATGTACTCAAAAAACAGTTGATAAACCTTTGGTTAACTACTTGAGACATTTTAGAGATCACCACAGAATCACTAGAGGGAAAGGGCCCCTAGACTTTGTTATTGATGTTGAAAACTAAACCTTACATTTTTAATTATTTATTCGTGTATAATATAACTGCTTAATTGTATAATATAACTGCTTAATTGTATAATATAACTGCTTAATTGTATAATATAATTTTAACATTGATTATTAAAATTGTAGTACCAAGTATATTTGAGCTAAATGGTGTAGCTCCCTTTAATTACATAGAGAAAGATTATGGAGAATTAGCGCTATGGGATACAAATGATTCATTAAATTAAGAATTTTAAATATCAAGGACAGTTTTATTTAACTAATTACACGAAAATAACAAAAATTGTAAAAAAATGCAGAAATTGATTACCCATGAGTTAGAAGCTTTCTGATCTCATCCGCAGATTTATTTTCAATCAGACGAGCAACATAACTAAGAGCCAATTCATATAATGGGCGAATGTTCAAATAGTCAGCAGCGATAATGAACTCGTAAACCAAATTGGAATGCTTTTCACAAAAGTGTGAATTCCAACCTTTTAGTAAAGACATTTGAAGAATACTTCTTTTTGAATAGGCCGAGGAGGACTCTCTAGCGTGATGAAATTCCAAATATTCAATAATTGCACCCAATACCACTCCCAGAAGGGTTGGCAAAGGAACTTCAAAAGTCTCATTTTCAATGCAGTAAGGATCTAAATCAATACAGATGTTATGAAGTAACGATGAGCAATGAAAAATTCTTCTTGTGGTTGTGAAAGAATGTCCATCTTTGGAGACGATAGTCACCAGTGATTCTGGAGCAAATTTTCTATGGCTGTAATCGAAACTAGTTAAAGAAGCCATTTTAAATCAATCCAATTAGGAATTTTAGAGTATAATAAAAGATATAGAATTTAGACCTGACTTTCAAATAGTTGTAGAAAACTGCCTTCCTTTTATACTTTTCTGAAATACAACATGAAATTACAAATAAGTTATAAAAGGGTAGTCAGGTTATTTTTGGATAAACATAGCCAATTGTAGTCTATTTGTCTGCAAAAAAAGAAAAAGGTTTTACTGTTCTGTTCTTTTTTTGCAGCCACAAATTGAAAAAGAAAAAGACAGAAGCTTTCTATAAATAGACCTTATTGCAACACGGTAATACATGGTATATAAAAAGGAGACGTTGACTACAACCATTGTGGAAAAGGGAATTTACATCTTTTCGTTTTCTATTGAATAAAAAAAAAATTCGGGGTAGCTGAAAACTCAATAACAGTATTAACGTTGTGGACTTGTACATTTTATTGAAACAAACTTTGCAGTTTGGTAGAAATAATGGCCAGCAAGTTAAGGTTTTTACACTGTCTGTGGATTCTTGTTAGGTAATGTGGATGTAGCTTTAAGGATACGGAATACCTTGTTGAAGATCAATAGCACATTTACGTGAGTGGCTTGCTTGTAGAAAACACAGGCGTTTGATTCGGCTTTGAGTTAGGTACCGGCTAGTAATGCGGAGGGACTACGGTTAGAATACGAAGGGACTAGCACTCACTGGTATACTTCTCTCAATAAGCAGAGGTACATGATACGACCGGCCAAATCTATGATTTAAACGCCAGCAGGTAAACGTTTCGAAAATGAGACAATGTTTGATTAAACGATAGCATGGAATTCCATTTACGTTTGTTCAGCATATTTCTTAACATATTTTAGGACGTGTGATGAGTGATGTAACTTGTCGGAAGAGAAAGAAGGATTTCCGTGGAGCCAGTTGCTGATTCTAGCACAGCTTTACTGTGAGGGGAGAATCCATATTGGAGCTAATGGGACGTAGCATAAATCCAACCTTTTGTAGATGCTGTCAAAAGCGATCTACAGGGAATATCAGGTAAGATCTGGTAAAAGAGACCTTTTTCGCCTTACGATTACAGAATTTTAGCAGCTGTGAAGCAGACATTAGCCGTGCATGCATTGACAGAAATGCCCTATAGAGAACAATAGTAACTAGGAAAGTCATAAATTTATTAGGAATTATATAAGCCTTAAAGGACAAAAAAAAAAGGGCAGAAATCTATAAGAACGAAAATACAATCATGAGAATGGCCATAAGGATGCAAGTAAAAAGCAGAAAGCGAAATAGAAAAACAAAATAGAAAAACAAACTAGAAAAACAAACTATGAACTATCGTTATGATCATCAAATTCAAACAGTTTAGATAAGTCATCACATATTTGAAAATCTTTTTCATTCAATAAGAGCTGGTTAGGGATTTTTTGAAACCAGTAACTATCCAAGATATATTCAATTGGGACTCTTTTATTATTATGTAGATGTAACATACCATAAAACATGATTCTTCTAGAAGCATTTACTGTTTCGTCCAAATCCGAATCAGCCAAGTTATTAAGGTAGTCGATAATTGAATGAAATTTAGGAATGAAGTTACGTTCTTTATAATCGTTAAATTTTATATCGGAAGGATGGGAAATTTCCCACAAGCTATTACCTTTTGAAACCATATTATAGTAGATTAAGCCTAAGCACCAGGTATCCTTTGATTTTATAATTCTTTTAATGCTTAAATCGTTTCTATAATAATTCAAACTTGGATAATTCAGTTCTGGAGGTAAATAACGGGAAGTACCTGATTTTAATAAGCTTGATTCTAAATCATTATCTAAGAATTCACTTAAGAATCTTGAAAGACCAAAATCAACTAATTTTATTGAAAAATTTTGTAAATTCAAAATGATATTAGCCGGTTTTAAATCATTATGGCCAATATCATGATCATGTAAGAATTTCACCAAAATAACAATTTGTTTAAAGATATAATCACAAAATTTTGGTAGATAAAACAACTTTTCCACCGGGATTGCCTCTTTTAGAGAAATACCGGGGATATATTCTTGAATAAGTAAGAATTCGTCATGATAAGGACCCACTAATAAGTCATAAACTTTAACAATTGAATCATTTTGTAAATTATAACAAATCAAAAATTCTCTGAAAACCCGTTTACATTCATTTTTCAAAAAAAATTTCTTATTGTTAATCTTAATACTTTTAACTGCAAAAAAATTATTGTTTTTCGGATCTTTTGAATTGAATTTTTCCCAAAGGAAAACTTTACCAAAACTTCCTTTCCCTAGTTCTCGAACCGGGGACCCATATAAAGAACTAGCCGTGATGTCGAACTCACTATCAATATTTGGATCAAAAGCAGCCAAAAAATTCTTAAATAAAATATTATAAACCTCTTCCACAATGTAAAAATTCAATAATCTCAGTTTATCCAGAGGTAGTATCGACCTAAATTGACCCCAATCAGAAGTGTTCAAGTCGTTCTGTATATCATCATTAGTTCCCTGGTATAGTTTCATTTAGAAAACCAACAATATTATGAACAATATCCATATATATCCTATTTCCGGAAAAAACGTTTCTTACTAACTCAATTCTTTTTCTCTTCCAAATCTCAAATAACGCAACGGAAGCTATCTTTATACTTTTCGATCGAAGATACCTAAATAATTCGACAATGCAACCCTAACAACAAAACGGTGCTTATGCGGGATGCTATACTTAAATATTTTGGACGCGAAAAATTAGTGCTGCCACATTAAATGATCGCAAAAAAGTCAATTCTGCTAACAAAACAAAAAAAAAAAAGGCAAAAAAAAGAAAAGAATAGAAAAGAAGAGCAAAAAAAATCCAACCAACAACGAAGAATCACTAAAAGAACTCAGCAGAACTCAGCAGAACTCAGCAGAACTCAGCAGAAATCAGCAGTTAACGGGCAGAACTTTGTAGAAGTGTTTCGAAATGTTACCCAATAGTTAATTGAACAAAGCACAAAGATTTTCGGCGAGGTTTGGGTGGGAAATCACTTAGTTGGAGGTAAACTCTCTATGAAATGACTATGGGAACCCCTAAAGAAACGGAAAGAACTATCAAGAACAAAGGAGGAAAAGGAAAAGACATTAGAGCTTTTACTTCGAGAAATCGTACATATATATGTATGAAAACCTGATTCAAAGGTGGACTTTTCTTTTTTTTTTTTTTTTTTTTTTTATTTAATTATTTATTATTATTTTTCTTTTTCACTTTGTTCTCTGTCAGTCTATTTCCATCTGTGCTACGGAGGATCGACGGTTTTGTAATACCAGACCTTGTCGTTGTAGATGAGACGAGTTTTAGTGCTGGTTTTGCTGTTGTACTGGTTCTGGTAGCAGCCCATGAAAAAAAAAAAAAGTGCTGAGGACTAGACCGGAGTTGAAAGAATGGAGTTCCATACTGGCCGACAAGAGGCAAGGAATTCCATCAACACAAACCGATACATATAATTTTAAGCCTATTTTTGATTGTTTCCTCTTTGGAAGACTTCTGCCGTGGTGCAACATGATTATGGGGTTTTAGTAAGGAGCATGCTTCTGGGTTGTAGAACGTAGCCATAACCATCATGACAAATAAAACAAACCCCATGACAAATATTATGACAAGCATCATGACACATAACAGCATCCATGCATGGAATTGAGTTCACGCTAACATCGGGGCAATGGGCAATGGCAAGAATTACTGCTTGACAAATAAAGTTGGCTGAGCTGGACCAAATGGGCCTGCAACAACTGCAGAATAAATCAGCACCAGCTGCAAGCAATTTATCGAGAAAATAACTACACTCGCTTGTTGTTTAGAGCAAAATCCATGTACTATCCTAACCAGCTTATGGTCTGTTCTAGCAAATGCAAAAGCAAATAAACGCGAGATTTAGCTGATCCCTTCAATTTCACCTGGGTTGTTTGCTAGTCATATGCGATGGTCACTTGCAAAAATCAATTCGTGTGATTTGAAAAAAAATTCAAATCAACTTCTCCGTACATCTGTATTTGGTTTACCTCATCTTCATTACATCAAACAGTCTCAGGAATAATGGCGGTTTCTTTTGTAGATGAGGTGATCTAATCAACATGTCAGGTACAAGATCTGACCCGGTCTGCTGTCTTAGACAGTCCAGCCCCAGGACTCCCTTACTTCCCAACATGTTCCTATCAAGTTGCTAGTTCCTGTCAGTTTCTGGCAAGTCACTGGATAACGACGCCAGAGAAAATACACCCAGACACCTCAAATACACCCAGACACCAGACACCTCCCATAAACTCGAGATCTGATTGGCTGCTTTTCCTCTCCGCCGAAAATGTTGCAAAAACACCGTTTTTCCTGCCCCGGAACCGCGTGCACCCGTGCACCAGCTTAAAAAAATTATGTCAAATAGTTATCGAATCCATCAGTATGCATCAGCCGAAATATTAGCGGTGGTGGCTGTCGGACAGATCGACTGTCGGACAGCGACAGATGTAACCAGAAATGCCCACGACACTGTTGTTGGGAAAGTCCAGCTATATACCTTGTTATGGAGAAAACGAGGTGAAGAGCTCATATCCCGAAACAAGTCCGGGAGTGAAAAAGACCATCCTTACAGAGCTTGCGATATTGAATTAGCAGATGAAGAATTCTGGCACCGGGATTGGCCACATGAGCTGTTGCCAAAGGGGTTTTGTAGTATCGAAGGTGATTTCGGTTACATCAAATGATTTGCCGTGGGATATAAACAGTATTTACAAAGAACCAAGAAATTTCCAACCTCCTGGTTCAAAATACCAAGGCAAGAATTAACCATTTTAGTCAAGACGTTCCTGTCAGAATGTCAAGGGGCTGTCAAAGCCTCTGATATTTGACATCTGTCAGAGGCTTCCTACTAGCTCTGCTGCTATTCAATCTTTAAATCCAAGATAATTTTCCTATTTCCAAGGTTGTCGTAAAAAAAGTTGGACTTATGTTAATTGTTTGTTTCCAGAATTAGGTTGGTTTGCCCTTTCGTAAAATAACTCCTATATACGGCATCTTTGAAACAGTAGCATTGATTAACTTTGTACAATGTATTTCTCTCACTGATTAATCTGATAATTTTTATTAAAATCTCTAATAGGTAACTGCCAAAAGAAAAAAAAAAAAAAAAATTTTTCTGTCGGAACCCAAAGACTAATTATCTTCTCTTTGTATTCAATATTCTAATTAACTTGATCTATATTGGCTTTTCTGTTATTTCTTGTCCTTCTACGAAAACCTTTTTTCAAACTAAAAAGATTTTCATATAAATATGATTTAGTTTCAACGATGTTGTTCTACTTTTTTCTTTCCTTTTCTATTTTTTTTTCATGGGACAGAGGTTTAATATGTTCTTTTTGAAGTTTTTCGTTTTCATAAGTTTGATTTCAAACGTCTGGGCTAAACCTCCGAAATTATATTCCGAAACCGATGTTGCTGATCAAGTATGTCTTAATTTGATTTTACAACAAGCTCTTGTTTGTGATGCTGGTCCGAAATTGAAAAAACTAGATATGGATTGTATGTGCAACCTGGAAGCCGGGTTTGGTTCTTTTGCTCCTTGCTACGTCCAAGGTTATGGTAAAGAATATGCCAACCATTTCATATCTACATGTGAAGAAGCAGGTTTTAAAATGTCAGAACACGAATTTTGGCAAAACTATACTAGATTATTACCTAAAAGAAAAGATGTTTCTAAAATTGAAAATTTCAATACAACCAAATTAATTGATTTCCCAATCTCTTTTGATATGAAAACTTTCCACACTTATAGAAATGGTCTTGGAATGTATTTATTCAATTACAACTATTCTTTTTATTATGGTGCTGGGTTATTATCTTATTGGGCTTTGGTGATTTTAATTGCTGCAATTTGTAATTGGACCATGAGATTATTCCCAAGTTTAACTAACAAATTCGTTGGTCCAAAATCCAATCTTTATAGAAAATGGGTAACTTTAAGTGCTCTTAAAAACCGTAAGAAAACCAATGAACATGTTACTGAACTTTCCTTTTTCAGTTTTTTGATTCCAACCAGATTCGAAACTATCATCTGTTCAATTTTTTTGGCGTTGGTGATATTAGCTTCTGGTTCGCAAATTAAAAGTGTTCCTGGGAATCCTCAATTTACTAATAAAACCGGTGAATTGGCTAGATTGATTGGTGATAGAACTGGTATTACTGTTAACTTCATCGTTCCTTTATTAATTTTATTTGCTGGTAGAAATAATTTCTTACAATGGGTTACTAGATGGAATTTTGCTACTTTTATAACTTATCATAGATGGGTTTCAAGAATAGTTATATTATTAGTTATTGCTCATGCAATCACTTTTAGTGTTCAAGACAAAATCGCTTTAAAATATGATAAAAGAATGAAAAAACCTTTTATGATTTGGGGTACTGTTGCTGGTGTTGCCGGTGGATTTATCTTATTACAAGGTATGATGTTTTTCAGAAGAAGAATGTATGAAATTTTCTTATTAATTCATATTACCCTTGCTTGCCTTTTCATTGTTGGTGGTTGGTACCACACTGATAAAACTGGTTATTCTCATTTCTATTGGGCATGTGCAGCAATATGGGCTTTTGATAGAGCAGTTAGAATTGGAAGATTAATTAGTTTTGGAGTTCCAAATGCAACCCTTGAGTTATTAGCTGGAGAAACACTTAAAATTACTGTTCCAAAGCCAAAATATTGGAAATCAATCCCTGGTGGACATGCTTTCATTCACTTTATTCATCCAACATGTTTCTGGCAATCTCACCCATTCACTTTCACTACTTCAAATGAAAGTAATAATTATATCACTCTCTATATTAAAATAAAAGGTGGTGCCACCCATTCAGTTTATCAAAAATTAGTTAAATCACCCGGTCAAATTTGTAAAATGAGAGTGGCAGTTGAAGGTCCTTATGGTGAACCATCTGGTGCTCGTCAATATAAAAATGTTAATTTTATTGCTGGTGGTAATGGTATACCGGGTATTTATTCCGAATGTCTTGATTTAGCTCAAAGAAATCGGGATCAAAGATTAAAATTAATTTGGGTTATAAGAGAATGGAAATCGATTTCTTGGTTTTATCAAGAATTGAAATATTTGAAAAATACTAATATTGAAACAACCATTTATGTAACTAGACCAGATTCATTAAGTGAATTAGACCAATTAGAAAAATGTTTGGTTGGAAATGAAAATACTACCGAAGAAGAGGAGCTTAAAAAAGATATAAAAGATTTATCTGGAGATGAAACCAACTCCTTTGACAGCTCAGTTATTTCAACAATTAAAAATGAGCTTAGTCATATTACTTTCTTAGAAGGAAGACCTTCTATGGAAGACTACGTGGAAAAGGAAATCACTTCTTCCGATGGAACAATTGCTTTCACTACTTGTGGCCACCCAATAATGGTAGATGATATTAGATACTACGTTGTTAATAATTTAGACAAGTCTCCTTATAGAGTTGAATTCTTTGAACAGCTCCAAGTTTGGGGTTAACGCATTTATAAGTTTATAATTGTATAATATAAGTCTCTAGTCAAAATAACTCAATTGTAGTTGAAGTTCACTGCAAGCGTATATAACATAAGGGCACTGCTTAAATAAGCACTTGGCCTTCATAAGGACGAGTCAGCATTTTGTAATTCACCAAGATTAAGTAGTATATATTTGTTCAACTCAATCAGAAATTTTGACCATATTAAATATGCAGCCTTGCTCTGTATTTTCAGTCTACCTCCGTTTGAGTCCTGGTAACCCGAACATCACTAATACACGAATATTGAAGATTTCCCCATACATGATTATTTTTATTTTCAATCAATGTATCCTTGTCATAGCAGCAGAAAAATTGCAGCCAAACTAGAACCAGTGAGTGATGGCTCACTCGCGTACGGTTCCGAACTTTACTGGCAACGTTTCGTATTTACCCGTCCACAAACGGTTTGATCATGTGATTGAACACCAATACGGGTGGGAAATTCGGTGATACTCTTCATTCTGAGCTTCTGAAATAGTGAAGTGAACCGACTAACTACTCCTGAGAGTTTCCCGAGCGTGATAAGTGACACGCTGGGCAATGCCATCAGAAAAATCAACAGATTCCTTCTGTATGGGAGGCATTGCGAATGATTGGTCCGTTCATTGGGAACGGGCTATTGAGTGCAATATACGAACTTAAGATCTTCTTAAGCACCCGATACCGATCATCGTTGTTAGTAAGGTTTTATGTCTTTTTTTCCTTTGTTCAATGGTTTTTTGTAATGGATTTTGTTCTTTTTTTTTTGTATGTCTTGTTCGAGTCTGGGGTCGGGCACTGCGAAGAGGAGGAAAAAAAAATTAAATCAAATAAATAAATCCATTACTTCTTTTCCCCAGATATGATTATAGCCAGTATAAGAAGGATCTTTGCGTCTTTCCGGACTGAAGAGGAAGAAAGGTTGTATTCCCGTAAAGCGTTCTTCAATTTATTAGGCTTTTTAGGTAGTTGTGTTATCTATTCATTTGTTGCTCAAAAATTATCAAAACAGCCAACTGGGATAATTGGGTATTGATTTTTTCCTACCAGTAATATTTTTATTCTACCATATAGTAATTTTTTTCTACAAGTAGTCTAGGTACGGCATTAGGATATTGATTATATAGAAGTAGTAATAAAAGGAAACGTTATAAAGAAGAAAAAGCTATAATTTTTTTTTTGTAAATTGAAACTTGATCATTAAAAGAGTAATAATCAATCATTAAAAGAGTAATAATCAATCATTAAAAGAGTAATAATCAATCATTAAAAGAGTAATAATCAATCATTANTAAAAGAGTAATAATCAATCATTAAAAGAGTAATAATCAATCATTAAAAGAGTAATAATCAATCATTAAAAGAGTAATAATCAATCATTAAAAGAAAGGGGCAAAACTCATATATACAAGGGAAATTTACATTGGGGGAATCGAAACTGGAAGGAACAGGAAGGAAAGGAAAGGAAAGAAAGGGAAATATGCGATTCTAAACGGAGAAATGATGCAAATGCAACGTTATTCATTAAAAGGAGACTAGTTTTTCAATAAAACTTCTTTAGCCATTTCATAAGCAGTCCAAGAGAGGGCGGTTGAAGGGACATTGAAGATGATTCTTGGTTTAACCCCTCTAAGAAAGCCACTAAGACCACCTTGAGAATATATGACTTTAGCGGCAGAAGTAAAACCATTAATATTTCTAATTGATTCAATGTTTGAAATACCTCTAGTTTGTAAAGCGGTTTTAATACAATCAAAAGGATTAGTTAAAGCAGCAGCGATCCCACCAGCAATCCCACCAGAGATACAATGTAAGTAAGGATTATAAATATTATTTGGATTTAGAACTGAACTGAAATATTCATAAAACCCAAAATTAAGAGCAGCAAAAGGAATATTGGTGAATAAAGTAGTTGGATAAGATATATAAAAAGCAGCCAATCCTTCTTTTTTATAAATATTAGCAGCGGTTGATAATAATTTGACTGAATTTGAATTTTTCAAATTTATTTTTGATCCTTGTGAATTATGAAATTGGGAATAAGAAGTAGCTTGCATTCTTTGTTTGATTACATCAAATGGAGTCATTAAAGCATCCGATGCAGTGGTACCAGCAATCCCTGCACCACTAGCAATCAATGGATGATTTTCATCAGTAACTATTTTATTAGTTTTAGAATTGGTTAATTTATTCACCAAAAAAGTTTTAGTGGCTTCAAAAACCGAAAAATAAACTGCATGAGCAGGTCCTGCTCCTAATACAACTGAACTAACTCCTCTCCATAAAGCGTAGGCTCCTTCACTAGACGAGATTTTCGAAATTGATGAAATGACCGATTTACTTAATGCATTGGCCGATGCCGAACTGGTTACTCCACTATTTCCGGTAAACATTTGCATTCTGGTTTTAATAGAATCTATGGGGAACATCACAGTGTGTTCCATTATCCCAGCAAATGCTCCTGCTGAAAGATGTGCTGCTAATGAAGCATCATCCGGTAATGCTTCATAGTCAATTTCAATAGCTTCACTTCCAGGAATAATTGGAATATTACTGGAGGTGTGGAGTCCTGGACTAATCATCCCACCGGGAGGTGGCTGCTGTTGTTGCTGTTGCTGTTGTTGTTGTTGCTTCATCATGAGGAATAGACTTTATCAATAATATTTAAATTGGGGAAGTAACTAAAAAAATGAATGAAAAATTCAAAAGTTGGGGTTTGCAAAATTGCTATTGGAATAAATTCACCTAAAAACAAAAATCGTCGTTCTTGATACCCTATATCCTGCCTACGGAATTGCCAAAGCTACCAGTTCAAACTTAAAGTACAGAATCCAAGCTTGAAATGAAGGAAAAGAAGATGGTGATAATTTCAAAAAAAAAATTGAAAACGATACCGAGCTGAACACCGGTGAATTTTTTTTTTTTTTTCCTTCGTTTTTTTCGGTGCTCTTCAAATTTTGTCAGGATTTTTTCATTTGGTTTTTAGTGAGCTTTTTCGTTTTCGGATAATTGGCACTCTTCATTGTCTACAGCTACTGTCTAGTGTCTAGAGTCTACAGTGTATAGGGTATGGCGTAGAGTGTAGTGAATAGCGGATGCTATAGTGTAGTGAATAGCGGATAGTTTGGTCGAAGATCAAGAAAAGGTGTTGCATGCACTGGCAGCCGAACGGTATTACGTCCGTGAATATGGGAGATGAGATGACTGATGCTGGGTCAATTCATAGATTGGAGTTTTATTGTTTACACGAGTATCCTTTAGTCCTTTGTCTATCTAATCAATCTATGGAAATGACGATATCATTTCGATATAAAATTCCGAACTGGAGTCCGATAAACGGGTCTACTAAGGTTAATGTCTTACTAGTAAGTATGCTGACTGCAACCAATCATGGTACCTTGTTTTAGATGAGTCATTGGTATATGCCCCCATGCCTCTCCATATCTCTTCTTACACGAGGATGGAGTGTTTCGGTATTCGCTGGTTTGTTCAATCCGAATCCGGGTTTATTGTGTGGATGCACGGGTGCATTGATTGTTATCTATAGTGTATAAGTTATATTCTTCTAGATATACAACCAGAAACTTTATTCCACGTAATCCAGTTCTTTCGCTGTCTGTTTTCAATTGTAAGATTGTTTATTTCCAATTCTGGCTTTCGTCTACTCGTTTATTATAGACCCTTTTCCGGTTTCCATTTATGGAAATATAGCTCGCTTAACAATGAAGGCTGGTAAGCCCTTTGAGTTACGGGCATTCGTTGCTCTATGGAATATTATAAGAGAATTAGGAAAGGGCATGCCATAGACCAATGGATGCAAATAAAAAGAGCATTTTTCACTTTTTTTTGCATTTCTTACAGAAAACTGTTAAAAAATTACAACCACGAAATCGAGTACTTCTTTAAATGTGAGTTTGGCAAGTTTTGCCTTTATTTCATTTATTTTTGAATGTATTGTTATCACGGTTTTATTTTTCTTGGATTTACAAAGCGAATATTAAAATCAGCAAGATTTTGATTATGTCCCAACTATTGACCTGAACTTGATGTAAATTAATCCTTTTTTTTTTTTTTTTTTTTACAAGAATGAATATACGTTCATCTACTCATAAACCAAGAGAATGAATACTACTGAGCTTTTTCTCTAAGGCTAAACGTACTTAGCTGTCATTTTCCTGCCTGAAATTCCTCAAGGTTTTTACCCCGAGTCAATAAATCATCATAGTATATTATCCAGTTTTCAAAAGTCAACGTCTACGGCCATATCCAGTATAAAACATGATTACCCGTCCGATCAATAATTATTAAGCTACTGAGAGCGATGCTGAGTACGTTAGTGGGAGACCATAATGGAAACCATCGTGCTGTAGACTCTTCTTTTTTGATTTTTGTTTTCATGATTTAGATGATTTTGGCTTTTTCATATTTTTTTGTGCTTCGATGATTTTCGCAGACAAAAAAATTTTGCAGTCTTTTTGTTACTACGTTCAGAGGCTCTTCGAGTTAACTGACGTGCTACCAACCTTCTGTTTGGAAGCACCAAGTCTTTCTACTGTAGATGAAATTCGTAGAAATAGCCAAATTTGCTTTCTATGGGGTTATGTGGGAAGATCAGACCTCTCTCGACCACATATAACTATACTATACATATAGACATGTTCCAGTACGGACGACCATAACACACGCAATAAGATATTAGCTAGATACATACTAATAACTGATTATGGAGTGGATTAATTTATTATATAGATTAATCTTTTTGCTGTTATTCAAAGGGAGGAAATAACTTATTACAATTAATACTAATATAACAAAAGCCAAATATTAAGATTATATAAAATGTATATTACCGAATGAAAAGCTCTTCATGGGCATACTTCTATCCATTTAACCAATAGGAACAGTCACGGAGGTGCATGCTCCACGAAGAGTCGTAAAAAGAATTCTCCACTAAAGTGGAATTACTTACCTATTTATATATTTGTACATGTATTATGATATCTGTCCCGATGATATTTCACAAAGGATGTTTGCCACACCTCTCAATTTTATAACCTATATGATTGGTTTTAATATAAACCAGACCAAGACATTATATCGGGTTATGTGGGTAGATCTGGCCCATAATCAACCACCAGTATCCATTAGTATTAGATACATAGTTCTAGTACGGTTGACCATAACACACGCATAAGTAGTATTAGTCAAATACATACTAATACTTGGTAGCACAGTGGATTAATTCGATACTGTCAGATTAATCTTTTCACGTTATTCAAAGGGAGGAAATAACTTATTACGATTAAGCTTAAGTATCCAAAGCCAATTCGTGAATATCATATAGAAATATTTATTACCGAATATAGAGAACTCTCCATAGGTCGGGGACCATGCTTCAACCAATTAGAAGCATCACTTTGGTCCACGGCCCACGTCGAGAGTAAGATTTTTCCATTTAATATGGAAATGCCTATTTATTTATATATGCACATTATCATAATGCCTCATTTATGGATTAACACAAACTTTAAATATGATTCGTGTCTTCATTTGATGATGTATTGTACCTATCAATGTAGATAGGCCAGTACATCATCTGCAGACCTTCAAGGTCTGACACCAAGAAACAGAAATTAAATGATTTTTTAAAATTTTAAAAAAATCAGAGAATTGAACTTAAATGACAAATTTAACAATATGGAAAACCAGCATCAAAATCTGACATGAAATTGGAGGGTTGGCCGAGTGGTCTAAGGCGGCAGACTTAAGATCTGCTGGACAGTTGTCCGCGCGAGTTCGAACCTCGCATCCTTCATTATTTTTTTCGCTTTATCACATAAAGATATTAATTACAAATTTTTTTTATAATATTAAATAAGCGTTTTTTTATTTTACTTATAGCTAACTTAATGCTCTATTAATGTTGAGTAGGCATGGAAGTAGAAGGTTTTAAGATTTCTTCCACATTTTCAGGTTTCCACAATGAAGTGATTGTTTTTGGTTGGGTTAGGAAGGTTAAACCAGCTTTACCATAGAAATTCAAATCACCCAAGAAAGAGCCTTTATTACCAGTGAATGAAAACATTGGTAATGGAACTGGAATAGGGACATTGATACCAACTTGACCACAATTAATCTCCTTGTTAAATTTCTGAGCGGCACCACCAGACGAGGTGAATAAAGAGACACCATTACCATATTTATTTTTATTAATAAGCTCAATTGCTTCATCTAAAGTATCGACATTGATGACTGATAAAACGGGACCAAAGATTTCCTCATCATAAGCTCTAATACCAGGTTTAGTATTGGTTAAAATGGTTGGACCTAAGAAATTACCTTTTGAAAATTTAGGATTAGCAGGAGTGAAATCAGTACCATCAAGTAATAACTGGGCACCTTGTTTAACTGAATCAGTGATTATTTCTTTAGCTCTAGTTAAAGATTCTGGATTGATTAAAGGACCTAAATCCGAATTTGGATCAAATCCAGAACCAACGTTTAAACGGGAAGCATCTTGAGCAACTTCTTTAACCCATTCATTTGTTTCTTTACCAACAGTAACCAAGACTGAAATAGCCATACATCTTTGACCTGCAGCACCAAAGGCAGCACCAACAACTGCATTGATAAATTGATTTTTATTTGCATCCGGTAAAACAACCAAATGATTTTTAGCACCTAAATTAGCTTGAACTCTTTTACCTAATGCCGAACCTTTATCATGTATATATTTACCAGCTTTATCACCACCAACAAAAGTAATTGCTTTAATTCTTGGATCTTCAATAATTTTATTAACGGTATCATGTTTACCGTGAACAATATTTATAACCCCTGGAGGAACTCCGGCTTCGGCCGCCAATTGTGCAATAATCATCGAAGCCCCAGGAACCCTTTCTGAAGGTTTAATCACAGTAGTATTCCCGGTTACCAAAACCAAAGGTAATGCCCATAATGGAACCATGGCAGGGAAATTAAAGGGACAGATTGATCCAATGACTCCCAAAGGTTCTCTTATCATTTTAGTTTCCATATCCTTGGCCACTTCCAAGCTAATTCCTTGCAAATCATTAGTAACATTACATGCTTGTTCAGCAACTTGTAATCCACGCAAAACATCTCCTTTGGCATCAGGAAAAGTCTTACCTTGTTCCAAAACAATCATTGCAGCCAAACGATCCATATTCAACTTCAATAGCTCTACAAATTTGAAAGCAATTCCTTGTCTTCTAATAATTGAATAATTCTTCCAAGTATGGAATGCTTCATCTGCAGCTTTCACTGCATCATCCAATTCTTGTGCGGTTGATTGTGGAACTTTAGCAATAACTTGATTTGTAGCAGGATCATGAATATCATACCAGGTGTTTGCTTCCGATTTGATCAATTGGTTATTAAAGAAACTAGGAGTTAAGTATGGCTCACTTTTCGATTCCAAATGATTTGTGGGGAAATTTTCAACACTAGTATTCAATTTCAATAAGCTGGATTGAAATCTAACAAAGCCCACCTTCGCAAAACGACCGGCTTGTTTCTTTGCACTGACTTGAAGGACTCTAGAAAGCATGGTATCTCTTAATTGATAGTTCTATCGATTCCTTCTTCATCACAACAAGGATACTTTAGTATATTTATATCAATTAGTCCCAGCGCAATAACCGAGCGAATGCGGCTTACCATATCCGGTCTCCTCTTCCAGTATTCCGCTTTTTTTTTTCATTTTTTTTTGTTTTGTTAAAGAGAATTATTGCAAAAAGATAATGTGCCCCACCAAAGACCACCAATTGCAGTATTTCGGGGTTTGATGATTGGATAGCATGGCCATGATCCCAATCTTCAACCTCTGCCCTAGCGGTGGATGCTATGCCTGGTACAGCTTCGAGACCAAGTGCTTCCTGTGAAAAATTCCGCACTTTTCACAGGAAGTTTGCAAAATCACAAGTCAAGCAATAGAGAGTAACTGAAAGGATCTTTGAAGGTTTTATTGGCTGGGAGATTGGGCAACCATCTGGCACGGTTATTGTTTAAGACAGGTTATTCTAGGTCAGGGTCCGGCAAAACCAGCGGATAACTGTTCCGCTCTCCCTCTGTCGAACAAGTAATATAGAGAAGATACAAAATTTAGACATTCTATCGTTTTATATAAAGTAGATATAATTTTGAAACCAAATTATTTATGATACTCTTCATTTGTCCATAAATCGTAATATAAATCTAGCAAACATGAACTACTCCAAGCTTGAGTAGGACTTGAGTCCCCACAGAGCTCACCATTCTTTTGGGTCAACTCGGTTAAACCAGCCCAAGGGCTTGTTTTGATCCAGCTCATGTGACCCTGTAATCTTTCATTTAAAGCAGTCAATATTTCAATTGAGGCCTCTTTATATTGGCTTTTTGTCTTTTCAATATGATTGAAGTACAAAAAGGCTCTAAAGAAATACCCAATCAACCATACCCATTCAGGACCTTGATGGTAATTTCTTCCTTTGGAGGTTGCAAAATCATCGTTATCAACACCATTAAGGTAATAAGGACGGTAGTTCCAATCACTTGGGTCCAAGGTGGCCATACCAACAGGCCCTCTTAAAACTTTATCAGCAAGTTGAACTGCTCCCAAGGCCCTACTTGGAGTGAATAACTCAGGAGCAACACACATAGCTATTGGGAAATTTGAACGTAATTGATAATCTTCATATGGCTTACCACTTTGGAATAAATCTTTGTAGATACCTCTTCTATTGACAATAGAACCATCAATGACAAATTCATCATCTTGAGATGCATCTTCAGGAACGTAGAAACAGCGTTCGAAATTTTCTTGAATCAAGTTTTCCCATTCGTCTAAGCTTATTTTAGAACCATCTTGTTTGGTAACTTCAGTATAATCAAATAGTTTCTTCTTACGTAAGTGATTAACAAAACGTAAAGCACTTTTCAATAAACCTTGCAATTCAATGGCTGCACCATCACGAGGAGTTCCCGGGATACCTTTATTGCCTGCACGTTCACTTTCTCCCATTTTATCTTGCCATGTTCCACAATTTAATTGTGACCCTCCATGAACAAGCCCAGTTTCCCAATCAATATGAACCTCCACATTGAAACCTTCATCCTTCATTTGAGAATCAAGATTGGGCCCGGCATTTGCTTCACGATATTTAATCCCACTAGCATGACGTGATAAGATCTCATAAATTATATCACGAATTGAAGTCTCATAGCTGAAAGCTTCTTCACTATCCCAAGTAACATAATGGTCATCCAAAGGAAATCTTCTTTTCACTTTCTCATCCAAAATCTTATAACCATCGGGAATGTGCGTGACATACTCTTGGATAGCTTGTATAAAAAACCAAGCTGCATCACGAGCATTATAACGAGGGTTTCGTCCAGCATCTAATAAATTTGGAATCATCCCATGCTTCAAAGTCTGTGCAAACCCTAAAATATGTTGTCTAGCATCTTCATAACGACCAGTAACTATGAACATACCCCGGAAAGAAATAAAAACATCTCTTCCCCAACATCTCATATAATCATTACTAAAATGAGGTAAACCAGCTGCAACAGAAGCAATCTTCTCTTTTGGCTTTAAAGAAGTATTATTCATAAATCCAACCATTTGAATGGAGGTTAAAGCCAAACTTTGAATGAAATTGGTGGAAACTTTAATATTATCATCAAGTTGTCTCAAAACTCTAAAACGAGCAGCTTCATAAGCAGTTCCAATAACCAATGCAAAATAATGTGGCCTTAAGAAATAAGGAACAACACGTATAGCATCAATTCTAGAACGCAACCAGTCTTGGAATTGTCCCAAATGCTTAGAATGAGCAACATACTTATCTAAACGATCAACAACATAATCAAGAGCCCATTCACCATCTCTTAAATGGTCACAAATTGGGCTACCTAAATCGTTATTCCAAATGACTTTTTTCAAAATCAGATTCCAGCCTTCTAAACCAGCGTAAACTAAATTTCCGTAAGTAGGAATATAGTACGTTCCATCCAGACCCCCACTTGCATCTCGTTCTTCAGCTTCACAACGGTACAATAAAGCATTCAAATCATACAAATCTAAATTCTTCGATGCTTCAATTGCCCCTTCACGAACAAACTTATCCAAAGAGGCATCTACCTTAGGAGTTTGAGTAGAGAATACGGCAATAGAACCAGGAATGAAACTTTCATCTATTTTGATTGTAGTTGTAGTTGAGCCTTCATCAAACTCAGTTGAAGGAGAAGGAAGTTCTTCAACCTTGACCGGAATCCCAGTGATAAATTTATCATCATGCTGATGCTCACCAGTTTTCTTCAAAGTATAAGTGAATTCACTTTTTGCCTTGCTACCACTCAATACAACTGGTGATAAGATTTGATCTCCTTCAAAAGGAGAAAACTTTGATCTAGCAATAAGAAACCATCCGTCTCCGGTCCTGGAGTTATATCTTTGAATTGTTATGTATTGACCTTCATGATGAATGTACATTTCGTGATCAGCACTAGCATCCTCAGTTTCTAAAGCTAAAGACTTTCTAATTGCATGTAACTTCTTCTTGACTTCTCCAATACCAATATCTTTCAAATTATATTGTCTACTTTCACTGACAACGTTAAGTAAATGAGGATAGCATTCGTCATAACCAAAAACAGACCCAATAGCAGAAGAGCAAAATGCAACTAAAGCAGAGTTAGGTAAAGTATCTTCGACTGTCCTTTTCTGAGCTGGCGTCTCATTATCATGGGTGCAATCCATGAACAAGGCATGAGGTGCATTGCTAGTTAAGACGCCTGGGATTTTGATTTCAGAAGATGATTCAAATTTACTTGCTTTTGGTTCAGAATCTGCAGGATAAGCAAATTCATCCAAAGGTAACCAAGTGAGAGAACCAATTGGTCTACCACCATGTTTATGAACCAAGCGAGATAATTCACCAACACTCCATGCTTGCATTGCTTCTCTAATTAAAGAAGTTAAACCTAATCTTTCGACGAAAATTTTATCCATTTCCTCCGAACCGCTAAATAATTCTGCAACAACGTAAAGATTTGGATTCACAGATCTGGCAGCATCTAATAAGGTTTCACCCACATGAAGAGGGGTCGAGTGACAGTTATCAATTCTAAAACCACTGAAAATTGCAGCATTTTCTTTAGTATATTGAATCATACGATCCCACAAGTGGGGGGAATCTTCATATTTATCACCATATCTCAATTTGACGCAGTCACTCCAAACGATGACTTCTCTTCTTAAGTAAGCTTTAGATTGATCAGAAGCAAAATCTACTAAGGGATTACCACCCCAAATCCAACCATTATTAGCTAAGGCCCATACTTTATTATCATTTGTTCCTTTGAAGCGGGTAAAATAGGCTTCAGTTAATTTACTATCCTTAGTAATTTCACCTAATTGAGGCCCATTATCATCTAATCTTAAATAACGAATACGATCTTTCAATTGATTTTTTATTGAATTAATGTCATCATCATAGGAAGAGTACAAGTCTGAATTTATTTCGTCAATAATTTGTTCAGTTTTACTTGCAATTTGATCGAATTCAATATCATTTTTTTGAAATAATGTTATAAGAATGCTCAAGAGCTTTTCTGGGTCCAACTTATTACTGTAGCGATCATTCAAAATAACTTTCAGGTTTGCATTTGCAACTTGTAAAGTAAAATTGGCCAAAGCCTTTAAATTTTGGGTATCAATATCACCGGGGATATCAATGGAAGGAAGCTCACGATCTTTGTGGTAATAAACATTTTTAATTTCATCCAAGTGTGATTTTTTATCAAACACATAGTATTGCCATAATTTCAAAGGTTGCAAAACATGATCATTGATACCATTGATGATGGAATCCAAATCTTGCGAGTTTTTAATAGCGGTGGGCAAGTTCAACTTAGCCAAATCGTCTGAAAACTCAAGCAATTTGGTGTCCAATTCTATGGCTGCTTTCAAATGAGGAGCGGTTTCTTCGTTATAACCAGCATCGGGGAAATCCTTTAACCATTCAGAATTATTAGCAGTATGATTCAAAACAACATCGGTTATAGATAACAAATTATTCTTATTCAATACGTCGGAAATCACCTTTTTAGCTTCATCGTTAGATTTGAAAAGTTTTGGATCAAAACGTAATTGATCATAAATCGAATAAGGTGAATCAGAGTCTCCACGTTCTTGTAAAGGAGTGAAATGAATAAAGTTATATCCTTTATTTGAAACTTTATTGAAAAAAGAATTCCAATCTTCCAATGGACCAATCCATTTAGAAATAACACTTTCAATATTAATAGCATTAAAAGGAATATAATCACCATTAATAGTTAAATTTGGAGGCACAACAAAGTAAAAGTGATCTGTTTCGGACTCAGACCCTTCTTGATTCTTAAAAGTAGTATAAAAACTATAAGGACCTGGATTAAAAATAGGAATCGTAATTGTAATATCCTTATGGAAAGAACTTTCAATCGGAATTTTCTGAAATTTACTTCTAACAAACTTATCAGACGAGTTTGCCGGAACGTTTATATGAAACATCCCATCACGACTAACTTTAGCAGCTGCATTCAATTTAATTTGCAATTCAAAGATTGCATCTCCCAGTTTATGGCTTTTATCATAAGTAGCCGCCGGGAAAGTTAATACACCATTTTTAATAGAATCTGAAACGATTGGTTCTCCATCATTGGAAAGTCTAAGCAAAATGGACCTAGCTGACATTCTATGACTGCTCTACTTCTATACCTAGTTGAATGTCTATTAAGCAATTGAGTAGCAGTAACTTGTCAAATCTATTTTTTATCCCTAGCCATATCTCCCTATTCGTAAAATCTGCTAAAAAAAACCCTTAAGATTGCTCACCCACAAAGGCCTTTTCACCTAGTGCTTTTTTTTTGCGGAGGTTCATATATGCGTGGGGGGGCGTCCCTAGGCTTCCGACATGAGTTTCTTCTTCTGTTTGTGCTTTGACGGAGGGTTCGCTTGAATCGTGGTGAGCTGCTATCAGTTGAAAGAGACGGAAAAATGAAAAAAATAAGCTTCCCCACCAGGAGTCGAACCTGGAATCTTCTGGTTCCAACCGAGAAGTGGTTACGAAATCGTAGCCAGACGCCTTGACCATTGGGCCATGAGGAACGAAGCTTGCCGGTTTGAACATTCTGGATTAGTAATTTGTGGATAGTAATAGCAGCAGTTAAAATTCATACAAAAATAAGAAGGTTTATTACTCAAGTATTGCATAACCAAATGGAGCTTTGAGCACTCTCTTAGTGATGGGGAGTGTTTAATCATTCAGATTAATTGATTAAAGAGTGATATAATGGAGAATGATAGTGGCAAATCTAAATGCAATTTAAATTGAACCTCGAAGAAGGCTTTCACTGGGCATGATAAAGAGCATAGCCTTCCTATGCTCAATATAAATATACCGATAGCCTTTAAAAGCCATAGTCAATAGGCTATAGTACAAAATATGGGGTTATGTGGGTTGACCAGACCTCTATCGTCCACATATGTCCAGGATGAACATAGTTTCCAAGACGAACTATCAGAACACACGCAATAAGACATTAGCCAGATACAGACTAATATCTAATTGGTAGCGGATCAACTTATTACCTAGATCAATCTTCACGTTGTTATTAAAGGGAAGAATAACTTTGTCAGACCATGAAGGTCTGGCGATGATGTCCGGGCCTGACTTATGCCAGGATCGATTTCATACATCATCAAAGCCGAAGTCCAATAAAGATGTTACAAACATT